GAAGACTCCCTGGAAAAGACCCTGATGTTGGGAAAGATGGAGAGCACAAGGAGAATGGGATGACAGAGGACCAGATGGTTGGACAGTGTTCTCGAAGCTACCAGCATGAGTTTGACCAAACTGTGGGAGGCAGTGGAAGACAGGAGTGCCTGGCATGCTCTGGTCCATGGGGTCACGAAGAGTCGGACACGACTAAACGACAACAAAGAGTGCTTATTCAATGCCAGTCCTATTTAGAACAGACCCACTGAAGTTGCTAAACACGACCAATTTCGGATCATAAATTTCAACAGGCCTTAGATGGCCATCTGTCAGGGATTGTTTAGTTGTGATTCCTGTATGACGGGGGGTTGGACTAGATGGCCCCTGGGGTCCCTTTCCAACTCTACAATTCCATAAATGCAACCCAAACCCATCTCTTTTGCTTGCACACATTGATGGTGACGCATTAAAAATATTATTGAAAGATGCATTTAATACATTTGGCTTCAGTCTGCCTGCACGGCTGTTTTAATCCAAGGCAGATGAGAGAGTTGGGGTGGGTGAGGGGAGAGAAGGAGTGGCTTCCCAAACTGGTTTTGTAAACTACCAACGGCCTGGAAAGTCGCCAGTTATGTCAATCCCTTCTCCCCCCCCCCCCCAAAAAAAGAAACCCACTGATGTCCTCCATTCAAGATGTGGCAAACCTAAAAGATGCTAAATAAATAAATAAACCAGCTCAGCTCCCTGAGCTGGAAGTAAACAGAACACGGGTGGTTCTTTAATCCTATTCACGGTCCAGGCAAGATATACATTTTGAGCAACCAATAAAGAAAAAAACCCTGTGCTGCATTTCACCCAGCTGGGGAGCTGCAGGATCCCAGCTGGCAAAGTCGTGTCTGGTGCCAACGAGTCTTGAAGAGGTGCCATTTTTGAGGGGGTGGGGTGGAGAACGACTCTACGCTGGCATGTCACCAGCACAACTCTGCCAGGGAGAGGAGACCAAAGCAGGCAGCATCAAAGGTGAAGAAAGCTTGGCAAGGATGCTAAACGCTTGCAGCCCCTGGTCCTGCCACCGAGGGCAGCATAATATTATGCTGGCAAAAAGAAAAAGGGGCAATGCATTGCAAGGGTAGCCAGTGTGGCAGACTCCAGTAGGCCATGCCATGCTCCCACCAGCCATGGCACCATGCAGAGCTGATGGGAGCTGTAGTCCAACAAGACCTGGAAGACACCAGTTTGGGGAAGACTGGCCAAGATGACCTGACCAGAAGCAACCAACGTGCATCATCCGGCTGTTCCTGGGAGGGGCTTGCTGTCCTCCCTGGTAAGAACTGGAGAGCCTGGCTGCTGGATGAGTTCCAAAGGGGCGCATCTAGCCCACCATCCTTCCCCCACAGTAGCCAACCAGATGCCCACAGTGCAACATCTCTCCCCTCTTGCGGTTCCCAGTAGCTTGCATTCCAAAGCATACGGCCTCCAACAGTGACATCAAGGTAGAGCCATTGGGGAAGGGCCACAGCTCTCTGCCTTGAATGCAGAAGGCCCAGGTTCAATAACCATCTCCAGGCAGGGCTGGGAGAGGCTCCTGTGCAAATCCCTGGAGAGCTGCTGCCAGCCTGTGTAGAAACTACTGAACTATATGGAATGAATTTCTGATTCAGTATAAGGGAAGCTTCCAATACAGTGGTACCTTGGGTTACATACGCTTCAGGTTACAGACTCTGCTAACCCAGAAATATTACCTCAGGTTAAGAACTTTGCTTCAGGATGAGAAAAGCAGCAGGAGGCCCCATTAGCTAAAGTGGTGCTTCAGGTTAAGAACAGTTTCAGGTTAAGAATGGACCTCTGGAACGAATTAAGTTCTTAACCCGAGGTACCACTGTATTCCTTTTGCTGGCCTCTGCCACCAACATTGCAAGCCAGGTGTGCAAAAGTGAAGGGTGATTTAACGCTCAGGTCTACGCCCCCCCCCAAAAAAAATCCCTGGGAACTATAGAATCATAGAATTGTTGAGTTGGAAGACACCCTAAGGCTCATGTATCCCAACCCTCCTGTAGTTTCTCAAGAGTGATGGGAATTCCTAGAATGGCAGAGTTGGAAGGGACCATGAGGGTCATCTAGTCCAACGCCCCACGATGCATGAATCTTTTTGTCCAACGTGGGGCTCGAACCCATGAGTCTGAAATTAAGTGTCTCATGATCTCCAGGCTGAGCTGTTAGGTGATCCCCCTCCTATCAACCTCACAGAAAATCTCCAGATCTCTGGGAAGGGAGATCATTAAAAGGTAAAGGGACCCCCGACCATTAGGTCCAGTCACAGACGACTCTGGGGTTGAGGCACTCATCTCGCTTTACTGGCCGAGGGAGCCGGCGTACAGCTTCCGGGTCATGTGGCCAGCATCACTAAGCCGCTTCTGGCAAACCAGAGCAGCGCACGGAGACGCCATTTACCTTCCCGCCGGAGCGGTACCTATTTATCTACTTGCACTTTGACGTGCTTTCGAACTGCTAGGTTGGCAGGAGCAGGGACCGAGCAACAGGAGCTCACCCCATCGCGGGGATTTGAACCACCGACCTTCTGATTGGCAAGCCCTAGGCTCTGTGGTTTAACCCACAGCGCCACCCACGTCCCTTCATTAAACCACTTTAAATCCATCATCTGGATAGCTCAGTTGGTTACAGCATGGTGCGGATTAAAACCAAGGTAGCGGTTTCGATCCTCCTATGGGACAGCTGCATATTCTTGCGCTGCAGGCGGTTAGATCAGATGATCCTCAGGGTCCCTTCCAGCTCTATAATTCTGACTCTATGATTCGCCAGCACTTCACTCTACATTGCAAATTTCCCACCCTAGTGGGGAACCTGGGTGGTTACTACATTTTTAGGGTACATCTGAATGAGATACGGAAAAGCTTGGACAGATGTGTTAAAAACGTGTGCATAAAACTAGCGGTGCCCAAATCCTAAGAATGAGGACTATTTTCTTCTTCTTCTTCTTCTTCTTCTTCTTCTTCTTCTTCTTCTTCTTCTTCTTCTTCTTCTCTCTCTCTCTCTCTCTCTCTCTCTCTCTCTGTTAAAGAAGTCCTCCCATTTTTCCAGTTGGGGCAGCAATTCATTAAACAGGCAAGCTGCTTAACATGCTGACAGCACCAAAGCTAGTCATGGAAGCCATCAATCATTCCCAGCAGATGGCAAATGTATCTCCTTTCACCACAAATTGAGCAGCAAACATTCAGATTCATCACCAAGACAACATATTTAAATTCCCTTCAATTTTCCATGCAGACCTTCTTAACAAATTGCCAAGAGTGATGAAAATCAATATTGTCACCCAGAGAGGCAGAGACATTTGTGTTCTCGTCGTGGAGGCGGGTTTCAGACAAAGCGGAATGGCGGCCCCTCAAAAGTACAATGCTCACTTTGACAGCTCCCTTGTGCAGAGAGCAAAGAACTCCTAAATATTTAGGGTTTACATTTTTATCTGCACCCTTCCTCCAAAGAGTTCAGGGCAACCAGCACACAATGGCTCTCTGCCATTTTATCTTCGAAACCACCCTGTGGAGCAGAGGTAGCCAACATTATTGGATCTGCCAGATGTTGTGGGCTACAAGTTCCATGATGCCTGACCATTGGCCGTGCTGGCTGAGGCTGATGGGAATTGTAGTCCCAAGTAGCCTGATACCACTCTGGCTGCTCCTAGCTAAGCTAGGCTAAGCCAGATAAGGATAGTGACTGGCCTAAGGTCACTAAGTGAGTTTCAGGGCCAAATGCATGTTTCTGGTCATAGTCCAGCATCCAAGCAAATCCACAGTGTGGTGTAGTGGTTAAGAGCGGTAGTCTCGTAATCTGGGGAACCGAGTTCGGGTCTCCGCTCCTCCACATGCAGCTGCTGGGTGACCTTGGGCTAGTCACACTTCTCTGAAGTCTCTCAGCCCCACTCACCTCACAGAGTGTTTGTTGTGGGGGAGGAAGGGAAAGGAGAATGTTAGCCGCTTTGAGACTCCTTTGGGTAGTGATAAAGCGGGATATCAAATCCAAACTCCTCCTCTTCTTCACAGTGCTACCTCAAGTACGATCCCGTGGCCAGTAGCCTAGTGGCGAGTTCAGAAATGCAGGGTCCCTTCACAATAGTCAGCCACACACCCTCACTGCCACGCCCCCTTTATGAGATTATATGACCTTTTAAGATTACTGTATAATCTTTTAATTATACAATAATAATTAGGGTTGCACTGCATTGATCAACGCAGATCTGCCTGTGTTGCCTTTCAGTTAGATCAATGATTTCCTCTGCACATACATGGGTAACTGATGGGGCGTGCTCAAATATCTTGCTTTGGAATGACTTGATGTGTTTTCCCTGAAGTTCCTCTGAACATAATAGAGCTTGCACGCCATTCTCTTGATTCGGAAGCACGTTTTCAGTGTTCCTAAAGGCTTAGCTTTGGACCATGCACAACAACTGCTCAGCGATCTTCCCACGTGCTTTCTCCAGGGTGACTCTAGGAGTTGATCCTCAGACTTACCTCCTTTGACTGTGATTGGCAACCAAGGGCGAGAAGACTTCTCAGGAGCTAAAAAGCTCCCCTTTCATGAGACACTGGAGACAAGAGACCCTGCTGCAAACATAACAACACATATTAGAATCCCTGCAACCTCAGACTGCTACAAAGAACCAAGACCCAGTGCGTTAGAATCAGTTTCTGTGTCTACACAAGACATTCTCTTGAGTCCAGCAAAAGCCATTTTATGCTGCAAAATATGACGGGATTTTAAATGTGTCCTCTGATCCACCTTTTAAAAAGGTTGGAGCGTCTGGTTCCAAAGTCCGCTTTCCCGTTAAGACTCTATTCAGTCTGGGGCTTTTACCTCTCTTGACACAACGAATGCACAGCGTAAGATTAAAAACTCTTTATTTTACAATTTTATAAAGCAGCTTTACATGAAGCACAAAGTTGATCGGTTTACTTTTTAATATATATATATATATATATGTATATGTATATATAAACATAATAGGACCATTCCCACTGCAAAAAATCATGTCTTGCCCCATATAAAACTAACCTGTGCACATTGTGCTTAACCCACAAAGTCTGTACAGCTTTACAAAGGACTTGTTGCCCTCCAAAGGGCATCCTGTAAACAATTTATTGCATATTTAAACCCATGGTTCAAACCCCGCATGTAAAAAGGGAAGGAAAGAAATGAAAAATAAAAAGGGGGGGGGGGTCAGAAATACAATTGCAAGGTGGACGAAAAGCAGCAATTTTCAGTGGAAGCCTCAAAAGGATGTAAAGAAAAACTCGACACCAGTTGTGCTTGTGTGTCGCACAATAATGCAAAAGGGGGGGAAAGGGTCGTGTCTACTCAGGAACAAAAGGCATTGGCTTCGCTCTGTGAACTTCAACACATTAGCCTCCATATTCATGACATCTCTTGTCCCCTACCTTTTTAAAATAAAAAAATAGAGAACTTGCAATACTAAACTTCGGTTTTGCCTCCTTGGAATTCCCTCATTGCTCATAGTTGGCCTCCAGACACAGCAACTTGGACATCCACCCCTCACACCCCATGTATACAAACGAGGGAAAAAATAGCCCAGGGGCCCAATGTAGATGTGGCACCTGCAAAGGAAGGAAACTGGGAGTCTGCTGGGGCTCTTGTAATCCCCTTCCCTGCTCGCTTGTGAACTTCCCACCCTGATGCACGCACACTTTTCCCTTTTGGGAGCTAACCATGGTGCAATGTGTTGGATCGGCACCAAAACTAGCACATAATCTTGAATGAGTTTGCTGATCAGCTCCAAACTCTGGTTTGAAATAAATCTTTGTATGTTCAGAAGCCGAGCGGCTCGTGGCTCTGAAAAAGGAAATGAGGACCACTCTGCACTTTGAGGGGTTGGGGAGAGGTACACCTGGCCATCCTTACATGCTCAGGAGGATTGGGTTGTATCCAACTGAGCGACAAGAGGAGACCCACTGAAAGCAGCAGGCATGATACACTTAAGGTCACGGATTTTAACGGGTTTACTCTTGAGTATGACATAGTTGGATACAACCTGCTTTGTCCATACTGGGCCAAAGACAATGTACTAAAATAATCAAGATCCCTATTTCTCAGAAGCCAATTCCCACTAAACACAGCCTACCCGAGATTCTGCTTCCCTGACCTCTATCACACCCACCATGAGCAGCTAGTGAAAGGGTCACGTGGAGAGCAGCTGGTTGCCAATTTGAGTGCCAACTAGAACAGCACTCATTTCCCAAACACCAGCTTCCTCCAGTTGCCAATCTCGGGCCAACGAATATGACAAGCCTACACAAATCTGGAAGCCCTGGGAGTGCCACAGTGAGTCATAAGCACAGAACCATCAACCAGCCACAAATATACTCATTTCCTATTGCAAGAGGAAGTTATGGCCGCATGGTCAAGGCACTAACGCTCCACCCAAACAGTACCCCAAAGGTGTCTGTGCTGGCTGCTCCAAATCTGGTTGGCCACGGTCTCACTCTCACATCCAGAAGCAATTGCTAGAGAGGAAAGAGGCCCTGGAATTGACCACTTTGGTATCATCGCAACACAGACCAGCCCTTCCACAACTTGGTGCTCTCCAGAGGTTAGGGACTACAACTCCCATCAGCACCGGCCAGCACAGTTATATGATGCTGAGGCTGTCTGTAGTCCAAAACATCTGGAGGCGACTGGCTTGGGGAGTGCAGTTCAATATGCTGGCTATCAGCACAGAAACCAACGTTCTCAAAGAGAACTGGAATTCTAAGGCTTCTCTCTTCTGGGACTTGAATTTACTCCCTCCCCACTTAACTCCTGACTCCTCAGATGCCCCTATTTTTCTCTTGGTAGTTTGCATACACTCCAGTCCCTCCCCCCTTCAGAAACACATGCAGTCAGCAACAGCCGTTACCCAAACTTTTGCTCTGGAAGAACCTGGGGGCCCCTCTAGAACAGCTCCTTACCAAGATCAGTGGACGTGGAGGCCGACCTATGTAGGAGCCCTGGCTCGTACAACTGTGTTGCCAGCACCTAGGAATTCAAATGTTCTTCTCATGTACCAACAGGCCAGCGTGCCTCAGGGCAAGCTTCACCAACCTGGTGCCATGCAGATTTTTTTTTGGGGGGGGGAGAGTTATAGCCCAGAACATCTGAGAGTACCACGGCCCACATCTTTCCCCAGTAAAGCGATAGTGCAGGCTTCTGTATGCACTGCAAGGCGAGCAAAGAAAAATGGCCAAGCTGAAACGCCTGGTTTCCTTGAAATGCACAAGTGTGGGATTTGAATATCTGAGCGCGGCATTAGGAACAGAGGGGCAAGCTGCCAATGACACGGGATTCTGGGCAAGTTCAGGCAGCCTGCCAAAGCACCTACCAGCAGCAATTGTGCCTACTGAAATGAAAAGCCGCAGCAGGGTTGGTAAGTCATGGCCCCTCTGGATTCAGGGTAGCCAACGTGGTGCCCTCTGAGTGTTGTTGAGACTCTGACTCCCATCATCACTGGCCATTGGGCCATGCTGGCTGGGGCTGATGGGAACTGGAGTCCAATAATGGCTACCTCTGGTCTGGATTAGACCTCCCTAATCTGCAGGGTCTCCTGCTTGGATTTCTCCAACTACCAACTTCTCAGCAACTGGAAACGGGGAGTGCGGTTTGCCAAAGGCAGGGTATACCGCACAGCACAAGAAATTTGCGAGAGACGTAGTTTCTAAGCCTGGGAAGGGGATTTCCAAGCCAGAATCGAGCCACCACCTCATTAGCGCTCTTCCTGAGCCTTAATGGAAGCTCCACTGAACAAGCCTGGAAGATACAGTAGTATTGGAAAGAGAGGGCTGGTCCATGGAGAAAAAAAGGCATCTATTCCCATCTCTCTCAAGTGCAGCTTCCCAGCAGACTGTGCCCCTGGCCAGTTTTCACAATGGCGAAAAAAATACCAAATGAGTATCTGTGATCCCAATGAAAAAAAATGAATTTTTCGAAACAAGTGCTGTTGACCATGGTGCCGGCAGAAGTGGAATGACTTACAGACAGACAAATATAAATACATACTCATTTCACTTCCCCAAAACAAAATAAACCATTTAAAAAAAACAAACCTCCCCTCCAACCACCAGTAGCAGTTTCAAGAGCGAATTGCTGCAGAAAAACTTCCACAGTGTTCAAACATAATGCCACTTTAAAAAGATTATTTCCGGCCCCCTCACCCACATGAATTGTACCTGGTTTCAACAGTACCCTAGACTAGTTTTCTTCAGCTTGGTGCCCTCCAGATGTTTTGGGGGACAACTTCCAGCCAGCACAACCAGTGCTTGGGGGTGGTAGGGGGTGGCACCCCAAACACCAGAAGGACAGGGCCTGAACCCCCCCCCCCGGGACAGAATGGCTTACATGGAAAGGAAACCCTGTAAAAACCAGATGTGGGGAACCTTTGGCCACCCAGATGTTGCTGAACGACAGCTTCCTCTGTCCCCGAGCCGCTGGCCATGCTTGCTGCGGCTGATGGGAGTTGTAGTTCGGCAGCACCCGGAGGGTCAAAGGTTCCCCACACCTGCTGTAAATGATCAGGAGGGACAGAGCCTCCCGCTCTCACCAGAAGAGGTCTCAGCTCATCTGGAAGCAAGGAAAGCGATTGGCCCAGCTTGAAAAGGTGGCGGTAGAACCAGTTTGAGAGAAGGTGACCACGTTTTTGTGCTGACAGCTGGTCCTGTGTGTAATGGTCGGTTGCTTACGGAACAGAGTAAGAAAAACACACATTCGAACTTGCCCACTGGGAGGTCCCTGTGCAAGGAAATGGGAGTGGTACTTAGGCACAGACATCCCCTGCACCAGCTCTCCCGAGTAGCCACGCAGTTTTCACAGAAATTCCCAGTGAATCCTCACCACTAATAGTGTGGTGTTGGTTTTTTTTAATCCCATTTGTACATCTTTAAAGAAACTGGACATTTGAAGTATTTCGCAATATACAGAATTTCAACACAAACTGCTCTGAAATTTCCCACCAAAGGGAAATATATGTAGAATGAAATAAAGACGTCACCCACTCTCTGGGATAAGAGTTAAGAGAGATTTCTGGCGTGGCACACTATTTTCCACTCCACCCCCAAGTGAAAATCCCATTTCTGCACCCATCCATTTTAAAAAAGAAAAAGAAAAAAAAGAGAGAGGCCATATTCTACTTTTTTCTGACCAATACTGGGCTATAAAAACCATCATAGCTTTTGTGATCCCCCCCCCCCCCGCGAAAACATTTTCTGTTATGCACAAGTACCATAATGGACCGCTGTGGAAAAGTAAACAAGTTCGCTAAACTTTGTCCTTTGATCAGATGCCTGCTTTGTAATTTTACCTCCCCACTCTATAAAGGATTCATCCGCTGGAATGCAATCGTTTAAAAAAGATGAGTTTTAAGGATCACTTCTTTGAAAATAGAGTCTGTTCAAAAAAACAAAACACAAGTACGCACGCACACACACACACACACGCACACAGAGGGTTTGGGCACCACCTTCACTCTGCTTCAAAGATGGCGGCTGCCAAGCACCGCAGACGGGGGGAAACTCCATTTTGGTTGTGAGCTGGGCTCAATTGTGCTTCGCCCTGCCTCCTCGCAGGTAGCTCTTCCACCTCTTGACGAACTCTCTGAACAGGGGCGTCTCGTCAATGGTGCTGAGGAGCTGGAGCTGGTTGATGTGGGTGGTGTGATAGTCCCACCGGGCCAGGTTCGGGGCTGTCCCAAGCATGAAATGACGGAGGTCATAGATGGTCCCTGAGCCCGTGTCGTAGAGAGGGAGCATGGCCTTGAGGGACTCCATGCCCCGCTCGTACAGGAGCTTGGCCTCCTTCCCCAGCTTCTCTCCCGCCGTCTCCTTCAAGTCGTACAGCCCAATGAGGGAATACATGAACCCGTTCAGGACAAAGGAGCTAGGCGACGTGGGGTACTCCTCGTACCAGTCGTGCTTGTTCATGAAGACGGCCTTCACGCCACGCTGCTCTGAGGAGAGCTTGTAAGGCGCCGTGGCCCGCAGAGCCGCACTGAGGAACGTGTGGTCTTTCGTCAAGAGGTAGGCCCGAACCAAGGTGGAAATGGCCTGGCCCTGCGCCATGGCAGAGTACCACCCGGGGTCCAGGGACTTGAAGCCTTCCCCCAGCTTCCGGGTCACCATGATCGGCCAACCACCCTTCTCATCCTGGTTCCTCACCAGCCAGTCGCTAGCGGCGAAAAAGGCCGCCATGTGGGCCGTGGCCGAGATGGTGACGTTGTCGATGAAGCCGTGCCCTTTCACCACCAAGCGGACCACCCTCTTGGGCATGATCTTAGTCTGCTTGACGGCCTTCGTGTTGGAGAGGCCGACCCCCTTCCTCAGGTCGGTCACAAGGTCTCGGGTGACTGTGCTCCAGCTAGTCCTGGGCCCGATGCCATAGTAAATGTCTCTATCCTTGAAAGCTATCAGCTGGGTGTTGGAGACGTAGTGCACGCGGAACAGCTGGTTCTTCTCTGTGGTCTCCAGGACCACCGAGATGCTCCCGTTGGTGATGAGCTTGAGGTCGAAGGAAATAATGAAGTCCCTCGTGTTCCCCAGCTGCAGAGAGGCGCCCTCGGAGTTTTCTGACGGGGAATACAAAGGGTAAGGGGTTGGTTATGGAGCAAAACTACAACACAGGATGGATCTTTCTTTTCCCCCAAAGTATTGACAGATAGGCATCAAGAAAGCAGCTTGCCAGCCACAACGCCTGTTCTCATGCACTGCCAAGGACATTCGAATCAATAGCATGAAATTAGCATTTCAACTTTGATTCTGTTCATTATTAATTAGTTACAAATGCAAGTATGGGCACCCTGGATCAAGCCAGAGCTCTGTCCAGTTCAAGGTCCTGTTCCCCACAACGGCCAGTTAGATGTTTCTGGCAAATAAGAACATAAGAAGAGCCTGCTGGATCAGGCCAGCGGCCCATCATGTCCAGCTTGGTTGCTGGGCTGGATCAAAGCTCCCCCCCCCCCCGCAAGTCCAGCATCCTGCTCCCACACTGGCCTCTGAGAAGCCCAAGGATTACTCCGCGGCTGATGAAGTGGGAGAGGAGCACACCTTAGAGATCCAGCCTTCCTGGATGCTCCACTGACTACAAAGGGAAGGGAGACTTTTACTGCTTTCGCCTTAGAGACCCCAGCCTAAGGCGCTGACTAAAATTACTTCGTTGCCTTTTAAAGTAATGGACTCATTAATTCTAATGGCTATTGATTAGTTGGGGGAAATACATTATGCCCCTATTAATGAGCCTGTCTTCATACAAAGCAAACCGGGGGGGGGGGGGGGAGAGAGAGAAGAAATGTTGCATATAATCATTAATTTTCTGGGTGTGGGGGAAAGAGAAGAAATGTTGCATATAATCATTAATTTTCTTGGGGGGGGGAATGTCTCCCCCTGCACACACCTTTCAGCATGAAAAGAAATGGAATAATGGAGAAGTGAAAGTGTGTATTTATATAAAGCCACACCCTATGTCACGGGAATGTAAGAAAAGCCCTGCAGGATCCGGCCAGACCTACCGTCTCCTTTGAACTGACCCACCTGGGACAACAAATTGCTTGACGTTTGTGAACCTGGACTTGTCCAGCATCGTCGTGACAGAGCTGCCTTTGGGTACCGTCCAGTCTGCAGTGTGGCTGTTTTGGTCCTTCTCCTCAGCCGTCTCATACACCTCCACGTGAGGAGGCTTCTCAGTCAGATTCTTGCTGTAATGGCTGAGCCCATATTGGGCAATCTGGATGGGGTAGAAGTAGCCCTGCGGCCCCCACTGCGTCGAGAGTGGTACGCCTGTGACAAGGGGCAGAAGACACAGCATATGAATGTGAGCACAGCAGAAGAGCCCTGTGGGGTCAGACTAACCCCATGGCTCACAATGTTTTTCGGGCCACCGCCCCCTTGACTCCATAAACTCATCCCCAGCAGGGCCAGCGATATCTGGTTTTCAACACTGAGATATATCAGTATGCTGATCTATCACAATGTTCTGGAATGTATCTCAGCTGCTTCTTCCTCTGCCTGCCTGCCTGCACCTTTGGCTGTCTGTAGGCAATTTGAGCTGGGAATACATCACGATCTGAACGCCATACCAGTTTCAGACAATTTACCAATATATCACCCAGCTCTAATCCCCAGTGCCCCTCACCCTACTAAACGCTTAATTCAGAGCAGTGGTTTCCACGATCCAGAAATGAATATAGAACTGCACCTAAGAATCGGGCAGTTCTGTACGAACTTTCCTGGGAATAAGCCCCATTGAAGACTACCAAGTAAAAACATGTGGGATTCTGTTGATCCTGCAATTTAGTCCTGCCTCCATTTATTTCCCCTCTATCAAAGTGGTTCCCAATTTTCTCAGGCCACTTGGTTCCATAAACTCATCCCTTGTGGCCCCCCCACCCTACTCTATAAAAAGCAGTACCCAGAAAACAGGTCTGCACAACTCACAATTAATTGCACATTTATTCAAAATCCAATTAAAACCATTTAGTTTAATTAATTCAACAAAACTGATGAACTGGATCCGGTGATACCAGATTTTCACATTTTGTTAACAATTACACCTCCAGCGCGCGCGCACACACACACAGACACACCATCACCCCCTTGCCTCTGAGTGGCCCCCTAGAGAATCCCACCACCACCACTCCTGGAGGGTACCACCCACTTTGGAAACCACTAGAGTAACCCTTTACACTCCAGGGGCCGCCAACATTTTTAGGGCCATGACACATTTGCCAACGGAACCAGCTACTGTTGGCATTGCATGCCTTTCAGATGCCCTGGACAACATTTCCCATCAGCCCCAGCAAACATAGTCGTATGATGCTGAGGCTGATGGGACTGCATCCATGCTTCCCTGGGGCTGATGAGAGTTGTAGTTCCAGAGGGTATAAGGTAGAGGAAGGCTGCACTAAGTCAGGAGAACCATGAACACACCCTTTTTCATACCTGACTAACTAGATACTTAAAAGTTTAATAGCGAGAGTATCGTTGGTGGCATAGGCTTGAATCCCACCACAACCAATGTCTATTTGAAAGCCAGTGTGTACTGGGGTAGAGTCCTGTAATAGGACCTGGGAGACCAGGGATCAGATCCCCACACAGCCATTAAGCTCACTGGGTGACCTTGGCCAGGCACTCAATCTCAGCTGAACCCACCTCACAGGGTTGTTGTGAGGGTAAAATGGGGGGGGGGAGAATTATGTACAGCGCTGTGAGCTCCTTGGAGGAAAAGTGGGATATAAATGCAATAAGTAATAAAATAAAGTCCGGTGGGAAGAATCCTGCCCAGCTTGCTTCATAAAATAGCAAGTGAGTGCCAGCTAATGTGGAACCTGAAACAAGCCAACTCCGGAGTCAATCCCACTCCACTCAGTGGGGATTGCACTTTTAGCCTGACTCTGACAACTGATCTAAAAGTAATTTACCCTTCTGTCGCCACTAGTTCATCCAGCTTAGTATTGTCTACTCTGACCAGCAGCAGCACTCCAGGATTTCAGCTGAGAGGCTCTCCGCAGCCCCACCTGGAGATGCTGCCAGGGACTGAGCCTGCGACCTTCTGCATGCAGAGCAGGTGGGTCTACCGCAGAGGTACGAAGGCCTTTCCCCTCGAGGCAGATCTAGTGTCACCCACCGTCAGCTCCACCAGCTGGACCCTCTTGCCGGCTTAGGCCTAACAATGGCTTCTCCCCTTAACACAGCAGCGTCTAGCTCGGAGAGCGGTTATGCCTCAAACCGAGCGTGACAGAAAGATTACCGAAACAAAATTAAAGAAAATGCATTTCCACGTATCATCCGCACTTCATAATGCCGATAAGTGTCTGTGATAGTCACTTGATGGATGTGTTTGCCTGAAGGGCAAAAGCGCCAGGGGAACTATTTAAAGAGCGCTATGTAATATCTCAAATGCTAAAAGATGCTTTGCTTATTAATGAAGAGGGGTCTCTGCGAGAGGCGCAGGCCTCGGGATCCGGGAGAGAGGCACCAGCCCTACGCCTGCTATAAAAGCTTCGCTTGCAGCTGTTAATTTAGAAAGATGACATGATTAAATTCTCCAGGTCACAGGACACCAGACAACACAATGACATTGTGGGAATGAGACAGGAGGAAACCTAAAATGAACTCCTTCACTGCCTTGCAATCTACTTGACAGGAGAGGCTCTCCGCTGAAGAAGTGATCCCACCAGACTAGGCTTGCAAGTAGTCGCCTGGGGTGAATAAGAAATCTCCTGCAGGCAACCAAGCCAGGAATATATTTTTTTTAGAAACGGTTGCTCTTTAGTTATTTATGGCTATATACATTAATATTGATAATAATAAAACTATATACTACTTAATTGCCAAGCTGGCTTCTAAGAGGTTTCCAGTGTAAAATCCTATCTATTAGCTATACAGTGGTACCTCGGGTTACATACGCTTCAGGTTACAGACTCCGCTAACCCAGAAATAGTACCTCGGGTTAAGAACTTTGCTTCAGGATGAGAACAGAAATGGTGCTCCGGCGGCGCGGCAGCAGCAGGAGGCCCCATTAGCTAAAGTGGTGCTTCAGGTTAAGAACAGTTTCAGGTTAAGAATGGACCTCCGGAACGAATTAAGTACTTAACCTGAGGTACCACTGTACACTTAATGAGATATAACAGGCACACCCTATCTCTAATTTCCGGGGGGGGGGGGGGCAGGAATTGAAAACCTTTTGATTCAACAAGCTTTTTAAGATCAGGTGTTCATTCTGTGTAGTTTTTAAACCTGTTTCCAATATCATTTTATGATACTGGTACGAACCCTAGCTTAGCGATAGGAGCATCTGCTTTGCCTGAAGAAAACCCCATGTTCAGTTCTTGATGGCATTTCCAAGTGGGCCGGAAATAGAACCCTTAAACTCTGGAGAGCTGCTGCCAGTCAGTGTAGGCCGTACTGAGCTAAATGCACCAATGGTCTGGGCTCAGTATAAGGCAGCTTCCCAGGTCCCCAAGATATGTCTGCAAATTGCCTTGAGACATGTAAGCAAAAGGAGATTCATAATAATAAGCAGGACAGATAACAGGCTACATTGAAAAGGACATTCCCCCCAAAGGCAACAGATTTGGAAAATGATTTAAAATAGTTTACTAAAATGCAAGATAGGCTTTATCGTCTAGGAATGCTTGTAGGTAATAGAAAAGACAGATATTATCTGTTTTCTTTGCTTGTTTTCAGAAAAGCAACCTGAAAGCACACAAACGGAATCATGTGAATTCCGTGGCCAAGTTGAATCATGTCCTGAAAAGTCAGGTTCTACTACTCACAGATATGTAGTAACTGTGGAGCATCTCCCAAAAGCCCCAGCCAGCCGAGTCAATCATCAAGAATGATGGAAATTGCAGTCTAACAACAGTATCTATAGGGCCACAAGCTCCCCTTCCTCCCCTGCAAAGAAGAAGAGCAACGAAAGACCCACCTTCGACGCCACTGATGCACTTCACTCTGTCCCGGACCTCCACATTGTAGCCCTCAAAAGACATGAAGACGCCATCCGGGTGGTAAGGCGCCCTCTGCGCGTACACTTTGGAGTAGCTGTGGGAGAACTCGAACCTGTCATACCCATCGTACTGGGCGACCTTCCCGTAGACCTCAAAGTACTTCTCCACCCAGGAGAAGGGCAGGAAGACCTCGTTCCCTTCCCTCCTGCCTTTGATGGTGTGCTCATCGTTGATCAGGCAGTCAATCTCCTCGTATTTCAGCCCCAGCGCCTTGTTCCCGTGGAAGCCCCCGACCACAGGGGGCGCCTTCTGCTGCTCTTGCGGGGAGGCCTCTTCACTCTGCTGCTGCTGCTTGGCCGGGCCGTTCACATCCTTGTTGCTCTCCGAAGCGGCCACTCGCTTCTCCAGTCCGTCCGCTCGGAAGGCACTGCTAGGGCTACGCAGGAAGGGTGGGGCTGCCCTGTTGCTGGAGCATCTATTCCACAGCAGGACCGTGACCAGGGTGAACAGAACGCAGATGACGATCAAAGTCTTATAGTTGACCCGGGTCGCCAAGCAGCGCATATTCACACCATACCTGAAACAAACAAAGAAGGGCCAGAGGTTTCATTCCGATAGGCTTTCCATACGTCAGGAAAACTCCTGACATGTCCTGGTTTTGGGGTTTAAAAATGGCACCCAGGGCAAAATGTCAGGGGAAACCCGGATGTATGGCAACATGATGGAAAAAGCAGCAGAAGCAGCATAAAACCTACTATTTTCGAGGTAGATTTCCCACAAAAGCTCAACAATTTTGGTGTTTTCAACAACTTTGCGAGTGTCAGGAATTTTACTTTTTGAAACATGGCAACCTCACATTCGGAGGACTTGCCAATGGGGACCTGGACACCTCCTCGATATTTGGGGAGGACAAGGGGGAGCCACAGCCAGCACATATAAGGTCACTTACTTTGAACGTTTTGAAGGAGAGAAACAACAGAGGCACAGTGTGTAGTTAAAACTATGGAACTCGCTCCTCCACAGATTCATAGAATCATAGAGTTGGAAAGCACCCTGCGGATCACCTAGTCCAACCCGAATATGCAGCTGTCCCATACGGGGATTGAACCTGCAACCTTGGCGTTATGAGCACCACGCTCTAAGCAACGGAGCTATCACATAGCATTCCGGCAGGAGACAGGGATGGCCACCCACTTGGCTTTAATAAAGGAATAGGAAAATTGATGGAGGAGAAGAGGCCTATCAGCAACCATGATGTTCTACCTCCACAGCCAGAGGCAGCAAAACGTCTGGATACCAGTTGCTGGAAACAACTCAAGTTCTGCTTGTAGGTTTCCCATGGGCATCTGAGTGGCCACTGTCAGAGCAGGATGTTGGACTAGATGGGCTGTTGACCTGATCTAACAGGGCAGTTATTATGTTTCTAACAGGAAATTCATTAGGGAAGCTTATCTAGGAAAGAGGCAACCTGCTGCTACCCAACTTCCCTTGCAAATGCATGAGAGGGATGCAAGAGAGAGAGAGTCCAGTTTTCTGCACAAGTAGTCCATGAAGCCTAGAACCTGACCCTAAATTCAGTATTTATTTACTGCATTTATACCCCACTTTTCCTCCAAGGAGCACAAAGTGGTGTACATAGCTCCCCGCCCCCTTTTATCCTCACAACAACCCTGCGAGGTAGGTTAGGGCAAGAGTGAATGAATGGCCCACGGTCACCTAGTGAGCTTCATGGCCAAGTAGGGATTTGAACCCTGGTCTCTCCCAGGTCCCAGTACGAGACTCTTAAACGCTACAGCACAGATGGCTATCGGCGGAAGAGAAATGCACAGATGTTCCACAGCAAACAAAGATGGCAGGTGCATCAAGGCAGAAAAGGTTCCTCAAGCACAGGGAATTTGAAAAGCACCGATAAACACCGTAACCGGCTGAACCAAACGCCAGCATGCCCAGAAAAGCTCCCTCTCTTTGGCAAACAAGAAGGCTGCTTAGACAGAAACGCCATTGTCCTCAATGCCATTCCCGCAATGAAAACAGTTTCTCCAGCCTTGAGTTTCCGCAGATCTGGGCGGAGGGGTGGAACTTAGCTGGCTTGCGCTTTTGCCAATTCACACCAAGGGTGCTGGGCAGGTCAAGAGGGACTCTTGTGCTGGTGGCCTTGAATTAGGAAAGGAACCAAAGCCCCTTGGACGGAGCCCTGTTTGAGCTCTGCCGTGCCGACAACTACATCTCCCCACTTGACCCTTTATTTGGCCTGTCTCGGTGACTTAAATAGGTACTTAAGGTTCAATTGGACATCTTCAACTCAACACAAGCTATAAAATATGTACTTGGGACGCAACTTGGCAAGCTATTTTGGAAAGGGTGACGAAGGAGGTGTTGGAAGAAAATGCACTGCTTCAGGCAAGCTAACCATTGCATAATTTGCTGTGTGTGTGTGTGTGTGTGTGTGTGTGTGTGTGTGTCTGCCTCACAGCTGTCCTGGAAAGACCCAGAGTTGCTTCCATTCCCACACAGAGCAAGATGATATCCAGAGCACATAGAAGGGGCAAGATAAACTCTCATCAGAGGCTCTTGACCTCTTGCGGAAACCTTCCAAGCTAGGGCTGGTCCACACATTGCTAAAGCACAGCAAGAAATACCTGACCCATTTCAAACACACAGTGGGTCTTAGACTAGCGGCCCTCTATGCTGGGATCTTGCTCACGACATTAACAGTGTGCCCTACACTTGCTTGCTTGCTAATCTGAGCTTTATCTATTACATTTATATCCCACCTCACACCCCTGCCCCCCCCAAAGCACTTGATAGATTATTCTCCCTATTTTATCCTCACAACAACCCTGCGAGGTAGGTTTTAGGCTGAGATGCTTTGCTTGGCCCAAGGTCATAGCTTCATGGCTATGCAGAGATTTGAACCCTGGTCTTCCAGTTCCTAGTCCAACAAGGGCAGAGGTTCGCAAACGTTTTCAGGTCACTGCCCCCTTGGTTCCATAGTGCCACCTCCCTTCCCCCGTAAAAGGCATTATTTATAATAGCAGTTTGCACAGCCCACTAAGGAAGACAGTAACAATCAGATTCAAAATAGTAAGAGTTAATTGCATTTATTCAAAACCCAATTAAAATTGCTTAGTGTAATCAATTCAACAAAACTGATGAACTTGTTCCAGTGATACCAGCTTTACAAAGCCTGATAGTCATATACACCTCCAGAGCCCCACTGCCATCCCCTTGCTTCTTACTGCCCCCTAAACCCATTGCCTGCCAGGGCCAGGGGGCAGTACCACCCACTTTGGGTTCTAACCACTACTCTACACTGTCCCAGCTAGGACACTGAGGCGGATTTGATACCACCTGCTACCCAAGACAGAAAGTGATGAAAGCAACCATCTACATGCTATCCTTTCACCTCAAAGGAAGAGAAGTTCGGGCTATGACATCAGTGGATATATACCTGCCCCCATCGGAGAGGTAACATCTCGCCAGTCTCAAGTTGATGGGACCTTGGTTTACCCTTCATTCATTTCACAATTCCACACTGTGTTGGCTCCCACCCAGCCGTTTCACACTTAACAAGGAAAACGTCCCATATTGTTGAAGAATACAGCGTATATCTAATTCTTTAAACAAAAAACCCACCAATTTCACTCTTACGGAAATACCAACAAGAATTAAAAACACTCAAAAAATTTGCTGCTGTCTCTCATCCCACCTCCAGAGAAGGAAAAGAAAATATAAAACACATTTTGAATTTAGTTACATGAGCTACATTATAGGAGATAACACTGCCAGATTTCTATGTATCGTTATGTGCCTACACATCTTGCCTTGAGTGCAATTCTCTATAACCTTGTTGCTCACACGAGAAGATAAAAAAAAGCGAGATGGGAAGCAGAAAAAACTTTGACAAAGCTTCCCTAAGTTGATTCCCTCATGGTTTCTCCTTTAGAGTCTCTCTCTCTCCCCCACCCTTCTCTTTCTTTCCCAGGGCTTGCTTTTAAAATACTGAAGACTGCTTGGGTTGTTGTTTTTGTTACTTATCCCACTTAGAGGCCTGGGCTTCAGGGATTTTGTTTGTTTTCCAGCATCCAGCTGTGATGGCTGCCGATGAGAGATGAGAAATCTTCTTGTTTGGAGGTGTGTGGTGTGGCGCTCAAGGGAGGAGAAGGAAGAACAGATCCTCTTTAACTATTCTGTTTGCAGAAAACAGCTACACGCAGGCAACAAACAGCCCACTGTTTCTCCACTGGCTTCGCTCCACCCCTAAATAAGTTAAGACCCTTGCAGTGTAAACACAGATGAAGAACTGAAGGAACAGGAAAAGCACTCAGAGAGACCCAGGCATCAGAATAGCACTTTCAGAGTCATCTCTTTTAATTTATAATATATAAGGGCAATGGATATGCTTCCACATTCATGTGACTGTATGCTCACCTATTAAAAAAATATTCAGACACTCAAGGAATAAGAAATATGACTTCTAGGTTTCCTGGAGGAGCCTGGAAGGGTTCTGAACAGGCTTCCCCTCCATATGTTTTGGAATATAATTCCCATCAGCCAGGCAAGGCTACCCTAATATGTTCCAGGCATTAGCAGCCTTTAATCAAGAAGAAGAAAAAACCCAGAATGCATTGATAGCATGGTTAGCTCAGTCGATAAAGCATAAGACTCTTAATCTCAGGGCTGTGGGTTTGAGCCCGTTGGGGGGGAAATATTTATGCATTGCAGGGGGTTGGGCTAGATGACCATCATGGTCCCTTCCATCTCTATGGTTCTGTGGCCAGTACATTTCCCTGGAACTCAAGATCAACTGCTTTAGACATAGAACTCGGTGGACCCATCCAATGAAGCTGAATGTTGGAAGGTTTGTGACCAGGGGTAGGCAACCTAAGGCCCAGGGGCTGGATGCGGCCCAACCGCCTTATCAATCCGGCTCACCGACGGTCCGGGAATCAGCATGTTTTTACATGAGTAGAATGTGTGCTTTTATTGAAAATGCATCTCTGGGTTATTTGTGGGGCCTAGGAATTCGTTCACTTTTTAAAAAACATAGTTCAGCCCACCACATGGTCTGAGGGACGGTGGATCGGCCCACGGCTGAAAAAGCTTGCTGACCCCTGTTCCGAGACTGATAAACAAGAAAGCCCATCTTCACACAGCACGTAGCTAACCTATGGAACTCACTCCCACAGGAGGCAGTGATGGCCACCAAGCTAGATGGCTTTAAAGGAGGGTTATACAAATGGCAGAGGGGGCTACTGATGGATACCTTCTTCCTCCACAGTTGGAGCCATAAATGCTTTTGAACGCCAGTTGCTGGAAACCGCAGGAGGGGAGAGGGCTTGCAGACTTGCCATTGAGGCCTCTGGTTGGCCCCTGCAAGAATAGGATGCTGGCCTAGATGGGCTATTGGCCTGATCCAGCAGGCTCTTCTTAGGTTCTTATGCAGACTGCATGCCCTTTAGGATAGAATGTCTTATTCTAATTGCGTACAGAGTAATGTGCATGGATGGTGCTACATAAATGAACCACAAGAAGGAGAAGAACTAGGACTTCTTTGGCAGGAAGGGTCATCACTGGGTAGCGGCATACACAAGGTCCCAGGTTCAGCTTCCATCATCTCAAGGTGCAGCTGGGAAAGACTTCCTGTCTGAAATGCAGGACAGGTGCTGCCCTTCAGAGTAGGAGACACTAGTCAATGGACCTGCAGGTACAAGGCCACTGCAACACAGGGGCACGGGGCACAGGGAGGGAGAGGAGCCCCTACCACACCTCTGTGATTCACTGCTGCAGCTGGCTTTCTGCTCTCATCTAGTTCCAGATACAACATCTCCAGGCTTACTGCCACCATCCCACGCCAGTGACAATTCACCCTGCTTTTTCCCTTTCTTTTTTAGGGCTCATTCACCTGCATCCTTAATGGCAAATGAGATGGTGAACAGCTTGTACAATGTGCGGCCACTGTCAGAATTACATTAGCACTTCAAAGAAGGAGGCAATTGCCCTCCTTAGCATATATCAGAGACAGAGAGCGAGGGAGCTGAATTTATGAGTTCATCACAGGGTTGTGTGTGCGTCACAGCCATGCCAGAATCGTAGGCAAAGGTGTTTGGTCAGCAAAAGCTGTGCAAGGGTTCTGGGGTTTTTTATGCTGAATTTACCAGAAATTAACTTAGAAATAGAGATACTTGGCTTTGGGCGATGTGCCTGGTTATAGCCGAACCAGAGCCTCCATTTGCAAAATCAACTTGCAGACTTGTTGTTTTTCCTGAAAGAGTGCAATGAAGACACTTGCTTGATGTCAACAAGCAGGGAGTTCCAAGGTCTTTGCGCTGCCACAATAACAAAATTGGTTTCTTACAAATGCGGAACCAATATTATGAGGTACCCGGAACTGTGAGAGTTCCCCATATCGGAGTGGTCAAGTGAGCCCATCTGGGGTAAGGAGATCTTGGCTCCAAGTTAAGGGCTTTGTATACTAATAGTAACACCCTGAACATGGCTTGGTAGCAAACAGGTAACCACTGCAGATCTCTGAACAGAGGTGTTACATGCTGATGGGGTCTCGATCCTAACTTAGGTCTGTTAACTTCAATAGGCCTACTGTGAGTAGAATGAAGGTTAGTTGCTCCCCGCCTTGTAAAGCTCTTCTGCTCCCCTACAGATCACATTGTGCTATATGGATCGGGCAAAAAGATTCCATTCCCCTTATTTACCTATCAGTGATCCACTGGAGGCAATTCAAGTGGTGCAAAACACCAGAGCAGCTTCTTAAGGCTAAAAATAAAGGGAGACGTTAAAGAATGTTTCCAAAATGAACAGCCAAAAGAGTCTATGTTTCTGCAGGCACCTCACCACAATGTTCTTTTGGATGCAAGGAGGGGGGAAAAACCAGCCTTTAAATGCAAAGATCAGGGATTTCTGCTACACCTAGATAAGGCCCTTGTTTACTCTCAAGAATCTGGGCCAGTCTAATCTGGCTCTGAAATGAACACAGAGGCCACCAAGCCGGGGGCTTGGCAAAGGAGAGATACATGCAGAAGAAGTGTTTTTATAAGCCCTAGGAATGGGAGATTGGCACTTGGAGGGTCCGTCCAAAGCAGCATTTCCTTCCTCATCCTCCCAATATCTGCACTGCTCTCAGCAAGCCTGAGTATTAAGGGATTCGCCAAGCGACTCGCACATGCATGGATGCTTTAAAAAAAAACGAGTACACAAAGGGACTCATTTTACCCCAGCACACAGAAATGCTCCCAAGTTATTTCCAACTGGATCATGGAAGAACCACAATGCAGGGCCCCTTCCATCAGCTCTGCCGAAAGCCCAGCTCCATCAGGCACCTCCTACCCCTGAACTGTGCCAGCTGGTCATTGTAAGAATAGCTGTTTAAGAATGGGTGTCCGAGTTTGCATTTTTCCTCTTCCCTCCCTGTCCTTTTCCCGTGTGTGTGTGTGTGTGTGTGTGTGTGTGTGTGCGCGTGTCTGTGTTTTCACACGTAGAGAGCCAATGCAACATCATGATTAGAGTGTTGCACCAGGACTTGGGAGATCAGGGTTCAAATCCCCACTTGGCCACGAAGCTCAACTGGTGATCCCAGGTTGGTCACTGCTATCTCAACCTACCTCACAGGGTTGTTGTGGGGACTACATGAGAAGTGGGGAAACTTGTACACCACCTTTGAGATCCTTGGAGGAAATGGTGGGATATAAATGCAATAAAGAAATGCTAGCTCAGTAGAACTGTCTACACCAGGGGTGGGAAATCTTTGGCTTCCCGGGGGTTGCTGCATTACAAAACCCATCATCCCTGGCCACATTTGGTGTGGCTGATAGGAATTGTAATTCAGCAGCATCAGGCAGGCCAAGCATTCACCACACCTGGTTCACACTAACTGGAAGCAGTGCCCCAGGGCAGGGACCAACCCACCCATGAGGCAAGGTGAGACCAACGTCCCCAGGAGCAGATTTTTCTGTCCCCTTGTTCCTGATGTAGCTCTTCCCTGCCTCCTTCTTCCCTGGTAGGGAGGGGGGCACTATTTTGCGGTCCTCCTCAGGTACCAAAGTGTCTTGGGGCAGCTTTGCCCAGAGCTTAAGACAGGAGGCAAGATTATGCAATGATTTCGCATGAACTCCTGGGGCATTAAAATATCCAAATAGTGTTCAGCTGTTTCTCTCTGGAAAGGAAAAAACGCTGATTTGAATGCAAATGCCTAATTAATGGCTTATTTACAATTAATCTGCCTTTTAATCTTTCTGCAGCTAGCATTTTAAATGCATCTTGACTTGATAAAGACCCAGAGCAGAATTTTAAACAATGCACTGATTTTCTTTGTGCAGTGGAGGAAGAAAAAAAGTTATAATACCATACAAATACAAATGAACAGAGTTACGATAATTGAATCTACGTAGGGGCTTTCTGTGCTGGCTGACTCTTTAGAACAGATTTACTATTTAATTACGGCTGTTAGCCATATTCCATCTGTGTAGCATTTGAAAGAAACACCCATAAGTTGTTTAGCAGAATGACAGAGTGCCCAGGAATGGTTCTGCAATTTTGTGATGGCAATCCAACGCAGTCGTTAGCAAGAGGTCCCTTCGAGCACCTAATTTAAAAGTGAAACATCAGCAGATCTCTACCAAATATTGAATTTTTTTCCCTTAATAGAAATCATTGTGAATTTCAATACTGAGTCCACACATCACAAGTTATCAACAAGCAGCAGGCGAGACATTTATTCAGGCTTCTTCCTTTGGTGTGCGTGTGCGGTTGTGTTGTTGTTTTTTGCTGTGTACCCAGACTCAGTTGTTGGTGACCTAGCCATACACACAGCTTCCTAAAGTCATATGCTGATTTGTCAGAAAAATCTTTGCTTTCTCCAAACCTAATGGCTGCCTCTGCTAAAGGCTAGGAAACCCAAGAAGACCAACATCTCTGGTCTCTTTTCGCAAGCTGTGGGGACAGACTGATGGGCACAGAAGGGGCTGCAGGAAGAGAAATGTGACCAGGGCTGGTGTGCCTGGCACTCAGTGTGGAAGGACTAACCTCAGAAAACTGAACTGGAACATGCCACTTTCCCAACCTGGTGCCCTCCAGATGTTTTGGACTGCAACTCTCATCAGCTCCCCCGCCCCAGCCAGCACACTCTGTTGATGCTTGCGCTGCTAGGAGTTGTAGTCCTAAACATCTGGGCAGCAGAAGGTTGGCAAACGGGACCATAGATCTAAGACTGAACTGAGACTGCTTTGCCAGAAACAGAGTACAGTACGATCGCCTCTAACATGCATTTAACTTGCGCACTTTCAACCACATGTGGTGGAAGGCTGGCTGAAATTCTGCAAGTTAAATGCAAGCGAGGCAGAAAGCTTAAAAGCTATTTTTGTGCCAGGGCTACCCAGTGCAAAAAAAGAAAGAAAAAGGGAGCTTTTAAACTCTCTGCCTTGCTTGGGGGGGGGGGGCAAGGCCCACTCAGTGGCTGGCTCCAGAAGGCGAGGGATGCTTCCCAGGAGCGGTTTGATTATACTAATTTTTACATATATGCAGAACCCTGGGAACGGAGCCCTTGCGTAAGATGCAAAACTGCCCAACCCTTTTCCACAGCGAAAAATTCCCTCCTCCCAGGTAGACCCATTTTGCTCCTCTGGCAAACCTCCACCTGCTCTGTCAGAGCACTCTGCTGAATGCCCATTTCGAGCCCATTCATTCATTCACATACACAGAGCCAGCATGGGACACATTAACACTGCACTAAGATCGCACTCCAACAGACATTAGGCCTGAGGTGTATAAATTCAGGGCCAGTGAAATGTTGCCAACTCCCGTCTGAGGCATCTTTAAAAAAAATAAAAAATCTGCAATGCTATTGAAATGCTCTTTTCCCAGAGTCTAGATCTCAAGGGGTGGTTTGAGCTATTGCTAAAACTGAACGTGAACAATTCCAAACCACCACAGCTAGAGTCCAGTCACCTTGAGAAACACAAAGTGCAAATCGGGGGTGCCCAACTCAAAACACTGGACCTCTGTGCAGACAGAGCCACAAAGTATTCAGACAAATGGGAGAATTTCTTTGAACTCAGTCGCTGCCTATCTAACATGCTGTGAGATTTATTTATTTATGTTTGTAAGTTTTTCTTATTTCGTTTTATAAGGTATAGAAAACAGAAGAGGACAGGGATAACAACAGGTGAAAATTAAAATATGAAAAACAAAACTATAAGCGCACAGAATGAGTACAGTTGCACATAGGTTAAAAGAACAAAGTTCAAGTAAAGAATACTGTATAAGTGTTATCTGGTTAGCAAATATGGTTCCAGATTTGCCAGGGCTGTCTTGAAAATGATGGCTCTGTTGTATGTGTCATTAAAAAAAAATGCCAAATCATATAAAAAGTGGCTGGAGGTTCTAATCCTTGTCAAAATTGCAAAGTATGTGCAATTTTCTCCTTACTGTGAGATTCTGAACCACGTTGGTTTGTGTACTGGGGGGGTGGGGGTGGGAAATGGGAGTGAGCGGAAATGGCTGTCGTAATTATGAGCCCATTTAGTGTGGAGCCTAATAAATCTACTTGCTCTCCAGATGGATTAGACTATTAAGCCCCCCACCCCCTTTTGCTAATGGCACAAACAAGAACGCCAAACTCTGCCAGCTGCTTGCAAATGCATTACGAGGCCCCCTTGAAGCCAGCAAAGCACCACATTGTTGCTTCGGAGATTGATGAAGGAAGTCTCCGCAACAGATGAAAGACCTTAGCACTGTTTCGTCAGCTTCACTGCACCCCTATTTATAGACCAGGCGCAAGTCCCCAAACAGCCGCCTTGGTAAACCTCATTAACTGCCCTCCAAGGGGTGCAAAGCTGCACCTATTATTGCTATTTATAACGCTTATTCTGTGCTTTCTTCAATGTATACCATGTCACCTGCCTTTCAAGGGGGAACCCAAGGGGGCGTCGCCATGACATCATGTGACTGAGGAGTAGGGTGTTCCATTCGCCTGCCAAAATGGCCCATTGAGGGAGCTCAGATGCAAGCCCCCCAACCCGTGGGGCAGCTGGGGTGACAGGAATGGTAAACCAAAACATCTCGAGGGCATTACACATTGATGTAGGTACCTCTTCAGCTGGCTTCATTCCAGGTTTATCTAAACAGCTGATGGGAGAAATTCCTTTCGCCACACCTCAAAAAGGATATTGTAGAGTTGGAAAAGGTTCAGGAAAGGGCAGCCAACACGATCAAGGGGGTGGAGCAACTTCCCTGTGAAGAAAGGTTGCAGCGCTGGGGACTTTTTGCATGCAAAAAGGGCAAGAGGCAACATGCAAGAAATTTATTAAAAATATGCACTGCACAGAGAAAGTGGATAGAGAAAAGATTTTCTCCTCTCATAACGCTGGAACTTGTGGATATCCAATGAAGCTGAATGAAGATTCAGGACAGATCAAAAAAGAGAAAGCCCTTCATGTAGTATAGAGTTAAATGATGGAACTCACTCGCACAGGGACCACCAACTTGGCTGGCTCTAAAAGAGGATTGAGTAAATTCAGGGGGAGAAGGCAATCAATGGCTACTAGCCAGGATGGCTATGCTCTGCCTCCACAGCTGGGAGGCAGCAACGCCCCTGAATACCAGTTGCTGGAAACCAAAAGGAGGGGAGAGGGCTCTTGTGCTCGAATCCTGCTTGTGGGCTTCCCATTGGGGCATCTGGTTGGCCAATATGATGCTGGACTAGATGGGCTACTGGCCTGACCCAGCAGGGCTCTTCTTACATTCTGGTTAAGCTCACCCCATGCTCTAAACACCTCCATGCACATCTAGTCACTTGCAAACAATAAGGCCACCATGTTCTCTCTGCAGCAGCTGCCAAAGCACCAAGAATTACTCAAGGAGCAACAGCCAGCCGCTGGAGGAGGGGGGGGGATTAGCATCGTGGCCTCAGGTAACCTCAACGAATGGGCTTGCTTGGGATGGGCACACGCACCCTGCAATGACAGCTGTCACTTAAACAGAAAGAAAGGGAAATGAATACATTACCGGAGATTCCAGCCTGCCTCCAGGAATATTACAGGTGGCATTTATCGAATGTGTGGGAGTTACTTAGCAGCTCAATATCTTAACCTTGAAGTTGCCTGGAAATCTCTGGAAACAAAAGGCTTGTTTACAGGCTGCTCAAAAGATGCTCAGCTGTGATACTGCAGCACGTCCTGCTGCATTTGAGTTTGGGGGGGGGGCGGGAGAGACAGGCATCAAAAGCAATCAATAACCAGCCCCCTGTGCCTGAGGTTACAGAAGCCTCCTAAGAATGAGTCAACTACAGGGTGGAGTCACCTCCATTGTGGAAATCTCCATTGCCATTGGAGAGAGATGGGGAGACAAACTCCTTGAAGAGCAGCTGGTCCTGCAAACCTCCAGCGTTAAGGGCTGCTCTGAAATCCGCTGAAAAATGACATTCAGATGAAGCTGCCTTCTACTGAATCTCTGTTCACCTAGCTCAGTACTGTCTACACCAGGGGTCAGCAAACGTTTTCAGCAGGGGGCCGGTTCACTGTCCCTCAGACATTGTGGGAGGCAGATTATATTTTGGAGAAAAAAATGAATTCCTACGCTCCACAAATAACCCAGAGATGCATTTTAAATAAAAGCACACATTCTACTCATGTAAAAACATGCTGATTCTCAGACCGTCCGCGGGCTGGATTTAGAAGGCAATTGGGCCGAATCTGGCCCCCAGGCCTTAGTTTGCCTACCCATGGTCTACACTGAGTGGTGGCTGCTCTTCAGGGTTTCAGAAAAGGGGCTTTGGCAGGTCTGCCTGGAGATGCTGTGGAGCAAGCTTCAGACCTTTCACATGCAAATCCCTCCTGAGTCAGAACAGGATCGGCTCTCTCCCAGGGTCTTGAGCACAGTCTTCCCCCGCTAGCAATGTAGACAATTTTGCCTGGAACATTCTCTGTACAAATCCTGTACTCTGCCATCAAGGCACAGTACCTCCCCACCCACAGCTGTGCAAGCGTGAGAGCCACTGTGTTGTAGCGATTAGAGGGCTGGACCAAGACCAGGGAGAGACCAAGGTTCAAATCCCCCCTTGGCCACAAAGCTCACTGGGTGACCCTAGGTCATTCACTGCCTCTCAGTCGACCGACCTCACAGGGTTGTCGTGGGGATTAAATGAGGAGGGGGAGAACCATGCACACAGCCTTGAGCTCCTTGGAGACAGTGGTGGGATATCAATGCATTAAGTAATAAAATAATAAAGTGGAGATTAAGAAGGGCAGGATCCCACAGAAGCAGTTCTGTTAGCACAAAGGAATGCCCCCTTCTTTCTTGCTGCACAACCTCAAAATCTGTGCTAGGTTGTCCCACCAACAAATCTGAGGAAGGGCACACAGGGAGAGGAGAGGCAATTCCACTATATAAACAAAAATGTTTGTCCTAACAGAGGTACAGTCGGACCTTGGTTCTCAAATGCCAAAAACCCAGAGGTAAGTGTTCTAGTTTTTGAACGTTTTTCGGAAGCTGAACGTCTGACGCAGATCCTGTTTGAGTGCAGGAAGCTCCTGCAGCCAATCAGAAGCCACACCTTGGTTTTCGAACATTTCAGAAGTCGAATTGACTTCCGGAACGGATTAAATTTGAGAACCAAGGTACGGTTGTACTTTGCTGGATACTTCCTGAAATCACCTGTGTGCTATACCAATAAAATCACAATCAGATCCCTTTGCCAGCACCAGCAGTCTGTGAGTGGCTTTGGAGACAAAGCACAGAATCATAGGATTGTTGAGTAGAAGGGACCAGAAAAGTCCATCTAGTCCAACCCCCTGCAATGCAGGAATCACAACTAAAGAAGCCCTGATAGATGACCAGCCAATCTCTGTTTAGAAACTGCCAATGGAGAGGAATCCACCACCTTCCAAGGGAACAGGTCTTACCGTCAGAAAGGCTTGCCTTCCAGACCCCTTTTATAGTCAGCCTTCTCTGCGCACGTTCCAGCTTCTCAATAAACTGCAGCACGCATTCCAGATGTAGTCCAACCAAGGTGGAATAGAGTGAAACCATTACTTCCCTTGATCTGGACACTAGACTGCCATTGATGCAGCCAAGGACTGCTTGCATGTAGTCGGTGAAGGGGGGGGGGAGAGGGAAGCAAGGCGGCACCTTTCAGGCCCATTCACAACACCTGCACATTTGGTACAATTTCAGAAAATGGGGAGGCACTACACACAAGCAGCTCTACACTTTCTGACATTGCACTGATGGGGGCAATCTTGTGTCCCACCCCATAGGGGTTAGAGGGAAGGTGTGGTCATTTGAACAGGGCTTGCCTCCCAACTGCATCCTCCTGCCACCCTGAAGGATGGGGATAATATTAGGCTACATTACAGGGCTGTAAGCATCCCTGAGAATATACTGTAGGAGAAGCATTTGTAACATCCTCTCCAAAATACTTTTAGCGGGTGAGCTAAAACCACCCGGTCAATTTGTTATTACGGTCTGGTTAATTTTCAAATCTGATGTTTTAAAACCTCCTTTTAGGCACTGTTACCCGTCGTGAGGATTTTGGAGAAGGAAGAGTTACGAAGCCTAAGCAAGCCAATCTTTTAAAAGAAAAATAATCCACGGTTTCATGCCAATGCATTTAATTATCTCTTTCTGCAGACTTCTTTACACTGTTTGCACACTGGGAGGTGTTTTTTTTTTTAAAGTATTTTTTTGGCGGGGGGGGGATAAGAGGCATGAGAAAGATAACTGCTGTAAGAATTGATACATTTCAGGTCCCCTTTTCCTCCAAAGCCCATGGATTTCGCTTAATTCAGAGCCCCGTGGCTGCTAGATCGTGTGTAAGTGCTCTGCGCATCAAGAATTCTTAAAGCACTCCGCTCAGATACAAATTGCATTATTTTTATTGATTTTTACATTACGGTGAGATTTGCTTCTGCAGTAATCGCAGAGGTTTCGGGAACAATTAAAAGCGTTCCCAATTTTCCACCAGCAATGGAATGATTATTTTTCATGACTGAAGTGTCATTTTAATAAAAAGAGCTGCTATAATTCATACCGCTGGAACTTGCAAATAATTACCACTATCCGTTATAGGCCAATACATCCAGAAATTAGTAATAAGGCAGAGCATCCAAAAGCTGTCTCTCTTTGCCAGGCAGCATAGCCCACAGATCTTTTTAAATACTGTAGCTGTTTCAGAATTCTAAATACATATTTACAGCCAATATAAAGAACCTTGTAAATCGTGGCTTGCTTTATTTCGCTGGGCAGGGATGGAGTGGGATAAGATCTGGTCCAGGAGTCTCTGCTAAAATGGGAGGGATGGTGGGGTCCCAGGTACCTTGAAGCAGGGGGCGCTGGGAGGCCATACCTTGAAAAAACCATCTCTAGACCCAGAAGATTTCGCGAGGATCCCAATATCCTCTTTTTAGGGCAAGGTGCTGAAACAGATGGTAGGCATTCAGTTACTCCTGGATGACCACTGAGTATCCACACACCTCAAGGGTGGAGAAAGGTATGGGCATCCGCCGTAATTTTTTGGTGTGAGTGCCTTCCCAACCTCCTAACCATTTTAAATCATTGCAATAAAATCATGATCGTTCCGGAGGTCCTTTCTTAACCTGAAACTGTTCTTAACCTGAAGCACCACTTTAGTTAATGGGGCCTCCTGCTGCCGCCGCACCACCGGAGCACAATTTCTGTTCTCATCCTGAAGCAAAGTTCTTAACCTGAAGCACTATTTCTGGGTTAGCGGAGTATGTAACCTGAAGCGTATGTAACCAGAGGTACCACTGTACAGAAATTCCGTAAATGATACAGTAGGCAAGAGTTCACGTAGGTTAAGGTGCCGAGGCTAATGTAGAACGCAGGAGGCTGTTTTTTACTGAGTCAGGCCACTAGTCCATCTAGCTCAGTACTGTCTACACTGACTGGCAGCAGCGCTCCAGAGTTTTAGGCAAGGGCTCTCCCAGCCCTACCTGGAGACACTGGGGACATTCTGCATGCAAAGCAGATGCTCTGTGCTACTGTATGGCCCTTCTCCAGCATCTCTGACACCTGTGGGAACTCCACTTGAGAGAGATTGAGTGTGATTTGTCAATGAATGCTTCTGTTACATTGTAGAGATGGGAGAAAAAAACCCAGATTCAGTCTGCATTCACATTTTCTGAAACTATGCAAACATAAACACAGCCATCCTTCAGAAGTCACACTTTCAATTTTTATTCAATATAGTTCAAAGATGCAAATAAATTGGGGGGAAACTGCGCACAAAATGCAAATATTAGTGAAAATAACATGCAAAAATGTTTGGGTGGAAATGTGAATATTAGGCAAAACTGAATGTAAAAAAATTATTTGGATAATCTGCACTGAAATGTTGATAGGGAAATTCTACTCGGGGAAATTGGCACTGATGAATTTTTGTGTGTGTTTTTTTTAATGCAAACTGATGTGGCAGTATGGAGAACTGAACTTAGGACTGGCAAAATGGTGGAGAAAAAGCAAAATCCAGACGTGCCCCCACTTGCATCCGCCAAGATCAGTGCCAAGCTAAGGTAGGTTTTCTGTCAATGAAAGAAGGTAGTTTTATTCATCTTGTGGATTATCTATATTAAATGATGCAGAGGGGAGGAAGAACTCGAGAGCTTGTGCCAACACACTTGTTCACAGTACGATGCCTCTTCCCAGAACAACTGGCACCCTGCTCCTGACTACCACTGCTTACTGGCAAAAAAGAAAAAGAGCTAACCTGATCACTTCTAAGCCTGCTGCCCTTTTCCCCTGGAGGAGGCAAAGTGTTGCATTGTATTTAGTGCTCATCGATTTGCAAGCTTGGAGGGGATTGCAAGCTCGTCAGAAACCAATGCCTAACGACCGCTCTATAGACCCCCGTAAGAGCATCATTAGCCTAACAAAAATACATGCAAAAATATGTGCTGGAACAGACAAGGTGACGTCTCCATCCGTAATCTTGATCACATAAATATTACTTTGGGCAAAAAAGAAAGAAAGAGGGAAATTATAAATGCGCCTGTTGGCAGGAGAGCCCGAAAACTTCTCAGAAATTATACAAGAGTTTATCCATCGTGCATGCACCATATCCATCACTGTGTGCAGCTTTTTAATTAAAACTCCTCCAGCTAAGAAAGTTAGTAAAGAGGCTTGCCTCGCCATTTAGCAAATATGCCCATGAGCAACACACATGGAGTTATGCAAACGCCGAAGGACTACTTCCAGAAATAACTTTGAAATGAAGCAAGGGTTGGGACACAGACACACACATACACACACAGAGAGAGAGGAGTCTTGATCAGCTGCCAACTGGTTAAAAGGAGGATTTAGTCATGAACTCTACATTAGCACAGCCATGACTAGGTGCACAGAACTTGGAGTAAGCTGAGCTCCAACGCGCTGACACACCCAGACTTTGCAGGAACAGCTCCTCTGTGCAGCTGAAAAGAATCTGGGAGCATTAAAATTTAGCAGTTTAAAGTTTAACCGCTTGCTGAGAACAAGCCCTTTGGAGCTCAGATTGTCGTGGGCGAGGCTCAAACCGCAGAGCCGCAGGCAGATATCTGTGGCAGGAGGCATGCAGAAGGAGAAGGAAGTTCAGAAAAGGGAGACCTAAATGATCCAGGAGATGAAGTCACTCCCCTACGAAGAAAGGTTACAGCGACTGGGACTTGTTCATTGGAGAAGAGGAGACACGGCAGAAGTTTGTAAAATTATGCACAGCATGGAGAAAGTGGAGGAAGGCAAGGTTCCTCTGCCCCCAAACAACACCAGAACTCAGAGACATCCAGTGAAGCTGAAGATTCAGAAAGGATAAAAGAAAGGACTTCATCATGCAACTCACAGTTAAACTATGGAACTCACTCCTGCAGGAGGCAGCAATGGCCACCAATTTGGACGGCTTTGAAAGAGGATTGGGCAAATTCCCAGAGGAGACGGCTATCAAAGGCTGCTGCTAGCCACAATGGCTATGCTCTGCCTCCATAGCTGGAGACAGCAATGCTTCTGAATACTAATTGCTGGAAACCACAGGAGAGGAGACGGCCCATGCTCTCAGGTCCTGCTTGTGGGTTTCCCATTGGGGCATCTGGTTGGCCTCTGAGAACAGGGTGCTGGACTAAATGGGCCATTGGTCTGTTCTAGCAGCCAACCTCACGTTATGTTCCTAAGAGAGAGAGAAGCCAGCTCCTGTCTACCAAACAGAACGTCGGCAGTTCCAGTATAGTTTCTGCTACTGCTGCTGCTGCTGCTGCTGCTATGAGATTGTTCGACGGCATCTGATATGTTTTAACTATGGTTATTTGTGCAGCTGCTTTATTTTAATTTTTAAAAGTATTTTTAGGCCATCTGTGATTCTATCCCAGAAAGGGCGTGGTACAAAAATTATGCTATGTATGTACAAATAACTGAAATGCTGAACACCACTACCTGCTTGCACTTGGGAGTCAATGGCAACTCCTATGGAAGATGAAGGATTTGGCTTGAGCTTTGCTTGGTCCAGCAAAACAAACTAGATTTTCCAAAACGGGGAAGATAAGTTTCAAGTCCTCAGGGAAGTGTGAATAAATATGCCGGCCTGGATGACCTTTCCAAAAGAGAAAAATGCTGATTGTAAAAAAGAAAAGAAAAAAGAACTGTATAGGGAGAGTTGCTGACAACTCAGAAAGCATAAATACATAAATATTTTCTTTTCATAATGTACCGGGGGGGGGGGGGACTACTTTGAAGAGCCAGCCTTGAAATGATATTGGGGTTGGGGAGTTAATATTAGCAGAGTTCCTTTCAAAATGTGTCCTGCCTTCCGACAAGTGACAACGAACCTGCAAAAGGCTGCTATGCAGAAAGTTAATAATAGCCTCCAGCCAAGGGAGCTTTTCATCAGTTGGTTCTCCCTCCCTCCTCTCCCCTTGGTTTTAGGAACCATCACCGCCAAAGCTATGTGTGGGCGAACCTTTGGTCTTTCCATATAGGACCACCATCATAGCAAATGTTTGGTCTTTCCTAATAGGTTCAGTGAATTTCCTTTGAAATTCTACAGCATTACAACAGGGCCTCCATTCTTATAAGCGCCTGAACTATTAGGTGCCCCCATTATCTGGGCTGATAATGCACAGGACTCCGGTCCTAACACCAGTCTCTGACTAACGGCAAGAGCTTCCATTCATCTCAGAGAAGCAGCGCTGCCTTACATTACCAAGACAGGATTCCCCACCCCAATTCAAATACTGCTCTTTTCAGGCTCTTTGTGCTAAGAATCTCTCTCATTCCAGAAATATAGCGGAGTGGCAGTTTGCAGAAGAACTGCAGGAGGAGCGTCAGCCTGCACGCTGCCCCTGCAAATCCAGACAGGCTCCCACCTTCCCAGGGAAACTGCTGAGCCAAAGCCATGAGGCAAGACAACGAGTTAGTCTCTGTGGAAATTTCCAGGCACACATGTTGGAACAGTCTTGCTTAGACTTGTTTTTTATGCCGAAGGAAAGAAAATGAGTGATGTGTTCTACGCCGTTTGCAAAGAGTCGATCTGCAAGCCTGGAGAAGAAACAACAGTTTTTTAAGAGTGTGGCGGAGAGAGAAGCAGGAATTCCACAATGTAGGAAGAGGAAAGTGAGAAGAAGAGTGAGGGGTTGCTGGAAACGGAAGCTGAGCTCACGGATACGAGCCTCAGCTCTGCAATTCTCTGGACTATCTTATGCTGAGAGTTGTTAGCAGGGCACTATTCCCCCTTCCCAGTTCTCAAGAGTTTTCTGGGGAAGAGGACTGATTGTTAAACCACTCTGGGAATTGTCACTCTTGTGAGGGGAACAGGGGCTTCACAACAACTCTAAACATCTTTAGCAAACTACAGTTCCCAGGATTCTATATAGGGGGAAGCCATGGCTGTTTAGAGTGGTATGATGCTGGTTTAAATTTACAGCTAACTCCTTGGCCTCTGCTTGTTCAGACATTGCCAATACTGTTTCACCTGCACCTATCTATTCTCCCCCTCTGCATCTTCTGGCTGCAGCTCAGTGGCAGAGCTTCAATCTCCAGCATCAACAGGTAGGGGTAAGAATGCTTCCTGCCCGAAATCTTGAAAAGCCGCTGTCATTTAGTGGTTCCCAAACTGTTAATGGCAACCCCGTCACCCTTGGTTCCATAAACAGTTCCTGCCCTTCTCTATAAAAACAACATTCATAATAGTGTTTGGCACAACCCATTAAGAAGATAATAACACAATACCATTCAGAACAATAGCAATTAATTGCACATTTATTTAAAATCCAGTTGAAAGTATTTGGCTTACTTAATTCAACAAAACTGATGAACTTGATCAATTGATACCAGCATTTCCAAGTCGGATAGTTATTTAGCAAGAATCTTAGATACCACATTTAGGAACTACTTCAGTAAATTCTTAATGTCCAAGGTTGGCTTGCTGAAGTGATAAAGGTTTTCCCTACGTCTGGTTTAAAGTAACTTAGCAGGAGTCTTAAATCACCATGTTTAGTAATTGGCAGCTGATTTCTTTGCTTGAAGACAAGTCGGATGACCACACAAAAACCACATTTCATCAAATATGATGTTGGAAATGCAACAAGGAGCTTCTTAACCACCGACCATAGTGCAGGATAGCATTCAGAAATTCCCCTTCTGCAACCAAAACTCTTAAACCTTGGCTTCAGCTCAATGTCATTTTGTAGCTCAATTAGTTCTTCCTCCACTACCCTATCTTGTGACCTCGCTGTGAGTAGCAACAAACTCAGAATTGTGAATGGAAACAAATGTGACCAAAGGAAATACTGTAGCTTGGATATTGCCAACAGCACTAAAACTTTAAATATGAAGCAAGGGAGGTGTTTCGCTCTAGGCTCTGGCTTGGTCAATTGTAAAAAAGTGAACAATGCACTCAGAGGGTCACACCTTCAGAGCCCCCCCGTTACCCGCTTGCTTTTTCATGCCTCTCTGGGTGATCCCTGTGGGTCAGTACTGCTCACATGGGAACCATGGGTATAAGACAAATCTGATGAATCACTGGCATGACTTGGAATAAGGCAGCTTCCTATATTCCTATCTTTGCGAAATCCTTCCCTTTTAAGGAGAATTGTGCCGGACTCCCAGTCCAGAGTGCCAGTGTGGTGTAGTGGTTAAGAGGGGTGGACTGGTAATCTGGTGAACCGGGTTCGCGTCCCCGCTCCTCCACATGCAGCTGCTGGGTGACCTTGGGCCAGTCACACTTCTCTGAAGTCTCTCAGCCCCACTCACCTCACAGAGTGTTTGTTGTGGGGAGGATGGGAAAGGAGGATGTTAGCCGCTTTGAGACACCTTTGGGTAGTGATAAAGCGGGATATCAAATCCAAACTCCTCCTCCTCCTCCTCTTCTCCTTCTCCTTCTCCTTCTTCCACCCCTTGGCCACCCGACTCAAAGCACAGCTTTCCCCAGTGAAACAGCCTCCCTATCCAGGCCAACTCCCCAGTTACCAGTCTGCTCGGCTCTCATGACAGGTGGGCGAGCTTATTTAGAAACTGATGCCACCAATGCTAATAGATTCTTCCAATAAATCTATTTTTAATTGGGACACCAAGATTGGAATCTCAGAACTCCAAAATGGGATCAAACAGGTCAAGCGCCAACCCGGCCGCCCCACCCACAGGACGTTCCGGACTTTGGAGCCAATCGGAAGGGATTTAGACATCCCTTGCACACAAGCCTAAGCAAAGCATGGATTTCACAGTGCACGGGAAAGTGTGGATTAACCACTGAAATGTAACTAGAACTAAAAACATCCAGTGAAGATTCTTCACCACGCATTTGGGGGCAGAAGAAACGTCATTTGATAACCTTCCCTCCAGTGCCAATTCTAATGACAAGCTGCAAGCTGGCACATCAACTGCTGGTTTCCTAAGCCCCATTTGACACAGAAGCCTGTGAATGGCACCCCACGCCATGAGAAGCCTCTGGCTGACTGTAGCAGCTGCAACATGAAGGCACCCAAGAGGCAAGGAGACCCATTTCCGAGCACTAGGACGCAACATCAAGGATGGAGGGCGTGGTACTCTGAAAACACAGGATCATATAGGGTCATCTAGTCCAACCCCTTACAAAGCAGGAATCTCAACTAAAGCACCCAGGACAGGTGCTTAAAAATTTTTTTATTGCATAAAAAAATCCAGTGAAGGAGAGTCCACTACCTCCCAAGGGAGCCTGTTCCACTGTCAAACAGCTCTTACTGTCCTGATGTTTCGTTGAAATCTTGAAGCCATTGGTTTGAGTCCTACCCTCCAGAGTAGGAGAAAACAAGCTTGTTCCCTCTTCCACGTGAAAGCCCTTGATATACAGTGGTACCTCGGGTTACGTACGCTTCAGGTTACAGACTCCGCTAACCCAGAAATAGTGCTTCAGGTTACGAACTTTGCTTCAGGATGAGAACAGAAATCGTGCTCTGCGGCGTGGCGGCAGCAGGAGGCCCCATTAGCTAAAGTAGTGCTTCAGGTTAAGAACAGTTTCAGGTTAAGAACGGACCTCCAGAAAGAATTAAGTACTTAACCCGAGGTACCACTGTATTTGAAAATGGGTATCCTATCTCCTCTCAGTCTCCTCTTCTCCAGGCTAAACATACTCAGCTCCTTCCACCGTTCCTCATAAGGCTTGGTTTCCAGACCTGTGATCTTCTTCCCTCATTTCCAGCTTGTCAATATCCTTCTTAAACTGTGGCATCCAGAACTGGACACAGTATTCCAGGTGTGGTCTGACCAAGGCCACATTGATGGGGACAGTGCTGACACCCCCTCCCCATCCATCGAGCACTTGTACCATCACATAAGACCAGGAACAGCCTGGGGTGCCTTCACAGTGCAGGCAAAATGCCCCGCCAGCCCCCTCACCCTGTAGATCCAGGCTCCCTCCCTGCTGCCAGCCCTGTAACTACAATTGCACCCTTGCCCACAGCTGTGCTCACACTGCCATGCCAGCGGCGAGGGCTCAGCAGCAGCGAGGGCAAGGGATCTGTGGCACAGGTAAAGTCCTGGCAGAGCTGGCAACGGCACAACAGCAGGGATGGGATCTTCCCCCCTAGGCAAATTTATTCACCTCGCCTCACTGAAGCATTGGCCTTGCCTAAGACGAGGCTAAAAGAGGCACGTCTGGTCCAGCATCCTGTTCTCACAGTGGCCACCCAGATGCCTTTGGAAAGCCATGAGTCAAACAGCACTCTGTCCACCTGCAGTTCTCAGTAAGTGGTATTCAGAGGCACAACCCCTCTGATCATAGATGCAGAGCATTGTGGCTAGTAGTCATGGGTAGCCATGTCCAATCCTCTTTTAAAGCCATCTAAGTTGTCTGCTCAAAGCTTTCAAGAACAACACCCAATCTATCCTTTTGCTTGTGGCAAAAATATTAGGCATGCAGATGTATCACACACACACATATAGTACATATTTATACCCTTTTCAGTTCAAGTCAACAACCCCTTCTTCCCTGCTGCTGCATGCTGGGCACAGATATTTTTAACTAGCCCGTGTTCTCGTCCTTCACCATATTAACAAATTCAGTGTCACTTAAGATGTATTAAATTCTGCAATATAGCAAGCAGTCTGATGCTTTGGGGTGGGGGTTAAATGAATAATTCATGAAGGCAAGAACAGTTTACACAAAGCATTGCGATTTTGCAATCATCCCTCCCCTCCCCTCTCTCTTTCCCCCACCCTCAAAGAAGCCCCGCAAGACTACACTTAAGGCAATCAAGTCTCTGATATGGTCCTTTTGACAGCAAAATGATTTTCAGCAAGCAACACGTTCATCATAATGTTGAGCATATCCATCAGGCTTTTTTATTTAAAAAAAGCATGCCCAGGACAGGGGTCTATGAATAAGACTGCTTTCCCTCAGTGGGATTCAATCCAATCCGCTTCTAAATATGTATAATGCCATAACATTAAAGCTCTGTAGATTGCCATCAGTCCTCCTGCAGTTTAATTTCATCAACCTTCGAAATTCAGATCAGCAAGCACTTTCATCCACAAAAGACACCTCAGAATTGAGGCTCCACAAGCAGGCTGCAAAATGCACTTATAGGATGCATTTTAAACCTACAGCAGAAGGGAGGGGGGAGTTTGTCTGCAGATTAAATACACATACTGGAACTTTGTTTGTTGCAGGTTAATATGAAGCCCATGATCAGTTGATGTTTTGGAATTATGCTAAGTCTGAACCCAAACAGATTCTTCCGCAAAGAACATAGCAAGTACCTGATGAAAAATTCCAAAATACTGGCTGAATTGTTCAGGTATGGAATGCAGGTGAACACCACAATTATAATTCTAACAACGATTTACTGTTTTTCCAGGAAAAAACTTCATTACTTTTTTAGCCAAGCAGTTAAGATGAACAAATGTATCACACTTTTCTCCTTTTGAAAATAAGGAATATGGAACATTTAAAAACATAAGTTATTTGGCAATGCTATACAGCTTCACAGGGCACAGAAAGTGTGTTGATTCTGCCCACACAAGGTCACTATTTAAAATGCCCTGTTAAAAAATAATAATATCCAATTTTGAAAAGAAAAATAAACACATTGGAGATTTTAAACAGAAAATGACAAGGCTATCATATGGGACATTAGATTAAAGAGTTTCTTTGTCAGTCTTAATTCCTGCTTCCAACCCCATCCTCCTATTAAGCTATAAACATGGAAGGGAATTGAACTGACATCTGAAACCACACTGCCTAGCTTCAGTGTTTTAATTTCGCTTCCTAGACTCTTGTGGGGAAGGTTCCTCCACACCATTATAAGCAGTTCTCTCAAGTTAAGCTCTGTGGTTAAAAAACTGCCAAAGACGACTAATTCTCTAGAAATGGTAATCACAGCTCATATGCTTCCAAGAATCTTCATGCTTTGTTATGTTTCATTTTGTTTAAATTTGGTGGTCTTGTAATACGGATGGCCCTACGAAATTTTCAACTTTTAAAAGGGAACATTACCTTGCAATCCCATTGCTAGCCTTGCAGCAATTAAACTGAGATTTTGGACAGTTAACACTTATGAACCTGAACAAGTAGATTCACGTTTGGTTCAGGAAGGCTCTCAGGTCGCAAGAGGGAAATCAGTAATTGCATGTTGCAGCATACCTGTAATTGCTGCTTACCTGCCTAGACCATCAATTTCACCAGTTAGCACGTTTAAAAAAGGGGGGGGGCGTTTTGCAAACCGTGCTTCTCTCCCACCCTCCCTGCTGCAAATCTGCTTACGGAACAAACAAGGCGATTCTGAATTATATGCACAACAGACCCCCAACTCAACAGTATCATCACACTACTATAACTCCATGTGGATTATCAGCCTGCCCTTCCTTCCACCACAAGCTCCTTCTCCACATGACCTAAGCAGCTGGAAAGTTTTATTAACACGGAATGAACATTAACTATTTAAATGCCAAGCAGCAGGAGGGGCCATCCTATGTGATTTCAGAGCATCTTCAGTCCAGTCTGGGGGGGGGGGGGGAGTTCAGAAAAAAACCGAGACAGCCAGAGGATGATTTGATTAAGACCATCTTACCTTAAGTCAAAAGGAGGCCTCTAAACACTAATGCATCTCTGAATCCAAGCTTTTAAGAAGGTTTCCAGTAACCATCTGGGGGAATAAAAATAAATAAAGATAGTTAAGATCCCCCGAATATGTGTTTTGCTGTCTGCAACTCCTCCTCCTCGGCGGCAGCAGCAGCGGCGGCTCCCTTCTGCTCTCAAAGGCAGCCCCGCTGATATGTTTCAAGGCTTGACACGGGGAACTCAAAAAGGGATCAAGCGCATAAATGTCATTTCCTCAAGGCAGCTGCTTCAGCTGCAAAGGAGTTTAATCTGCTTGGCCTGCCGCAATCCTACCTAATTGAAGATTTAATCCCAGCAGCTGCCCGGTGGTGTCATAAAAGACAGGGCTTTCATTAAACGTTTTGGGAGACACTGGATTCAAATCCCCCACCATATTTAAAGGATTCTTGCTTTAAATAAACAGTTACAGAGTTCCACTCAAAAGTCTACATTTTTTATTTTTATTTTTTTTAAAAAGGGTGGGGGGTGGGGAAGAGAGATTTAAAAACCAAAGAAAAAACTAACACAAGCCTGTCGGGCCAAGCTCTCTGCTCTTGGAACAAGTTATCCTCATCTCTTCTACTTCTGAGCACAGGAACAGATGGAGCCTGAAAAAGTTTGGTTTGCAGATCCCAAGTAAAGGAGAGGTCCTTCCTCTGCCCCTGCAATGGCCAAGATTTTCCATCATCTGCATATTTCTCAAGGCACAAGGGCAAAAAACTGAAGTGGGGTGTGCAAAGCAGAGAGGAAAAATTATATGTCACAAAGTGGACTGCAAAAAGAGAATTCCATGCTCCAGTGTTGAAACTACAGAAAAATGAAGGCAGCCCAATGATCTAAAGTAGAACAGAACTGGAAAACAAACTTTCAGTAATGTTATTTTGTACTTATTAACCTCATTCCAAAAACCTGGATGGGTGTGCGAACATATTTCACAAAACCTCTTTTTTTTTAGTCTATTTTCACCATCTTGCCCCACTCGAGGTGGCAAAATTGCTGCCATTTTCCTATATGCAAAATGCATTCTTCTCATCTTGTTGAAACATCCCTAAGGTAGTAATAGACACATAGACACACACACACACAAAGTGTAACACCCATTAAAAATTATGCCCAATATAGTCAAAGTCTATGTGCCATTTCTCCACTTTAACCCTTTTGCTAGAGGCTCAATTTAATAAACAAAGGCAGCTTTAATAATTCAGATCTCACTTTGCAAAAAGATGCAAGGGGGCTGTCAGGATCTTCCTGCAACACAGTACATTTCTCCAGCCTCTCTGAGGCTTTGCATATATTTAAGTCTGTGTGTCTTGCTTTTGGAATGCTGATAACTTCAGTGTTCTTTTCTGCTCTTTAAAGGATTAAACGTAACCACGCAGGCATCTTTATTAGTGCATCAGGCACCATTAAATTGTTAAGGTTCTCTTCCAGGGCTGGAGAAAAGAAAAAGCTACAGCCATTAAAATAAAAATAAAATAAAATCCTCACAACCAAGTGTTTGGTGGTTTGTTTTTTGTATATTTTTTTACAGCATTTCTTATATAATTTGGAGCAAAGAAACAGAACCAAGGAAAAAGAGGCTTCAGCTGCTGTAAACACTGATATGTGGGTTTTTAATGATTACAGCCCAGCAGTATAACATCTTCCCCAAAGACACACAATTGTGATTGATGTTACTTTTTTTTTAAAAAAGAGTTCTCTTTCCATTGCTATAAGAAAGCATTCCCCCAACATGCTCCCATTCTTTCAACCATCTTTAGCTTTCAGTGAAAAATTCATCACTAGAGAAGCACATCATCAATTGCTACCATCCCAAAAAAAGACACCTTAAGCCAAGATTACCTGAATTCCATAGCTAATCTGTGGCCCTCCAGATAGTGATGGACTCCAACTTCCAGCATTGCTGACCACTCACTAGTCTGGTTGGCCGGGAATGATAGGAGACTAAAAACCTCTGGCGGGCCACAGATATTCCCCACCTGAAGGCTCCCCCCTTTTTTGGGGGGGGGAGCTCAGTCCTAGAGTGCCTGCATTGCATGCAAAATGTTCCCTGGCATCTCCAGGTAGGGAAATGCAAGAGAACCTTGTCTGAAACCCTAGAGAGTTGCTGCCAGCCAGAGTTGACAATACTACGCTAGATGTCTCCAATCAACTAGAATCAAAACCTTTAGGCTCCCTCTGCCTTCAAGCAAATAATTCTTCAGGTGCCCTTGGACAGTTTCCATTAACGGCTCGGTGGCAGACTGGGAAAGGAAAGAGGACAATTTCCCCATGTTCAGCTTGATTCTGCCCATTCTATTTCTCCCTGAAAATGAGGGGAAAGGCAGCATTTCGGGTCTAATCCAATTTAGGATTTGCTTTGTCGAACACACGCACACAGAGACCTGAAGAAACACAATTCGCTTTATGAAGCTCAAGCCATCAGAAGCAAAGAGTGACTCAGTCTGCTGGTCCAGTCCCCAGCGTTTTTCTGTTAGAAGGAAGAAACTTTGCAAGAGAGAGAGGGAAAGCCTTTTATCTACAAGGCAAGGGACAGGACATGGAAAAACTCTGCCCCTAATCCGCCAGGAACATCTCCTGCACACGTCCCGTCCGTTTAAAAGGCCCTGCAAAGGACCCAAGTTCCCAATAAATTGTGCAGCTAAAGATTAAGATCTACTTATCAGATCACAGCATCGTAGATAAAGCCAGGAGGTTACTGGTTTTAGCTTACTTTGAAATACATTGGTTTTATTTTATTTTATTACACGGGCAACGATATGTTTCTTTTTAACTAGAGAGTTCAGTTTCAAGCAGTCTGTATGGACAGAATCCAATTAAATCTTCTAAGTAGAAGGTAGCTTTCACACCCATGAAAAATATATCAAAGGGAGAAGCAGAGTTCATAATTGCTTGGATATTCATCCAGCAAAGATGGCTTCTCTACCCATAAGAACATTCATTTTCCTTGATCTTGTAAGCCCTGGTTTCATTTATGCCTCGGCTAGGCTCTTTATATTCTCATGTTAACAATGGGAGACTCGGGGCAAAATCTGAAGATAAATTCCATCTGGATCCCCAGTGCCCAAAGTAGGTAGCTCCTACACATTATTGGGAGAGTTAATATGATATGTTTCCAGCTGTAAGGCAGGGGTCAGAAACTCATAAGAGTAGACAAGACTTGTGGAAAGACAAGTTAAGCAGGCTTGGGTGGATTTGGACATAGGATAATAGAATGGTAGAGTTGGAAGGGTCACAAAGGGTCATCTAGACCAACCCCCTAAAATGCAGGAATTACAGACATGTGATAGGAAAAACTACTCCCCAATTTGTTTGCCTAAATTGGTACTAGTCACTGCTTAACCTTGGGCCAGATCGAACCCAGCAAACTTTTATTTATTTTAATATTTTAAAGCCATGCTTTCATATAAAACATCACAAGGTGGCATATAACCTGAAAACACAGTGCTACGATAAGAACATTAAACGTATCAGTGGGAGCTGGTTTTCAAAGAATGTCTTATTTCCGTACATTAATATCTCACCTTTCATCCATCATGGAACCCAATTTGGTACAGAGCAGGGGTGGAGAACCTCTGGACCCCCAGATGCTGCCAGCCAGACTACAACTCCCATCAGGCTTAGCAAGCACAGAAAATGGTCAGGGATCATGGGAGTTGTAGTCCAGCAACATCGGGAGGTCCAAAATGTTCCCAGTACCAGGGTAGAAAGCGCCATAATTAAAAGACATTTTGTCTGAGTGCCTGAAATCAGCTGGAGTTGAAATGGAGGTCGTGCCTGTTACTGGTGTGAATGCCACGCTGCACAAGGCTTTTAAGAGAAGAGTTCACCGCATATATCACACTTAAGCGAGGCATTCCAAGATGTGTTAGAAATGGCTTTAAAAGCTGCACATACATCATTCTCAGAAACAGCTGACACTTTCCAGAAATCCAGCTCCTTTACTTTACTTTCTCAGAGGAGACATTCTCCAGTAACCTCCTTTCCCCACAATCCAGAAACTTAGTTTTAAAAACAAATCACGGGTCGGTATTTATTTTAAGTCAGAAACTGAAGTGCCCCAAAGCCTCAACTAGTTTTTCCCACTTGCAACTTCATGCTGCAATTGACTCTCAACTTCGTACAGTCTATGAGATTTCAGAAACTATAAACAAGCTGACTTTTCGAACACTTTAGCTGTTAGTGAAATCATGAATTAATTAGCACCCTTCCAACCGTAAGAACCCAAAAAGCACTTTAAATTTTAATACAGTACAGCAAAATGCAACTGTAGTTGTTTTTCCCCCGCCTGCATTTCCCATCTAACCTAAAACCACTCCATTTGGAAGAGAAATGTCAAAGATCTTTAAAAGGGGGCCCCAATCGGGAGGAGGAAGGGATCTTTTGAGAGTCAAAGGAGACATGATAGAAGTGCCAAAAAACAAAAACAAAAATTCATCTCTTTCATAATGCTACAACTCAGGGCTATCCAATGAAGCTGAACGCTCTGCACAGTTAAACTCAGGAACTCTCTCCAAGAGTAGGCAGTCACAGTCACCAACCTGGATGACTTTAGAAGAAGAAGAGACAAATTCAGGGTCCAGATGGCTATTCGTGACTACTAGCCACAAAGGCTATGTCCAGCCTTCAAGTTGGAGCCATTATGCCTCTACATGCCAGCTGCCACTGCCCTCTGATCCTTCCTGTAGGTTTCCCATAGTTGGCATTTGGTGGGCAGTGTCAGAAACTCAGACATGGTGCCAAATGGCAGCTTAAATCTAGGTTATGGTTGCCATAATGGAATGTCTATTCGCCAGGGGGCTTGGGCCAGATGATTCCAATGCTACGATTCTATGGTCTCAACTACATTGCTTGACTGTAGCTTGCTCTTACAACAATTCACTTGTCCAAGAATGCAAGGAGAAGAATCATGTACAGTGGAAATGGAATTAACTATGGACTAAGGAAGAGGTTTCTGAACTGTGGTTGCCAACCTGGTGCCCAGAAATCTCCACGTAGTTGCAATTGGACCAGCACCAGAAACAAAATGCGCCTGGTTAATTTCTAACACTGTGGTGGGCTACTGTAAGAACAGGACTGGATGGACTGCTGGTCTGATCCAGCACGCTCATCTTATGTTCTTAGGGGAGAGACTCCTTGTCGTCCCTTAATGGTTGAATCATATCAACCCCAAGGAGTTGTAATTATTGTTCCTCTTGAGCACGGATCAGCCCCACAAATAACCCAGAGATGCATTTAAAATAAAAGCACACATTCTACTCATGTAAAAACACACTGATTCCTGGACTGTCCGCAGGCCGGATATAGAAGGCGATTGGGCTGCATCCGGCCCTTGGGCCTTAATTTGCCTACCCATACTCTTGAGCAATTCATGAAATGGCCAATGAGTTTTCAGGGAGCATTAATTCTGCTTGGATTCCAGGCTAAGGCACGAGGAGAAACCTGCAGAATTGTTTAAATGACATACCCCTCCCTTTTTCGCTCTTATAAGAGCACAGAAGATGGCTTACAGGGAAGTTTAAACGGATGCAACTAATACCAAGGCTCTGAAAAAAGGACAACCAAAAGACCCATTCCTGTGCCCTGGAGCGGGGTTTCCCATTTTACCACTTGAAGTGGAACAAAAAGTGCTGCCACCTACCTACTCCTGCCATTGCTGTGAGCCCTTGCTGCACCCAACACTGGAGAAGCAGCACTGCCATCGGAACACATTTTGGGTAAGCTGCACAGATTTGGGGTGATATCTTACCCCAAATGGACATGAACATGCCCAAAATGGGCAGCACTTCTTCATGATTGGTGGAGGTGGCAGGGCACCCAATGGCTGGTCAGGCTCTGCCTGTGCCCCCCACTGATCTTCAAAGTAAAACATTACTTGAATAAGGGACACACACAATGTGGGAGGAAGCAGGTGCTCCAAATTTCCTTGTCCTACTGCTTTTAATAGAACCCAGAAACGAACAGGAAGCCATTACAAATGATACAGATCTGGAATGCAATGGTCTATGAAGGAACTAGATTTTGCACCAGCTGTAGTTTCTAGTGTGGGTCCAAAATTTGCTTCCCCATTTCTCAGGGCCATTGCGCCCCCCCCTCCCATTGCCAACCGAAGAGCCATTTAAAAAACAAGCTATCGAAGGGTCCAGCAGAAACCAGCGCACTCCACCTGTCCAAGGCTGTCTCAGTCTCAAAATTGGGCCTGAACCCAGATTGGAAAGGCTCCAGAATTGTAACAGGGCAGTATAGCACAGCAGAGCTATCTGGTTGTTCAAGCAATCAACTGAAATACAACCTGCTTTAAATTAGTACGCGTGAGCTAACACTCAGTAATGACGTTAGCCATGAAAATGCATCTAGGCTATTTCTAGGAAGTAAAATGTAGAATCTACCAAGCTCCGTGCCAGCATGCAAGGGCACACAATGGATTATTTAGAATATTTATATCCTGCCATTCCAACAGAAAATTCATCAAAAAACAAATATAGTAAGAATGCACCATAAAAAGCACTAACAAAAAACCCCCACAACTTCCTTCCTAGGACTGGAGACTTACTTTTTGAAATGGAAACTCGGGGTCTCAGTTAAGACTTAAAGAATGCACTTTTTTTTTGCAATTCAAAGTGTAAGACAATTAAGAAGAACTGGAGGAGCTAATACCTTCCAAACTTCTTAAAAGCTAGCAGAGGCTAAAGGCCAGCCCATTAATGTCTTCTAGAACAGAGGAGGCGGGGGCAGGGGGAGAGTTTACATCTGCAGCCCAGGATTATGCATTCAAATAAGCCATAAAGCCCATCTCCAGAATTTCCTGCGAAAACCCTGTACAAATATTCGTGGCTCAGATCTAATACAACCCAATGCCACCTTTCCAGATGAAAATTCCTTTGAGGCAGCTTACGTATTAAAATAAAGAGGCCGCCAACAGAGTTAAAGAGGGTGTGCGTTTGTGTGTGCGCTCCCAAAGAACACCAACAAATTCTGTACAACATAGTCGATAAAAGTCAGTGGAGAAAGAACCTCACAGCTGACAAACACTGCCTACTTAAAACCCACCCAAAACAGCTTTCCCCAAAGTTGGAAGACTCAGCACAGTTAAAAGGAAGTCCTTCTTCATGCAGCGCATAGCTAAACTATGGAACTCCCTCCCACAGGACGCAGTGATGGCTACCAACCTAAATGGGCTTTTAAAAAGGATTGGGCAAATTCATAGAGGAGATGGCTATTGATGGCTACTAGCTATGATAGCTATGCTCTGCCTCCACAGCTGGGAAGCAGTAATGCGTCTAAATACCAGCTGCTGGAAACCACAGAAGAGGAGAGTTGTTCTTGCGCTTGGGTCCTGCTTTCTCATAATGGGCACCTAGTGGGCAACTGTGAGAATGGAATAATAATAATAATAATTTTTTATTTATTTATATCCCACCCTCCCCAGCCGAAGCCGGGCTCAGAGCAGCTAACAACAATAAAAGTAACACAACATTCTAAAATCAATTCATTTTAAAATCAATTCAAAATCAAATTCATGGCAACCATTGAGCTAGAGTTCTGTGAGGATTACCAAAGGAGGGGGTCAGACTGTGCCTTGGAAAAAGGCCTGGTGGAACAGCTCTGTCTTGCAGGCCCTGCAGAAAGATGTCAAGTCCTGCAGGGCCCTAGTCTCTTGTGACAGAGCGCTCCACCAGATCGGGACCACAGCTGAGAAAGCCCTGGCTCTGGTTGAGGCCAGCCTAACCTCCCTGTGGCCCGGGACCTCCAAGATGTTTTTGTTTGAAGACCGTAAGGTCCTCCGTGGGACATACCAGGAGAGGCGGTCCTGTAGGTACAAGGGTCCTAGGCTGTATAGGGCTTTAAAGGTTAAAACCAGCACCTTAAACCTGATCCTGTACTCCACCAGGAGCCAGTGCAGCTGGTATAGCACCGGGTGAATGTGATCCCGCTGCGAGGACCCCGTAAGGAGTCTCGCCGCGGCATTCTGCACCCGCTGGAGTTTCTGGGTCAGTCTCAAGGGCAGGATGCTGGACTAAGTGGCTCATTTTGAATTTGAGCAGAAGAGCACCCTTCTCTCCTGCAGTTTCTAGCAACTGGTATTCAGAAGCATTGCTGCCTCCAACTGTGGAGGCAGAGGATAGCGATTGTCGCTAGTAGCCATTGATAGCCCTCTTCCTCCATGAAGCAGATGCCTCACCCCCCTGGTACAGCCACAAGAACCAAAAGCTCTTGAATAAAATGTAGAACTCTGCACTGAGCCCTGAATATAAGGTTTTGAGCAGACAACCGAAAAGTCTGTTTCCGCCAGAGTCTGGGGGGGAAAAACGAATGGAAACATACCCAGTCACTTCCGAGAATTAATCACTTAAGCAGTGCATCCATTAAACAGGAAATGTGTCCAGGTTCACACATGACAGACAGAAGCAGGAGGTGTGGAAGCCAGTCAGATGCCAGGCTGCTGTCTAGTTTAAATACCAAGCCTGACAAGGCATCAGCTGATCTCCAAGCTGAGCAAATCTCATTGCCATCTGAAAAAGCGGAGGGGGGGGGGGGAGAGAGTCCTGAGCACTCCCAAAATATGAGAGCATCCAATGTTCCTTGTTCTGCTGAGCTGGAACAGATAAAAGGATTTGCTTTGAGAAGCCTAATTCCAGAGTAAAACAGCGAGCTTCGTGGCCTAGAAAACGCTGCATTTTTAATGAGTCCTCTGCCTCAAATGGGGGCGGGGGGACCACTCCTCTAAACATAGCCCAGAAGGAGGAGGTTTCAGGGCAGGGTGAGAGAATGAAATTGCCTGCTGAAAATTCAGCGAGAAAGCCTCCCGAATTCAGAGGCAGAAGGTTGTGGTGGAAGGAGCTGGTAGCTGCCATCCCAGCAGGCTGCCTTCGATGGGAAGGATGGGAAGCAGGGCTGACCTCCATCTGTGCCACTGAAAGGCCCGCTCAATCATGCTGGGCTTCTTGCCACTGAACTGTTTCCATTCCTGCTGATTATAAGAACCATTTAGCTTTTAAGGACTGATACCAGAGTTTGCTTTTCTTCCCCTCTTCCCTCCCTGTCCCTCTCACCTTGTATGCCGTGTCTTTTAGACTGTTAAGCCAGTGCGTAGAGACTGTATTGTTTTCACAAACTATGCATGTAAATCATACCAGGAGCCACTTTTCCGGCTGAAGAATGGGATACAGAGGCTCTAAATAATAATAATAAATACTGAATTGTTCAAAGGCTTTTGGAGGTTAAGGCTGCAATCCTACACACCAGGACATATGGTCCTCCAGGTGTTGTTGGACTACCAGCTCCCATCATCCCTAGCCATTGGCCGTGTTTGCTGTGGTTGATGCTGTGCACAGTGGGGACCTGGTTCTGAGTAAACAGGCGTAAGACGGCTCATGATGGATAGCTCAGTCAGAGCATGAGACTCCTAATCTCCAAGTCGTGGGTTTGAGCCCCACGTTGGGCAAAAGATTCCTGCATTGCTGGGGGTGAGGCTAGATGACCCTCGTTATCCCTTCCAACTCTACAAGAATGATTCTGTGATTCTAAGACTTCAGTGCCAAGCTCCTCAGTGTTGCCACGTGCTTGCAATCACAACAGAACAATGCTGGAAAGCCAGTGTGGCATACAGTGGTACCTCGGGTTAAGTACTTAATTAATTCTGGAGGTCTGTTCTTAACCTGAAACTGTTCTTAACCTGAAGCACCACTTTAGCTAATGGGGCCTCCTGCTGCCACTGTGCTGCTGCTGCACGATTTCTGTTCTCATCCTGAAGCAAAGTTCTTAACCTGAGGTACTATTTCTGGGTTAGCGGAGTCTGTAACCTGAAGCGTATGTAACCCGAGGTACCACTGTACAGGTTAGAGTGCTGGACTAGGACCTGGGAGACCAGGGTTCAAACCCCTACTCAGCCATGAAGTTCACTTTGTGACCTTGGGCCAGTCACCGCCTCTGTGTTGTTATGGGGTGCATGGGTGTGGAAAACAGGTATGCCACTTTGCAACCCTAAGAGGAATAGGTGGGCTTTAAATGCCGCAAATAAAATATATGCTTGGATAGCACATGTGGAAACTGAGAGACAGGAAAGCACCCATTTCCCATTTAAGCAGCACTGCTGTTGTGCTGATCGCTAATGAAGTTGCCATTTTCAAACAAACACACACACACACATTATCCCCCCCCTTACAAAGGAACATTGATAAAATAATCATGACTTAAAAAATAGCTGACCTACTTTACACAGCCACCTAGGACTCAAGATGCGCTGGCATCCACCATCGTGCATTAATCATTGCACCAACAGGACATGCCCCCCGTGGCAGGCTGGGAGTTCGCTCCTCCTCACTTGCTAAGGCAGCTTCACAAACCCAACTAAAGCCCGGAGCCAGCTGTCCGAGCCCGTCGCAGACATGTTACTATTTAATTCATAAAAAGCTGCGGCAGCATCTGTGTTGGAATGGAGCTTAGCGCTTCTTTTGAGTACCAGCCAGGGAGCTTCTCGGGTTTGCCATAGCTAGAGGGGCAAGAACACAGTGAAGAATTCCCAGGATACTAAAGAAGAGGTTGCTGCAGATTAGGAGTTTGACTCTTACCTGTTAGAAATACTAATCATTAATATTAATAATAATGAGGTGGCAACTCCAGGCATACAGAAGTCAGAAACACACGCTTGTAAGAATATAATTGGGGCCTGCTGCAGACTGCCCATCTGGTTCGGCATCCTGTTTTCACCAGCATAATGCCTGTGGCAAAATTTGAGCAAAAGAACACACTCCCCTATAGTGGTTTCCAACAATTGCTATTCAGAAGCATGGCTGTGGTCAGAGCATAGCCATCATAGCTAGTCGCCAGTGATAGCCTTTCTCCTCCTGTGAATTTGTCTAATCCTCTTTCAAAGCCATCCAAGTTGGTGGCCATCACTGTCTCCTGTGGAAGTGAGTTCCATAGTTTAACTATGTGCTGCATGAATTTTGTCTGCCTTGGATCTTCCGGCATTCAGTTTCGTAAGATATCAAATAGGTTTAGAGTTATGAATTTTGTCCAAGCATAAAGGTGTCCCAAGCATCTACAATTAAAAATCAGGGCTTGGGCAAGTGTGACAGCAGGACATGCCACCATAAAGGCTGGCCCAAACAAATTTCCACAAGTCACCCAACCTCAATGAAAGGCTCTAGCAAAGCTCCACTAACAAGGCAGCTCTTTCTAACAGTCACCACTTGGTTGCACGGAGATGAAGAGAAATTGCAAGAGCTGACTAATGCATGATCTTTGCTTGCTTCAAATCCACAGCCCAAGGCCACAACTGTGGATTCTGCAGGTGCAACGGCACCTTTGAAGTCTCCTTTTGATGTCCAAGAAGCCTCTAAGCTCCCCCTACTTGCTCTCTCCCCCTAACCCTCTTGGTCTTGAGGTGGGGAGGCAGTTACTTTATTATCCCTTGAACTGTATGTGGGACTGAAGGAGATTGCTGGAAAAGTGATGCTCTTTCCCACTTCTTTCAACTCTCTGGGCTTTCCAAGGCTCTGAGAATACTTATATGGAAGAAAGCAGATTCGTAAAGTGTTCAGTATGGCCAACAAATCTACACAGAATCACCTTTCCTTAACCAGGCGAGTTGGTGTCCCTTAATATCTGTGGCAGGGAAAGAGGGCAGGTTCAGCTCTTGATTACAATTCAGAGACAGTTCACCTGAAGAACAGTCAGAGCTGTTCAACAGTGGAGCCAACTCCCTCGGGAGGCTGTGGACTCTCCTTCACTGGAGGTGTTCAAGCAGAGGTTAGATGGCCATCTGTCTTGGATGCTTTAATCGAGATTCCTCATTGAAGGGGGTTGAACTAGATGGCCCTTGGGGTCCCTTCCAACTCTACGATTCCATGAAGCCTAGCTGTTCCTTGTAAAATAAAGTGATTTCGCTTCTCTGTTGGCAAGAGAGCGGAAAACGCAGAGGTAAGAAAATGGTTCTCGTATTTTATTCTCCTTGCATGTTGTTTGGAAAAGCATCCTCATCTGAGAAGGTAACATAAAGAGGAGATTTATGCCTTAAAAAGGAGAAAAGCTTCTTACAATTCAAAGACAATGCTGGGGAGAGAGTAGGAGATTAGTCCCATAGATTGAGATGTGGAGGATGGATAACACAGACTTCCGGATAGGACTAAACAGAAAGGAGAAAGGGGAAGTGGGCAAGGGAAGCATTAAGGCATTATAACCAAGAAGCTATTTGCTAAAGCTGTTTTGGGGCGTTTGGTTAGGTGCCAAAAACTGTCTTTGTTTAGAAGGATTGGAACTTCCAGAAGGCTGAGGAAGAGGGCTTATCAACATTGTCTACCGCACCAGCCCTGTCCCCTTCTGTTGCTGGTTCGTCTCCTCTAGAGGAGAGAAAAGGAAGCCACTGGAAGCCATCTAACCTGTAGAGAGGGCCCTTCCCCTTGGAACCTCCAGAGAGGTTAAAAGCTCTTTCTGCACCCAAAACAAAACAGCTCTCTGCCTTGTGTGCACTTAAATTGCACAATTTCAACCAGCTGGCCTTCTACCGTGCAAGGTTGCAATCGCACAAGTTAAATGTGCATAAGTTGTGATCTCACTGTATAAATAAACCAATTTATTTGGTTTCCCTGTATCCCCCCCCCAGCTCCTCACGTACATAATCCTTGCAATCATTAATATATGTATTATCTCCATCCAAAAGGATTGTGGAAGGCTATCTTTAGCACAGATTCTTAGGCATGCTTACTGCACTAAAGGAAAATCCACCAGAAAAGTAATCACTTATTATTTCTGCTACTTGGCTTAGTTTGTAATTCCATTCTCTGCACAGATTTTCATTTGACCTTATTATTCCTGCAGAAATAATAATGACTACAAAAAGAAGAGTTACTGCAGAACAGGTTGACACAACTTGAGACCGTCAACCGAGCACAGCCCTCTAGCAGCAAAACACACCTGGTACCTTGAAAAACAACATCTGGTTGGTCACAGGTTCTCTTGACTGGCTACTGGACAAAACTGAAGCTAGCAAACCGATTCCTCTGTGAGTTTATCAATCTAAAGCAGGGTTGTGATTTTTTCTTGATTTATTGTTTTATCTTTTGTAAACCGCTTTGAGGGGTTTTTTTTACAATCAAGCCAATGGCCCATCTAGTCCAGCATCATGTTCTCACAGTGGCAGACCAGCTGCCTGTGGGAAACCAATAAGCAGGATTCAAGCACAAGAGCAGTCTAGTAATTAGCCACTATAGCAAGGCAGAACTCCCAGATACAAGGTAGTACACTCCTGCACAATGGATGCTAGGGACTAAGGCTGGTTATCGTCCCAAAACGTGGTATCGGTTTCATTGTTTTTGACCTGGCAATATATTGTGAATCATTGGGGGGGGTGCACGCATGCGCGGTGCAAAAATCACAATGTGGGAAAAACTGTGAAGCCAGCCAATGCCTCTACATCGTTCCATCCTTATTTCAGACATGGTGATATCAGTATATTGTGGTATTTAGCTGGTGATATATCATGCTGTTGAAAACCAGGTATTGCCCAGCCTTATTAGGGACTCACAGTAAGTGCCTATCTCCATCATGCTCTCCTTGAAAGTTCTCCAGGAGTATCCTTAGCTAGACACTATTGGAAAGCAGAGTGCTGAACCTGATGGGCACTTGATCCAGTCCAGTATAGCCAACCCTTCTGCTTGTTTTGCATCATGCAAGGCTTTGTTTGCACCAGCGCCTAGAGGACTCCAAATTGATTAGAGGGGGCAGCATACTGTTTGCAGCAGAGTGGATGACCTAGAGAACGTCTGCCTGCAAGTGGATGTGGAACATAGCAAACTGACACAGCTCCACACTCCGTTCAGCTCAGACGGGTTGCAGGGGGTGGGGACTGTTGAGAAAGGGGAGTCTAATAAGAGAAAGGTAAGTGGCCAGGTTTGAAAACAAGATGTGCAGCTACGAGAGCAGCCAGGTCACACCCGGCCACACTACGGAAAGCACCCTGATAGAATCAGCATTGTAAACAGAAGTGCTATTGTCAAAGAATCGATCCGATAATAAAAAGAGCTAAGGGACAATTGTCTTGCAGAAAATTACTGCCAAGGGCTGCCAGATCCAGGCTCTGTGCGTCTTTCTGGGCTATCGGCCAGCTGCTAATCATTATAGGGCCTCGGCTAATTTTGAGCTCTGCAAATAAACTGCACAACACCATGGCCTGCGCAAAGTTCTCTCCTACCACGTCTTATTAAACCCTGCTGTGTGCTTTAGCTAACCTACAGCTTGTCCACAGAGGCTGCAATATTAATGCAAACATCAGGGAGCCACTGAAGCTTCACCATACACACCTGTTAACACGACTGGTGTGTATTTTCCTCCTGAAAAACGGAAGCCGGTACATTAATTTTGTCTCGCATCTCACGCCAAGGGCAGAAAACGGAGTGCAGATTAAAAGACTAAGAAGCCCATTTGCTAACCTTCTAGTGCTGCCGCAGTTTAACATTTATACAGCACCGTGTGCTAGACACTGTACATAAGACACACACAAGCCTTGCAGTGGAGGGTGGAGGAGAGCCCACAGGCTATGTTAGCCAGACAAAGAGATGAATGGTGAGAGCGGTCCACAATGGTAATAGAGAATCAGGTGTCAAAGGAGGCCAAGAAACAGAAGTGTGAGTGTGCATCATCATCATCATAATGGGGACACAGGTGGCGCTGTGGGTTAAACCACAGAGCCTCGGACTTGCCGATCAGAAGGTTGGCAGTTCAAATCCCCGCGACGGGGTGAGCTCCCATTGCTCGGTCCCTGCTCCTGCCAACCTAGCAGTTCGAAAGCACGTCAAAGTGCAAGTAGATAAATAGGTCCCGCCCGGCGGAAGGTATACGGCGCTTCCGTGCACTGCTCTGGTTCTGCCAGAAGCGGCTTAGTCATGCTGGCCACATGACCCGGAAGCTGTCTGCAGACAAACGCTGGCTCCCTCGGCCAATAAAGCGAGATGAGCGCCGCAACCCCAGAGTCGGCCACGACTGGACCTAATGGTCAGGGGTCCCTTTACCTTTATCTAATAATAATAATAATAATGGTAACAATAACAACAATAATAAATAATGTCAAAAGGCAGTCATGGAGTCTGTGTGCAGTAGAGGGAACAAGGAGGGTTGCTAAGGAGTGACTCTGCACCACATACACTGGGGCAACAGAAGTGAAGCTGGATCCTACAACAAAATGTTGCAGCATGCCATGATTTTGTTCAGAGACCCAGTTGCCTCATTGCATCCCTGCTCCTCCCCACAGTCAGTCAGTATTCTATACCCATGGAACAGAGGTCGTTCTTATTGGTCGGTGGGAGGCTCTGTGTTGTGAGGTTGACCCCTATGCCCAGCCCAAGCTATATTAAAATATTTAGATTTGTCCACTCATGTCTATAGGTAGCTCCCACTTCCACCTCTGGAATTCACCTACCTAGACAATAAAGGGGGTCTATTTTATCCTTTTAATATCCAGGTAACTTCTCTCCTCCTTTTTCCAGCCTACTCCACTGCATCCCCCTCCCACCCAGTTCCCATCTTTCCCCCTCTTAGTCAGCCAACGTTCCATGTCATGGAGTCCTTACGCCAAAAGTGGTCCTGCCCTCCAGAGATTTTGGGCTACATCTCCCATCATCCTTGCCCATTGGCTGTGCTGGTTGAGCTTGATGAGCGCTGTTGTCCAAACAACCTGGAGGGCTTCACATTGTCTACCCTGCCTTATGCTGCTGTTTTGGAGTTCCCCCTTATAGACTTTCCTTATTAAGGAAACCTTGAGGTTGACCAGAGTCTTCAGTGCTGCCTCCCTTGTGTTAGGGTGATGTAGTTTTGGCTGCGTTACAATGTGAATACAGGAAGACTTGAATCAGAAATATAGAGGACGATGGGCTGCAACATCAGGGGTGAGAACCTTGGAGTTAATGTTGGGTGCCACAAGGCAGTGCAATTCTATCACAACACATTTATCATAATGCAGGTATTGTGGCGCTGTTTCTTCATCCTATAAAAAGCATGATTTGCTGCCAATCAATGGCTAAATCAGTCATCAAACCACTGTTCACATCATGCCTAGTCAAAGGAGATTGTCATTTTCGGCCAGGATTCTAGACTAGCATCACGGCAAACGACATCATACCTAGCGCAAAATTTTATATATTTCTTAAAGTGCTTTGTTCAGTTCTCAAGCCAGCATCAACCAGCAACAAGAGAATAGACTGCTTGCTGTCAGTTCTCTCCAGGACAAAGCCCTGCATTTATCAATCAGATGTGCAAGAAAAGCACAGCAGCAAGTATTTCCAGAAATACCAAAGCGACACTGACCCATTTTGGCTGGAGGAAGAGGAGACCTGAATTCCTCAGGCTGTGCTTCCCACCATCCAGGATAAGTATTCGGGTGCCGCTCAATATGTGAGCAAACTGCTTAAGCAAATTTATTGACTGCATTTATATCCTCTTCTCCAAGGAGCTCAAGGTGGCATACATGGTTCTTTCTCCAAGTCCAACCCCCCTGTGAGGTAGGTGAGGCGGAGAGGCAGTGACTGGCCCAGGGTCACCCAGTGAGCTTTGTGGCTGAGCAGGGATTTGAACTCTCGTCTGCCAGGTCATAGTCTAACACTGCAACCACTACACCACACTGGCTCTCAAATTGCAAAGGCAATTTCAAGTAAGAAATATTAATGAAACTGCCTCTGATTAGTCTTGCTGTGTGCACATGTGTTGAGAAGCCACAAATGCCCAAATTCAGAGATTCTTTGGTGCAGAATGATAATGCACTGCCATCAACACATAGGTGCCACATTATTAATAGTACTTAGCATTTATACAGCAGTTGAACATGTTCAAAGTGTTCTGTGTATATTATCAAATGTGACCTCAAAAGCACTGTAGGTATTACTATTCTCAAACCTAGTAAGCACATGCAAGAGGCAAGATTTCAACTAGGGATTCTTAAGGTTTCCCTGTCAGCATCTTGGTTATTACCAATGTTAGAAATTAGCTAGGTGCCAGGCACATTTTGCAATGGGCATGGGTGCAACTGGGTCTCTGGATGCTGGGCTGGCGACTGACATCTCCATCTGGCTGGCCCTTTCAGCTAAGGCTGCCGTACATCCAGACATAGCCAGAGTACAGCAGTCAGAAATTTGAATTTGAGATTTTGAAAAAGGAAAGAAAAAAGCAACTTTGGCTAAAAATAAAATAAAAACAAAAACTTTTGTGTCCAGATTTTCACTTTTTGAAATATGGCAACCCTAGGTAAGCAGAGCTTATTTACTGCATTTATATCCCATCTTTTTCTCCAAGGTGTACATGGTCCCCCCCCCCCCCAGTTAATCCCTACAACGACCCTGAGGTGGGTTAGGAGGCTGTGACTGGCCCAAGGTCACCCAGTGAGCTTCCTGACTGAGTTGAGATTTAAACCTGATCTCCAATATCCTAGTGCAACACTCTAACCACTACACCACACTGGCTTCCTAGAGTACTTCCGCTATGGGGTAGCTATATAAATTAAGTAGGTAAATAAATAAGGGGAAAGCAAAATGTCACTTTAAAAAGGGTCTGAAATATTTTCCTTGAAGCTTGAATTTGTTTTATTTGCTTTGAGATTTTCTTCTTTAAAATACGAAGTGGTATAAAAATAATAACAAAAGGTGCCTAGACATTTCATTGTAGTGACCATAACTTAGGTTTAAGGTGCCATTTGGCAATTAGCTTATTTATCTGAGTTTCTAACACTGCCAGTCAGCATAGCTGTATGATGCTACATCTGAAGGGAATATGGATGTGCTGAGCTGCATCTGATGGGAGTTGTCATCCAAAACATCTGGAAGGCTCCAGGTTGATGAAGACTGTGCCACACTATACCAGTTCTAGGAATTCTTATTCCTACATGGAAATACTTTCCCCATACAAGTCTGGAAAGATGCAAGACCTAAGCACACCTTGCCGTCACCTACAATACAGACCATTCACAGCATTTCCAACACTGGACAGCAGCGCCACTTTATAAAACCACATCCCATCCCCCCCACATTGTGACACCCACGGCTCCCCAAAGAATACTTGGCATCATTTTTGGTAATAGGTGCTAAATTAAGACCAGGAGAGCTGCCTTTGTTTTTCAAACAGCTCCTCTCCAGCTAACTCATGCAACACCATTTTTTCACAAGGTTTGCTTTGCTGCCTCGGTCCTGAGAGTACAGGTGCTGGCACCACACAAAGAGCTATTCACAGACTTGATCCCAAGCCCAGACTACACCTGCACAGCAGTGAAACAAACACAAAGGCGCAGCTCTTTTGGCCAGGTGGGCAACCTTGGAGATTGCAAGTTAACAACCCCCAGAAAGTGCGCATCACTTCATACCTAGTTAAGTCAGGCTTGCAAATTATCTGCACTCCAGTTTACTAATGCACCATAAATTCTTCCATATGCTTTGCTAATTACCTTTCTCAGGGTTGCTAAATTTTCATCCTTTAGGCCACACAATGCACCAGCCACAAACCCAGCTGTTTAACAAAGATGCGAGCATCAACATCCCAAGTGGACAACATCTTTTTTCTGTGAAGTTCCAAAAGCTCTGCTCTCCATTTCGAATCTAAATTCTCAGAGACTGCAGCCAAAGAAATGTGAACTTCACATGGAAAAGGAAAGGAACAGATAGAGTATCCATTCAAAGACTCAAAGACAGTGCAACGGGTGCAACAGAGACTACCAAAAAAATAAAGTCCCAGGCAACCCCAAAATTCAAAGTGTTCCTTCCAGCTAGAATCATACAAGGCCAGGACACAGTGGATGGAAATCTTGCTAGCCACTGGATTTGCCCATTCAGACATATTGAACCCTGACATATCTCCTTCTCCTACACACCACAAAAAACCTGCAAGTTTTTGGCTGTTACCAGACCAAAACTGTTATCTCTGCAGTCACCTTAAGAATGTAAGAGTTTTGCTAGATCAGGCCGATGCCCCTTCTAGTCCAGCATCCTGTTGCCAACCAGACGGCCCAAAGGGAAACCGGCAAGCAAGACCTGAGCACATGAGCACTGTCCCCTTCTATGGTTTCCAGCAACTGTATTCAGAAGCATTCCTGCCTCCAACCTTGGAGGCACAGCATAGCCATCATGGCTAGTAGCCACTGATAACCACCTCACATCAATCACAACTAGAGGAGTCTTCCCCAACCTGGTGCTGTCCAGCCATTGTAGACTACAACTCCCATCAGTGTCAGCCAGCACAGCCATAAGGTCTACTCCAGCACAGCCAGCGTCTGATGGGAGTTGTAGTCCAAGACTGCTAACGGGCAACAGGTTGGGTGCCCTAGCACTAGAGTCAGGCAGAGCACTGAAAGAAACATCTTTTGAGGCTTGTTTTGTTTTTTTACATTGTAAGGCTTTGGGGCAGACTCCTGCCTCCCTTTGCCAAAGTCACTTTGCAAAGGGCTACCTGCACATTGACACAGCCAACACTAACACAGCTGTTACCATGTTTCCTGAGGGGAAGAAAAAGAGTTATCTAGAAGCACCCCCAAAAAAAAAACCCCTGACTCCTGGGGCAAGGAAAGGGAAGAGCTCAACTAAGGCCAGCTGTGCTTGTTGTGCATTGGGGGGCAGCCATGGGTCCAGCCCAGTCCCAGAAGGAAGGCCAGACCCTAACCATGTCTGTTATGAAGGGGGTGGGCAGAGCACCCCTCCAAGAAAACAAAAGCCCTTTTTCTCAGAAAAAGGTACCTCCTCTCTCTCTCTCTCTCTCATTTGTATATATAATTTTAGGGGAGGGAATGTAAAGAGAACCCCCCTCAACTTCCACCTATAGTAAAAAGGGGGGGGGACTGTCCCTCAAACACATAAGGTAGGAAAGTTACTGGGAGAGAGGAAGCCCCCCACAGACACCCCCCAATCCTTTCCTGGACTTGCTGGCCTCTTCTAACCCCCTCCCCAAATACTGAGAAGACCTCCCTCCCCAAACACCCCCAAAAGTGGAGACACCCCTCCCCAGGAGGCAAAAGGGAGACCCACCCCTTTCCTTCTTCCAACCCACCCACCCCATTTGGCTCTTCCAGGGGAGAAAAGGGCGCCGCACCCACAAACACAGCACCTCACTTTTGACTGGCTGCCCTACCGCCTCACCCTCTTACCTGCGCGGACGGGTCCTTGAAACACAGGGTTTTTTCCGCTCCCCTCCGTTCTCCTCTGGGGCAGCCCGGCCCAGGCAGCCACTCAGCAGGAGAGAAAGAGAGTGAATGAGCGCGCGCGGAGAGCAGCAGCAGCAGCAGCCTCGGCGAGGAGACGCCGCCCCCTTCCGACTTCCCGCGAGAGCCTCACAGGCAAGGAGAGGGCGGGACCGCAAGCGAGAGGGCGGGACCGCGCCGTCAATCAAGCCAAGGCACCCGTCTATTTGACGTGTGCAAGGATGGGAGGGACGGAGGCCGGGGTTGCTCTCTACTCCTCCCCTCCAGCTCTTCGGCACGGAAGCCCAATCACAACACGCTAGCCGCTTGGCCAATCACGAGTTGCTCCGCCTCTGCCAGGGCAAAAGAGGGGAGGAAAGAGAGGGAGAGGGAGAGGCGGGCCTAGGGTAGAAGAGCCGGCCAATCGTGAGAGCGGTTAGCGGCGCTTTAGCCAATCGGATGACGCGGAGGTCTGCGCGTTCTCTCTCTCTCTCTCTCGCCTTGATTTGGAGCCCGCAAAGTGATGTTTTGCTTCATTTTCACCTGTGCAAAGGGAGGAAGGATTGGATGGATGGAGAACCAGCTTGGGGGGGAAAGGGGTTTAAAGGGTCGGGGACCAGCTGAAATGTGGAGTGCAGGCAGCAAGCATGCTGTCCTTCTCAGCACTGATTTGCATATGCAAATTAATGCAAAAAGTGTCATTTTACTTGGTTCTGAAGATGTGGAACTAGAAACAGCAAATGCATAGGTCGGTAGTCAGAGTTGAGCCAAGTCAGCCACATCCATTAATGTCAGTGGGGTAGTCTGAATGCGGCTGACTTTGGCTGCAGCCCATAGGTTGGAGAAAAGGGCGTTACCACGGTGGCTGGGCCCTTCCACGCCCTTTGCAGCCTCATCCAAATGTACGCTTACTAGCTGCATACCCTCCAACATTTCTTCGATGAAAATAGGGACATCCTATGAAGACTCCCTGGAAAAGACCCTGATGTTGGGAAAGATGGAGGGCACAAGGAGAAGGGGACGACAGAGGACGAGATGGTTGGACAGTGTTCTCGAAGCTACCAGCATGAGTGTGACCAAGCTGCGGAAGGCAGTGGAAGACAGGAGTGCCTGGTGTGCTCTGGTCCATGGGGTCATGAAGAGTCGGAAACGACTAAACAACAACAACAATTTCATGATGATGATAATTATATTTATACTCCCACCCATCTGACTGGGTTGCCCCACTACTCTGGGCAGCTTCCAACATATATATGTAAAAACATAATAAAATATTAAATATTAATAAACTTCCCAATACAGGGCTGCCTTCAGATGGCTTGGGAGTCAGATAATTCCATAATACCCATATTTCTCTGATGCAAATTTGGACATCAAAAAGCGGGACATTCTGGGATAAAATCAGAAACTGGGACAGCTTCTGTAAATCCGAGACTGTCCCTGGAAAATAGAGACACTTGGAACGTTTGCCATACAGCCATGCTTGCTGAGGCTGATGGGAGCTGTAGTTCAAAAAAAGGAGGGCACTGCATTGGAGAAGGTTGCACAAATTTGGTGTGCCTGGCATCCAAAATTCCCCAGTAATTTTTGCTGCAGGGTAACATTTCTCCCTTGTTATCTTACCAAGAGTATAGTCGTCCACATATTTACTCCAGACTAAGCTCATTTAAGTTCAGTAGGTCTTAATCCTAGGTCACTGGCTGCAGGATTGCAGTCTTAGCCAATGGCACACTGACCTTCCTTATAGGACAGGAAATTAACATGAATGTGAGCCAAAATTAAACCATCATTTTAATTGGCCATCATTAAAATGTCGCAGTGAAGGTGTTTTAATTATAGGCTGTTTCTCTTCATTGTTCATTAACCAAAAGCGGTCTCCAAGATCAAATGCAACTACGTCCACATCGCTTTAAAAAACCCCAACCCCCCCCCAAAAATATCTCCCCAAAATTGTCCCACAGGTGGTTTCTATGGCGACATGTGCGATTGCAGTGTCATGTCAAGAACTTGCCTCAAACACACACACACACACGCATAGAGCGAGAATAAAATGCTTGTGGAAAATCTACAAAGAGATTTAGGGATATGAAAGGCAATCAGTTTTTAAGAGCATAAAAGGTACTTATAACCTCGGTTGTCACAGCAAGTCACTTCCATGAATTACAATTGCAAATGGATTCAAAGCTATAATGATGCTTCTACATTCCTTGCCAGATGTAAGAGTTCATACACAATGCAGTCTTTGTACTCAGTGCGTTTCATATAAAAAATTCTCATGAAGTGTTACTACATGGCAAAGCTCAGGTGCCACAAAATATTAAAGAGCCTTTATTTTATTTTATTTTATTTTTACCTCCCTTTTAGGATTTAGGTGGGGTGCTGGCTCTGTGGTACAGCATCAGCTCTGCATGCTAAAGTTCCCTAATTCAATCCCCATCAATTCAAGTTTTAAAAAGAAGGCCTGAGAAAACGTCTCGGACTCTTTACCTGGCACAAACCCAGAAACCCAGAAAATGCAGGAATGCAAGTCCCACTGCAAGAGTAATATATGAGCAAAGGAAACTGCTTTCTACTGAGTCGGGCTATGGAGTTTTGTGGCCCTGAAGCTTGAACTGTTTTGAGGGCCCCTTCACATCCAGCAACAAGATTTGGGTTGCCCCTGTGACCTTCTTCAATGGGGTTGTTCCATGACATATATATTTTTCCATATTGTTCCATGACAGACATATATATTTTTATTAACTAATACATCTCAAATTTTGATTAAAATGGCTGTCCTGTATTTTCTCACCCATCTAAGTCACTGGGGTGAAAAAAAATAGGCTATACCTTATACAGTGGTGCCTCGCAAGACGAAATTAATCCGTTCCGCGAGAGTCTTCGTCTAGCGGTTTTTTCGTCTTGCGAAGCAAGCCCATTGACGGATTAGCGCTATTAGCGCTATTAGCGGTTTAGCGGCTATTAAAGGCTTAAAGGCTTAGGGGATTAGCTGCTAAAAGGCTATTAAAGGCTATTAAAGGCTTAGCAGATTAGATAAAGGGGGAAAGCGAAAAAAATCTCAAGACTCGCAAGGTATTTTCGTCTTGCGAAGCAAGCCCATAGGGGAATTCGTCCTGCGAAGCAACTTCAAAACGGAAAACCCTTTCGTCTAGCGGTTTTTCCGTCTTGCGAGGCATTCGTCTTGCGGGGCACCACTGTAGTTTTTAAGTCCTGCATTGGGCAAAAGATTCCTGCAGTGCAGGGGGTTGGACTGGATGATCCTCATGAGATAATCCAGGAAAAGCACACACCAATATATATATTTTAGAAAGGGGCAGCTTCTCCTCCTTGCCCGCTCTCCAGCAGCCACTACGAGTTGCCTAAGGAGAAGGCCAGCAGCAGCGACCATGGAGAGGTCATGGGGTGCTCCTTCTCTGCTGCATGTTAGGTTTTCTTAAAATTGAGGTGGTCAGTGGTGCTACTCAGAGGTGTGTGTTTGTAATTATAACCTGCATGGCAGCACACCTGAGGTATCTTAATTTAACTAATTAGAGGAAGTTTACCTACTGCACCGAATGCAGCGATGTGATAGGGTAATCGATTATTTTGAAAACTGTATTCAAGTTGACCAAATGCTTTGTATGGTAGTGGCTGGTGTAGAGCGGTGAGTTGCAGCTGTTCGGTTATTATTTAAAAATAAAGTAAGCAAAAAATATTGCAGGGAAGTTTTTATTCCATCGCCCCAGTCACTGCGCAAACTCGGTTGGCGAAGAAAGTCCAACACTGCAACCACCATCCCTTGGGACAAGCACCAGCTCCTCCTCCTCCTGGATTTTGCCAGTGGCAGTGCTGGCAGGGAAAATAGGGACATTCTGGGATCAAATCAGAAGCAGGGATGCCTTTCGTAATTCCGGAACTGTCCCTGGAAAACCAGGACACTTGCAGGGCATGCAGTCACTTCCTGGACAAAGGTGTTATGTACTGAGGTTCTCACCCTGGGCCAGCAGGGGGATACTGTAGATAGTTTTCACTCAGGTCCACATATGCAAATAAGGAATTGAAAGTGACATTCAGTGACTGGATAGTTACAGAAAGTTGTTACTGTTGCTTTTGTAGTGGAGCTCTATATAAGCAGGTTGGCGGAACCCTTCAGCCCAGTTCTGTTCTGGCCTGTGAATAAACAAGAGCTGTTTGAAGAATCACTGTGTCGTCTGATATGTTCACCCACAACTTAACAAAAGCTTTTGTTTGCAGATTAAACATAACTCAAGGAGGTGTGTAGCTAAGAACAGGTTGGGCAGCAGAGGTGGAATGGCTGGGAGGGACACACAAATGCAGGGAGCGTCAGCGTTTAAAGGGATACCCCCCATTGCTGTTGCTCTGCCAGACCAGGCTGGCCAGCCCTGCCCAGCCCCAGTTGCTAAGCAAGCAGAAGGACTCGCTGCCCACACAGGAGGGAGGGAAGGTGTCAAACACAAGGCTGGTTGCCCAGTCACACTGCCTAGATGCACAGGAGCCCATCTTGGGAGGAGGGCTGAGAGCTCCCTCCCAGAGGTGGCCTCTGAGTCTGGAGTGGCCGCAGGATATCAAGCAGCCTGGAGGACTCTTGTGGCCAGGGTCCCACCAGCATGAGAAACTCCAGAGGCTCCGGTTCTCATCTGAGCCCATCATCAAACTAGGGTTGGTGAGGCCACCCTCAGCAAGGAAGCCAGGAATCACGGACCTGTGAGGTGGGGAAGTCTATCCCTATGGAGGTTTTGAATTCTGTGGAAAGTGGCTCCCGGTCTGGCCAGGGGCAGGCGGAAGCGACGGATCCTTCTCCTACTGCTGCAAGCCGAACAGTGGAAGAAGGGGCATCTGCAGCGGAGTGCCCCATTTGCTACCTCTCCTTCGACAATGTCTTCAGGGCCCCTCGCCTCCTGCCTTGCTCCCACACCTTCTGCTTGGAGTGCCTGGCCAAGCTGTGCATCTTCCTCAAGTCAAGCCAGAGCTTCCAGTGCCCGCTCTGCAGGGGGAGCGTCCCCTTACCCTGCGGAGGAGTCCCCAGGCTTCCAGTCAACATGGACATCGTCCAGCAGTTCCCCCCGTGGATGAGGGAGGTGCAGGAGGTCTGGCTGGACGGCTTCCGTCTGTGCTGGTGCAGGAAGCTGCCAGGGAATGCCAAAGAAGAGGCCTTTGCGGTGCTTGTGACCCTGGAATTGCTCAAGGCTGCCGCGCCCCGAGGGTCTGACCCCAGGGAGCTCGTTGTCACCCACCCCGTATCCAGATGCTGGGAAACGTGCTGCCTCTTGTGGGACCACTATCCTGGACTCTTCTGTGCCACTGCCCTGATGGTCTTGGGGCTCTTGCTGTCCACAGCCCTAATGTTTGGATTGCAGCGCTGATGCTGGAGGTTGCAGTGCTGAGCTGGGCTTGGTTGGCTGCCTTCTATCAGCTACAGTGCAAGGCTGATCACTTGCTTTGGGTAAGGTGGCTATTTGCATATGCAAATAAGCACATCTCTCTCTCTCTCATTATAAGTGAGTGGTGAAGTTTAAGATCAAGCAGGTTAAGTGAACACTTTGCCCTACAGAGGCAAGTGGACCAGAGGAACAAAAAGAGGCACATTTAAAAATCCACCCAAAAACACTGGATTCTGCAGTCTGTGGAAACAGGCAGATTGTGTGTTTTTCTGTGATTCTGTGGTGGCGTCATAACTGCAGGACCCTCCAGCCTGGGTCCCTCACCTCAGTTTCCTGGAAGTTAAGCTCAAGCCACCCCCTCCAGGCTCTTCAGTCTTTCCACCTCCTTCCCACTTGTTTTAAGCCTTTTCCACCATGAGGGCTAGAAACAGGCCTGTCAGCAGCTGCCAGCCCAAAGGACTAGGAGTGGCGTGCAGACACCCATGGGTGCCAAATGCGTCTCCCATCTCAGGTGGCCACCTCCCTGCAGCTCCAGGCTCTGAGGAAAGACCACGCTATGGCTGGGGGTCCTGGGCCACAGAAGTTTGCAGGTCAACGTTTACAAGAGCTTTCCTGCGGCTGCAACAGCAAACTGCGGCAGCGACCTCGCACAGAAAGACCTTGGAAGAAAGCATTTCCTCACCGCCACACACATGCCTCGTTCCTTTCACAGAGTCCAGGCAAGGCTGCAGAGATGTGGAGGCAGGCAGGGGCCATGTGGCCACCACAGATGGGTGCCAACTTGCATGGTCTGTAGGAGGGAAGAGGAGGGAGCAATTTGCGGCTCTGCCTCCTGCCCTTGAGCTTTCCCTACGCTCGCGGGTTATTAGAAGAACTTGCCATTAAGAACTTGAACTTGCTTCTTTCCTCCTCCCTCCCAAATCTGTTTTCCTTTTATGCCATGCCTTTAAGAACTGTAACCCTGAGGGGCAGTGACTGTTTTGTTTGTTGTGATCCATAAGCTGTTCTGGGAAATTTTGGGGTCTGAAGAGTGAGATTTTTCAAAAATAAAATAAAATTGGGGTATGTGTGTGTGAATAAACACTTATGTGCATGCCCTGAGAACTACTGGAATTATAAATATATATATATATATATTTAAAAAACTGGCTCAGATACAGGACATGACAAATGCACAAACACGAAGTGCTTCTACAAAATCTGGTCCATCTTCCCCACACAATAGTGAGCGAAGGGCACTTTAGGAGCTTCACTGTCCATTCCTTTCTCATTTATACACCTGGGTGTGGCTAAACCCATTAAGCAGAGCTACAATTTTGCTAGCAGGGCTCAAATCCCATGTCCTATTGCTGCAGCTCCTGTGAAGTCTTCCGGTCAGGCACCCCCATCTGTGTGCCACTTCCTTCTTCCCTGACACAGCAGCATGGAAGGCTTTCAGCCAAATAGCCCCATGAAGGCTGCTCCCCAATGCCACATGGAAGCTGGTTTCTGGGGTTCAGAACTTGGCCACTTCTTGGAGGTCAGTTCCTTTTGCAGAGCTAAACTTCAGCAAGTGAATCCCAGAGTTGGAGCTGGCGCAGAGGAGCGAGCCGCTCTCGAAGGCGGCCAGCGAAGGCAGAGCCCCGGCTCCTTCAAGGCAGGCAGTAGCCACACAGGCTAGGAGAAGAAAGAAAGAGGCAGTCAGTTGGTGTTCGGGGAGAGAATATCTGCCTTCGTCCTCTCTTGGTGGAGGGTCAAGCCAGCTTTGCTTCACATGCCCAACAAAATGTTTGGGTGGGCTGTGCAAACAGCCACCCCAAAAGTGGAAATTCAACAGGTGAAGCTTGTCACGGCATGGAAATAAGATGCGGTGCTGCAAGGCTGGCCAGTCAGGGAACCCCCCCCCCAAAAAAATAATTTCACACTAGGAATACTGTGTCCAGTTCTAGTCACCTCACCTGACCTTACAAAGAATATTTTAGAACTGGGGGAGGCACAGAAATGTGTGCCCAAAAAGACCAAGGGGGTTGAGAGACTCCCCTGTGAGGAAAGCTTGCAGCATTTGGGACTTTTTCATTTCAAGAAAAGGCAAGTAAGGGGAGGGCATTATAAAAGTGTGTAACGTTGTGCATGGTGAAATTACGCAGGGTTCAGTCATACCCTCCTCTATACCTCGTGCAAATCCTCAAGTTCCTTGTTTGGAACACACACACACCCCTCGGTCTGCACATTAGGGTTTTTGTTGTTGTTGTTGGTTCCTTTTTATCAATTTTATTAAGAATTTCCAACATACTATACAACATACTATACAGCAACCTCTGGATGCGAACGGGATCCGTTCTGGAGGCCCGTTCACAACATGAAAGGCCCGCAACCTAAAGCACGATATCTGCCCAGGTGTGTGGTGCGATTTGGCGCTTGTGCACATGCGCGAAGTGTGATTTAGCGCAACTGCGCATGCGCGAGCGGCAAAACCTGGAAGTAACCCTTTCCAGTACTTCCGGGTTGCCGCGGGAGGCAACATGAAAAAACGTAACATGAGGTATGTACAATAAAAGCCAAACTAATCTAAAGAAGGCAAATAGGAAAGAAGCAAGAATAAGCATCAGAAGAAAATAAAGAAGAAAAAAGAAAATAAAAGAAATACCAGGCCTTCTATCACAATGATATCTTAACCCTTATTCCACACACAGAAAAATGAGCTCTCCCATCTCTCACCTGGCAGCTTCCCCCTCTTCCCTCAGTCTCCCACCCTGTGAGATCCTCTCTACCCTGCCCCTCACAAAGGGGCCTTTGTCTTCTGCCCATCACCTTCCAGTGAGTATTTTCATCCGTCCAAGATAGGAAACTTCAAAAATCAAAGCACAGATATAGATGGACTTAACAGATAGAGAATGTGAATTACAGATTTTTCCCCCCACCCCGCCATTACTACAGGCCTTCACTTCTTTAAGTGAAGTGTCTGTGAAAGAACATGTGTTTGCTTCCTTCAGGCTTTGCTGATCTAGCAAGGCAGCCCTTGCAGCCAATTCTCCCCCAGCAAGAGGAGCTGAGCGCTCTACCTCCAGAGTCCTGGCTCCACACTCTCACTGTGCAGTCATGCGACGAAGTGGCAATGGCCGGGGAGGCCCCGAGGCCCCGAGGGAGGAAGATGCAGGATGCTGTGGTCTGGGAGTGGCCCCAAAACTCTCGCACTCGGCACTTCACCTGCCGCAGGTCCCAGAGCTGGAAGGAAGAGCAAGTGGTGAAGCCATACCCCTCCCAAATCTCACTCCTGTCTCCGCCACTGAGCTTTCCCTTGTTGCAAAGCTGGAGTGAAAACACACTTCGGTCTCCAACGTCAATCAGAGGGGCAATATTTACCTTTAAAAATTAGATGTTTAAGGTGCCCTTTAGGGACATTCCCCTGCGAGGCAGCTTTTAATGAGTAAAACACAATACAACAAAAGGAAAAAGGCATCAGCACATTGCAAAGTATCACCAGGTCAGCAGCAACAACTCCCTCAGAGGAAACTCAGCCTTGCCACCCATTTTGGCCTGGCATTGCCAAGCCATTTTCCCACCGACGGCGCCTACCCTGTCTTTTTAGGTTTGGAAGCCAAAGGGAGGGGACTCTCTCCCTCTCTTTTCACTGATGAGGGAAAGTGTTAAAACAAACAATGACCAGGCCATTGGAAGCTAAGCAACAAATTTACCGTATTTTTCGCTCTATAAGACGCACCAGACCAAAAGACGCACCTAGTTTTTGGAGGAGAAAAACAAAACAAAAAAATTATGAATCTCAGAAGCCAGAACAGCAAGAGGGATCGCTGTGCAGTGAAAGCAGCAATCCCTCTTGCTGTTCTGGCTTCTGGGATAGCTGCGCAGCCTGCATTCACTCCATAAGACACACACACATTTCCCCTTACTTTTTAGGAGGGAAAAAGTGAGTCTTATAGAGAAAAAAATACAGTATACTCTTTGTGCATCTGGCTTCAACCCTGACACCGGAATCCTCGCCAATGAGCAGGATACCTTTGAGGAAGCAATGGTGGCTACATTGCGGGTTGTTTTGGAAGTTTGCCATATTGAGAGACCCTTTACGGAGCCAGAGAGGGAGGCTCGGTGGGGGACTGGGCTAGGAAGATGCCCCTTTGGGTCCTGTCTCCCCCTCTCCAGTTCTGCGGTTCAAGCTCCCCACCACCACCACTGCTCAGCGCTCCCGCCTCAGCCCACAGCTGGTGGTGACCTCACCGTGGCCTCACAGCCTTCACCGCCAGAGCCACTGCTGCCGCTGACACAGTACCGCCCGTCTGAACTGACATCACAGGACGTCTGGATATGCTGCTTGGCAGGGAAGGCGTGGGCCACACGCAGCTCCCGGCTGTCCCAGATCCTGCCACAAACAAAAGGGGCAGCAATGGGCACGTGAAAGGGCTCAAGGTGGCCGGCTGGCCCAAAGACATTTCGTCCCACCAAAGCGGCCCAAGAGGTCTGGCTAGAGGCCGCCCACTGTCCTACAGTCCTGAGCAGCACCAAAACAGATTAAAATGACTGGGATGCTATTTTATTCTCATTTTAAATTTATCTTTCTTCCCCAGTATAACCTCTGGCAATAAATGAAAAAAAAAAAAAGACTTTTATACAAGCCAGTGAAAGGTTTGGGGCATGTAACAACAACAACCACCCTTGCAGCCTATGGAGCAGCTCAGTTTGACTTAGTCAGAATAGATGAGCTTTGTTATTGATACCCCAAAAGTGTTTACAGTAGTTCCCTAGTGGGATTTGCTGGTTGGATGCTTGGGGATTTGGATCACACACACACATATGGAAGATTTTGTTAATTACAAACATAAACTATGGCATTAAAAAAATCAAAACAGATTTTAACTGATGGCTACAGGTAAAAAAAGGGACGCGGGTGGCACTGTGGGTTAAACCACAGAGCCTAGGACTTGCCGATCAGAAGGTCGGCGGTTCGAATCCCCGCGATGGGGTGAGCTCCTGTTGCTCAGTCCCTGCTCCTGCCAACCTAGCAGTTCAAAAGCACATCAAAGTGCAAGAAGATAAATAGGTACTGCTCCGGCGGGAAGGTAAACGGCATTTCCATGCGCTGCTCTGGTTCGCCAGAAGCGGCTTAGTCATGCTGGCCACATGACCCGGAAGCTGTACACCGGCTCCCTTGGCCAATAAAGCGAGATGAGCGCCACAACCCTAGAGTCGGTCATGACTGGACCTAATGGTCAGGGGTCCCTTTACCCTTTACCTTACAGATGAAAAAAGCTTTTGGATGGGGAGAAGTTCAGCTATAAAGATGTTTTTTATTTGTCTGTATTCCACTGCAGCAAATAAACTGTTTCCATCACTACATCTTGTGGTAGTCCTGGAGCTCAGCTCTGCTACAGAGGAAAGCTTAGCCCCACCAGGTGTACACAGGGAAAGCCCCCCCCCCCCGCCAGCACGAGTTTTGGCAAGAACTGCAAGGTCTGCTACACCCACCAGCTCCAAGGGATCCTGTGCCGATGAACCCCGCAGCTCAAATTTCAAAAGCAAAATTTTCAGAAAGTTGGGTTCAGAGCCAGAAAAGCTGGATTTGTGCACAATTCGGTCTCCACTCCCATGCGCTCACATACCTAATTGTTTTATCCTCTGATGCTTGGACTATATATGGCTCTCCGGGAACCCAGCACAGATGAGTTACCTGTGGGAGAGAACAATTAATGGGCAGCTCATCTAGCCATATCAGAAAGCGGTCCCCCTGTGTGAGAGGCAGGGAAGGGAAAATCTCCCAGGATGGAAGAAGAAAGGGAAGTTCTCAGGTGAGAGCTGGGAGGAATCACCTTTCTCTGTGTGGGACAAGTTAAGATTTACACGTGAAAGAGGACTTTGTTTTCTTTCTTTCTTTCTTTCTTTCTTTCTTTCTTTCTTTCTTTCTTTCATCTCGCCCTCCCTCCCTCTCTCCCCCTCTCTCTCCCTCCTTTGTTTCTGTTTAGATTGGTTTGTTTTTCTTTATTATAATACATTATGAAAATTGTATTAAAAAATAATAACAACAAAATAAAGAATCAAACAGAGAGGTACAGCTTCTTGAACCCAAAACAAAATAATCTCCCCTGGGGGAAAAAGGCAGTCTCATATCAGTGTGTGGAGTGAAGAGTGATAACCAAGTTCTAAAGCCTACTCCTTCAAGGTTAAATAACGGAAAGCAGAGGATTTTACGAGCATCTATTGTTTTTAAAACAACCTAGTTTGCGGTCTCAACAATATCAGCACAGCTCAGAATGCCCTTAGAATTTCAGAGAAGCCCACATGAAATGGGACCAAGCTTTCATCCAGACCACTTTCTGACAAAAGCCAGTCAGTCGTATGTAAGAAAGCCCAAAACAGGGAATAAACATCAGAATCTCCAACATGTCTCTGATGAAAATAGGGACACCCTATTCTACATCAGGAAGCTTCTCCGGCATTTGATCTCGCCGCACACATAGATGTCATATACACATCTACATCAGTCACCTTGAGCCAATTACAACCTTTCCGCCAAACCTATCTCACAGGATTGTTGTAAAGAAATAATGTGTGAGGGAAGGGATTGTGTACAACACCTTCCAAAGATAAATGGAATGAAATAATTTTTTAACCGTAAGCTGCCTTGAGTCCCTGTCAGGGGAAAAGGCGGGAAAGAAGAAGCAGAAGCAGAAGCAGAAGAAGAAGAAACTGTGAGAATGATCAGGAACATACCAAGGAGTAAATCCTATTGAACTCAGTGGGACTGAGCTCTGAGCAAAAATGATTTGGATTGCAGTATAAGGCAAAAATGATTGCAGTATAAGGCTCCCTAGTCTATACCCAGTTACCTGAGAGTAAGCGCCGTTGCATTCAGTGGGCAGACAGTGCACGGCTCCATTTACAATAAGGAATAAACACTCCACACCTTTCCTTTAAAAAATTGGTGGCTGCTGAAGCATTGCAATTAAATAATTTAAAGTGGATTGCTTACATTTCCTTCAAAATTATAAGAAGGGCTTCATATACCAACTTCACTGTTTCCTTCATTTGGTGCAGGTATTTTATTTTCAGTATAAACTATGGTTACCAGATGTCCCCATTTCCCAGGGAAAGTCCCTGGATTTTAATATCTGTCCCCAGACAAAATCTGTCCCCGGAATGTGCCCGGATTTCATTTAATGTCCCTGGATTTATATTTTAAGTGTTGTAGATTTATTATGAATGTTGCATGATTGGTTCAACGGCACAAGACACATCATATGGGGACTTCCGGCCAGGCAAAATGGCGGGCGCCACGGCAGCGAGCAGCTCCTGAAGCCAGCCAGAGCCAACTGCGCTACCAGGCTGGCTCCAGGCTGCTGAGACTGCCACTGCCAAGGGGGAACCGGGGACGCACGATGCATCAACTGGGGGAACCACTGACACACCCCGTGACCCAAATCGAGCCGGGAACGAGAGCACCCAGCCAACTGCCCCGTGGCACTCTGGGGCCAGGAAAACCCCAGAGCCGACGCAGGGAGAAGGAGGAGAAGAGAAGGAAGAGGGAGAGAGAGGAAGGAGAAAAAAGAGGGGAGCCCTGACCTTGCCACGTCGCTGCCACTCAGGAGGAAAGGTAGGAGAGCACTGGGAGGGCTAGCGCTCCAAGAGAGCAGGCCAGGGCCCAGAGGAAGGCCGTGTGACAGAGGAGACCACAGAAAAAATATTACTTCTTAATTTTTTTAAAAAACAACTTTTTTTAGAAATAAATGTTGTTGTTTTTTAAAAAAAGAGTGTCCCCAGATTCTTTGGAAAAAATCTGGTAACCTTAGTATAAACCGAACTCCATTTTTGCACACACACACAGAGAGAGAGAGAGAGAGAGAGGGAAGTTCCACTTAGCTATAAATGGTTAAGGGGTCACTTTAAAACTGGGCGAGGGATTTGTGCCTTTGGCATCTGTAATAAATAGTAGGACTTCTCCCTTCCAAGGTCTTCTGGCACTTACCAGATTCCTGGAAATGGACGCTCTGTGCAAACAGTCCCCTGTCTCTATGTCCCAAGTGCAGACAGTGTTGTCACGGGAGCCTGTGCAAAGCTGTTGGAAAACTTAACAAGGAAAGAGAGAGTCCGTGAAGAAACCTGTCAGGAATCCAGACACAGACTTCTTACTCCAGCAGGAGTCACCGCCTCACCTGGGCTGACAGCCAAGCCAGTGACCACCAGGTCATGCCCTGAGAAGCCCTGGACTGCCCCAGAGCCCCCCTGGAACCCCCACATCAGCGCCGTCTTGTCGCGGGAAGCACTGAAGAGCCAGTTGGAGGCCGGGAGGCAGGTCACCTGGGGCAGAACAGAAGAGAAGTGGATTCAGACAACCATCCTTTCCCACACAGGTTGTTCAAAAAACATGGAAGCTGCCTCAGACTGTTCTTCCACCCATCACTGCCTACTCTGACTGGCAATGGCCACCCTCCCAGGTCTCTGGCAGAAAAAGTTGTTGTTGTTTTCTTATGCATTTTGTGTTTTGTATATTGTAATTTCTTGTTGTGAACTGCCCTGAGATCTACAGGTATAGGGCAGTATACAAATATAATACGTAAATAAAATAAAAGTAATTTATGATTTATATGCCGCCCATCTGACTGGGTTGCCCCAGCCATCCTGGGCAGCTTGCAACAGTTATAAAACCACAGTAAACCACATAAAAAACTTCCCTAAACAGGGCTGCTTTCGGATGTCTGCTAAAAGTCAGATACAGTGGTACCTCAGGTTACATACGCTTCAGGTTACAGACTCCACTAGCCCAGAAATAGTACCTCGGGTTAAGAACTTTGCTTCAGGATGAGAACAGAAATCATGCTCCGGCCCCATTAGCTAAAGTGGTGCTACAGGTTAAGAACAGTTTCAGGTTAAGAACAGACCTCCGGAACGAATTAAGTACTTAACCCGAGGTATCACTGTAGTTGTTTACTATTTCTGTGAGAGCCTTTCAACTGGAGACTGAACCTAGCGCCTTCTGCGCACAAAGCAGCCACCTTCTCACACCCTCCCAGGTGTCCCTGCCCTTTCTTAAGGTTGCATGTCGCTTAGTGCTTGATGGTACATGATGGGGTCCTGGTCTCTGTTGTCTATGCTTGCAAGGGGACGGACAGAAAGAAAACATTTTTGCAGCCAAAATCTGGCGTTTACCTTAGTAACTTCTCGCTCGTGACCTAGGAACCTCCTGACCAGGGTGCCACGACGCCAGTTGTACACAACAACAGTCTGGAGAAAGAGAACGTGGGGGAAAGCTTTCATGCAATATTTCAGATTCCTGCAAAAAGTACCACCTACACAAGGATTCCTGGGAATGGTAGTTTGTTAAGGGCGCTGGGAACTCTCAAAACAACTCTCAGCACCCTTAACAAGCTACAGACCCCGTGGCTGTTAAGGTGGAATAGGTGTGCTTTAAAGGTAATGGGTCTGGATGTGGCGTTCCTCTGACGGGAAAACTTTGCGTTAAAATATAGAGTGGGAACGGAGCACAATTTTAAACTGGAAGGGCCTATCAAAACTGAGCTTCTCTGCGACTCCATATATCTCAACCAGCACTAGACAGGGAACTGGTTCAGCTTTTCAGAGGCCTCATTTTTAAATTGAGTTTGCAGCACCATTTGTTTATATGCTCCATTTCTAGCCAACGGACAATAAACCTGTATGCATGTATCATATCTCAGTTGCTCAAGTGCATAGCAGTTGCACCACGATAGCAAATTTCCCCTCAAACAAAAACAGGAAGCGGAGCCTCCAGCATTAACACAAAGCCACCCAAGCAGAATAATAATAATAATAATAATAATAATAATAATAATAATAATATGCCACTGCTCATCTGACTCTGGGCGACTCCCAACAAAATATTAAAAACACAATAAAACATCAAACATTAAAAACTTCCTTATACAGGATTGCCTTCAGATGTCTTCTAAAGGTTATATAGTTACTCATCTCCTTGGCATCTGACAGGAGGGCATTCCACAAGGAGGGTGCCACTACCGAGAAGGCCCTCTGCCTGGCTACCTGTAACTTCACTTCCAGCAGTGAGGGAACCACCAGAAGGCCCTCAGAAATGGACCTCAATGTTGCTCCAGATTCCCAGGGGAAGGTGGACTCTTTGGAGCATCCATGGCATGCTGCCCGCTGAGCTCTGTGCTCCAGCAGCTCCCCTGGACTGCCTGCCCCTAAAGGCAGCCATCTTGAAAGACCACCAGGGGCCGCAACGTGGCCACAGAGGGAGGCGATGTTCTGCCCGGGCTTTTCTTTCGTGAACCTGGCATTAGAAATCAGGGGGGCAGCGACACAGGATTGTGGGGAGGTGGTTGGGGGAGAGAGAGGTGGACCCAAGAAGTCCTCACACTCTCTTCCATTTGGGACCAGTGAGGCGCTCCTGCCAGCTGCAGCTAGCTGCTCTCCTGCGAGCTACCTTGTCTTTGCCGCCTGACACGCACAGGTCAGTTGTGAGGGACGCCACTGAAGCCACAGCACCGCAGTGAGCAGGACAGGGCTGCTGAACCACCTTGGCAGGAGGGGGCTCTTCCTCATACCTGTCAGCCCTGCAAAGGAGAAGGCAAACATAAACAGACAGGAATGATATGAGGCACTGAAACCCACCTGGGTTTTCTTAACACTAAAGGTAAAGGGACCCCTGACCATTAGGTCCAGTCATGGCCAATTCTGGGGTTGCGGCGCTCATCTCGCTTTATTGGCCGAGGGAGCCGGCGTACAGCTTCCGGGTCATGTGACCAGCATGACTAAGCCGCTTCTGGCGAACCAGAGCAGCGCACGGAAACGCCGTTTACCTTCACGCTATTTATCTACTTGCACTTTGACGTGCTTTTGAACTGCTAAATTGGCAGGAGCAGGGAGCGAGCAATGAGAGCTCACCCCGTCACGGGGATTTGAACCGCCAACCTTCTGATCGGCAAGTCCTAGGCTCTGTGGTTTAACCCACAGCGCCACCCGCGTCCTTAACACTAGATCCTGGTTTATGGCAAAGGAGCCCCCTTGCACCCCACTGCAACAACCACTTTCCACTGTGGCAAAGATTTCATAACCAAGGGGCAATGGAGCCAGGAACTGCTCCGTTGTTTTGTGTTCTGTTCAGGTCGTTTCCTTTTTCAGAGCCTGTTCTGGCCAGAAGGGTCCAAAGTTCAAGCCAGGAACTTGGTGGCTATGGAGGGAACGGAATAAAAAATGTCTCAAATTGAATGTCACTAGCCTGCATGAAGGACTCCACGATTTGAAAGCAGAGACACTGAATGTACTTTTGATACTCATGGAAATCTTTTAATAAAAACATTAAAAAGAAAAGGGAGATGGCCTAATGCCACATTTTAAACAAGTGTTATGCCAATTCTTGCAAATAATAAAGGCTATATTTAAAGAAGATAGGGACGGGGAGGGGTAGGATGAGAGAGAGAGAGCAAACCTTAATAAGGGAAATGACAAGGTGGTCAATGAGGAGAAGAGTTATTGAGGGGGTGCAAAGAGAGGGGGACTGGAGAGTCAGAGCTGAGATGCCCTCTTGATGATGATGATGATGATAATTTATTTATACCCCGCCCATCTGGCTGGGTTTCCCCAGCCACTCTGGGCGGCTCCCAATCGAATATTAAAAACACAATACAGCATTAAACATTAAAAACTTCCCTAAACAGGGCTGCCTTCAGATGTCTTCTAAAAGTAGGATAGTTGCTCATGTCCTTGACATCTGATGGGAGGGCGTTCCACAGGGCAGGCGCCACTACCAAGAAGGCCCTCTGAGTCTGAATCCTGGCAAAACAGAGGCACTGTGGATGAGCAGGTTCCCGAGCCCAGACAACTAAATCTATTGCCTGCTTTGGATAAGGACCGTCTACTGCTTCTGGAGCAGGTTCATATTCTGGAGGTGCTCCGAGATCCATCTCTGTAGCTAGAGGGCCAAGTGACCTCTGCATCAACCAGCTTCAGCTGGCAAGACAGCTATGTCTGTTTCTGGACCGGGATAACCTGACCACGGTCATACATGCACTGTTATTCTTCAGGCTGGACTGCTGCAATGTGCTTGGTGTGGGGCTGCCCCTGAGGTTGTCCCAGAAATGCAAAATGCAGAGACTCAACTGCTCACCGGGGCAGAATAATGCCCTGGCACTACGACGGCGGTACTGAAAGAATTGCACTGGCTGCCAATTAAATCACTCGGCTAAGGAGACTTGAAAGATGACCTCACCCCTTGCTACAACCAACCGGTCACTATGCTCGGCTTGCTGCAGATACCACCTCACCAGGTAATCCTTTCTGCGACCCTTTGGAACTCCCTCCCACTACAGTGCATAAATCAGACAGGCGCTGTCTCTCTTGCCTTTTTTGTGCTCCCTCTTCCAGCAAGCCTTCTAAGTGGACACTTAAAAAAATCATTGCCTGCATAGGACGCCTTTAATTAAGAAACTCCTGGCTCAGAGCGCCAGAGCGGCTCAGCGAGAACTGGCTCCTCCAAGCCTCTTTGGGGTCTCAGGAAGGGGAGGGTCCTTCCCACCACCTGCTGCTCCTTTTAGCTGGAGGTGCTGGCAGGGATTGAACCAGGGACCCTCTGGACGCCCAAGGCAGCTGCGCGAGCTGCGAGCTGCGAGCTGCGCCTGGCCAGCCCTCTTCCTCTCTCTGTCATCAGGCAACCTCGCAGGATTGCTGCTAGGAGACAGAAATGCCAGGCTGCCCCGCTGGGAGATGAGCGAGATGAAAAGCCAGCATCTAAATCCACAAAAGGGAAATGCAATCCCACCAAATCACCACTTTGGTCCCGTCCTCCCCCCCCCCCGCACCCCTTACCTGCGTTTGGAGGAGTTTCGGCTAATTTTGCTCTGCAGTTTCCCCATGATCTCAAAGGCACTCGCCGGACGAAAGCGCTTAGCCTGGCAGAAGGACAGGGAAGGAATTAAAGGAAAGAACTTAGTGCCTTATGTTTACACACATCTCAGCAGCTTCTGATCAAGCCCCTCTCATCTGCTGGCCACCTTCCCAGCCTCCTCCCGCCTCTTAGCTCCAGAAGTATGCCAGTGCAAATGCCAAACCTGTGACAGCATTGCTCTTATCTCCCATTGTTGCTGTTTGGGGGGGAAAAGGCTACAAACCAGCAGGAAACGCAAGCCGTTGTAAAATTAAAAATAATTAATATAATTATATATAGAAAAGCTATCACATCCATTATAGTTGGCTTAGGGCTGGTCCACCATTCCTGCCTATCCCCTGATGTGTTCAGGACTGTGCTGTTGCCTCGGGGAAGGGACACATTATTATTATTATTATTATTATTATTATTATTACCATCATATTTATTTATACATACATACCTTGCACATCTGGCTGGGTTTCCCCAGCACAAATAATGATGATGATGATGATGATGATGATGATGATAATAATGCAATAAAACATCAAACATTAAAAACTTCCCTAAACAGGGCTGCCTTCAGATGTCTTCTAAAAGTCAGATCATTATTTATTTCCTTGACATCTGATGGGAGGGCGTTCCACAAGGCGGGCGCCACTACTGAGAAGGCCCTCTGCCTGCTTCCCTGTAACCTCACTTCTCGCAGGGAGGGCACTGCCAGAAGGCCCTCAGAGCTGGACCTCAGTGTCCGGGTTGAACGATAGGGGTAGAGACGATCCTTCAGGTATACAGCAGAGAGTGGGGAGACTCCAGATCTTCCAGGGGCACGCCATGCCTGGCTAAGGGGGCAAAGAAAGCACCGACTCCTGTCCGGTCTGCAGAATGCTAGCTCTGTCGGTAAAGCATGAGACTTTTCATCTCAGGGCATTGAGTTTGAGCCCCATGTTGGGCAAAAAGTTCCTGTATTGCAGCGGATTTGGCTAGATGACCCTCAGGGTCCCTTCCAACTAAACCATTCTACAGTTCTGTGATTAATATTTTTCTGTTTTTTCGAGCAACATATTCACATCCCGAGAGCTTTCTTGCAAGGTCATTTTGTGGAGACAATGCGCAGAAAGAATTTAGGCATTCTTCAGCAGAACAGCCAACTTCTACTTCTTCTTCTTTGGCGATCACTCGTAGCTGAGTAAGATTGTCTTCCATAAACACGGTTTTAACAGTGAGTCCGTAAGTGACTGTGGAGGCCAATTCTGGATCCACACGTCCTTCCACAGTCTGGACATTGGTTCCCGGGCAGGAGTTGATCATGGTATGGATTACAACACCTGTGACTATTGACTCCACAACTTCAGGATTGTCAAAAGAGATAGCACACAAAATTAATTAATTTGAGTCGTGTGACTCAAATTGGGTCGACCGGACCTATTTTTTTAAAAGCGACATGGACTCAAGTTGCTTCTGGGGCTGCTTCGGATCTGCTCCTGTCTGGGGCTAAGCCCACCTGGCTCGGGTCCAGCCCCTCACCCTACCCTGCCGGGTGCAGAGACCCTCCCCGCCGGGGAGTTTCCCACCTTTGCAGCTGGGTGGTCTGGTCGGGGGCTCCTGGAACTTCCAGGGGTCAGTGTCTAAATTGAGAAGCGTGGCTGGGCAGATGGATGGGGCTGTTTCCCTAGGAAGCCCCCCCGCCCAGCCTGAAAGCCTGAAAGCCATTAAATCTCTCCTGCCCAATCTGAAGAAGCCTCCTGTGGTTACTCAGTAATAACACCGGGAAAATACTCTGTCCATGCTCAGAGGCACATGCCAGAGAAAGTTTAGCCTGCTTAATTTATGAATGTCAGGGCACTGTGAAATGCTCAGGAACAATAATAAAACCATAGTATTATTAGTAGTAGTACTAGTAGGGCTATTCATTAATTAATAGTGCTTCTGTGGCATAAAATCAGTTGCAAAGCCCCGTCTCCAGAGCGGTTCCCTCCCTGGTGAGGAGCTTTGACTGGGATTAGCAGGGAGATGATCCTCAACCCAGGACAACATTGAGACACAGGCAGCGGTTCTTGCATCAAGATAAACGAATTGGTAGGTGATACGCCTGCAGGGGAGAGTGGCAGAGACTCTTCACATGCTCAGAGAGACCCTCGGCCATCGTTCCTGGAGATTCCCCCCCCCCCCACAAACCACTGGAGCAGGTCCCATTTTCTGAAAAGCAAAGTGCACGTGTACAGTGGAGGGTTTGTTCTAGCGCTGGGGAGAGAGGGTGGCGCTTTGCACATGCTCGGACCCCTCTTGTTATTCTGCCTGCTTCCCCAACCCCTCCCGTCCCAACTCGACTCCGGGGGCTGAGTTCTAGTCTAGCCCATGGCAGTTCAGCACCTGAGCCACACGACCGGCTATTCCTTGGAACTGCTTTGCCGGGTCGAGCCAAGCCGCTTGGTGCCTTTCTGCCCCTCGCCGCCGTCTCTCCGCACCCGTCGAACAGCCAGTTAGCTCCTTAGCAGCAAGCGGATATTGCGCGGGTAGACTGCCCCTGCCCGTGGAGGCTCTGGCCGGATGGAGGCGGAAGGGGCGCTCCCCGTCGCTGCTGCTTGCTGCTGCTGCGGGCGGGGCATCCCCAGGGCAGGGAGGCTCCGACGGCGCGGCCCGCCCACCTGAGCCGCTGCCGCAACAGGTGCCTGGCCCGGCGCGCCCTCCGTCCTTCCTCCCTCTCCGCCATGGCTCAGGCGCTGGGAGCGGGGGAAAGCCGCCACCTCGGGGAGACCCCAAGCCCCGGTGAGGGGCACCCCCAAGCTGGAGGCGTCTGCCCGGAGCACGCCCTGGACCTGGCTTGGTTCTGTTGCACCGAGAGGCGGCTCGTCTGCGCCCAGTGTCCCGTCCAGGGCGGCTGCCGGGACCACCGGGTGCGCCCGTTGGCCGAGGAGGCAGCCGAGAGGAGGGTGAGCCTCGACGGGGAGGGCGCTGCTGGGGACGGGGCGGCTCTGTTATGGGTAATGTGGTAAAGCCCTCTCCCTCTCCACACACATCCCCAGTCGAATTTCCCTGCCGGGTATTTGTAGAATTATTAAGAGTGCATCTGAGCATATGCAAAGTGCATTCCCTTTGCACCGCATCACCACCTCCCAAATGTCAGCAAATGGGGATTTTGGGCATGCGGGAAGAGGCCCAAGGACACCATTTCAGAGCTTTAATCCCCAGTGGAGTTTTGTATTTTAGAGCTGGTGCCAGCCTGGTTTCCAGTTTCCAGTGTAAAGTTGGCCAATAAGCTCCTTCCTGGAACTCCCCAGGCCTGTTTTGGGGTGAGCTGGGCAGGGATGCACTCTGCCCATACTTAGAGGCATAGTTTATTCCCTTTCACACTGAAAGCACCAACGTATGGAGGGAGGGGGAGATTTCAGCATCCTACTTTTCCCCTACTCGTTTTTTTTTGTTTATTTGTTTCAGAACAAAATAGTGGACGAGTGTGAAAAGCTTCAGCTCCAGAGTGCCACAATTGCCAAATTTGCCACAGAGGTGTTGCCAGAGAAGAAGAAGCGTGTTGTGGTAATAATGTGGTCTGGGGAGAATTTGCAGCTGAATTATTAGCCCCCTAGTGCACATAACTTTGGGGTCTCCTGCCCCATCCATAACAGCCTCCCCCAACTTGGAGTTCCCAGATATTCCTGGACTACAGCCTCCATCATCCACAGCCAGCAGTGAGCTAGATCAGGGATGATGTGAGTTGTAGTCCAGCAACATCGGAGGACCCAAGGTTGGCAGAGGCTGCTGTGTGATATCCCCCTCTGGTCCAGGAGCCATTTTTCACAGGTGCAATCTAGTGGGGCTCCTGTGCCTTTCGCAACCGCTGAACAGGCAGAAATACACTAGGTCTAGCTTGACCCTGTGCCTGTTGGATTTCCGTCTGCGAACTGCACCTGCTGGATTGCTCCATGTGTTGGGTATTCTGGCAACCTATGACCCTTGTTTGTGAGGTCTGCACTGGCTATCAATCAGGACACGTTAAAGGCTTTGGTGCAAACAGGCCCTATACAGGTCAGGATCAGGATACTTGAAATACAGATGATCTGTGAGAAAGTTCCTCCTTCAAGTTCATCTGTCTGTCCCCCCCACCAAAAGAAACCAGTTACCTGCTGTGCAGTGACTCAGAGCAGCGCTTTCGGTGTAGCTGTCCCGTTCTGTGAAACAGCATTCCTGTTGAGATACGCCAGCTCTCTGCGCTTTCCGGAAACCATGGGAGATATTTTCGCTCCAACTGGCTTTTCCTGCTGGACGAAACAGTCTCTCTGTCTCAGGTGTTAGTACTGAGTTTGTTTTAAAACCCATTTTCTCCCTCTGTGTGTGTGGCGGCGGGGGGGGGGGGGTTGTACTGTTTTAAATGTCAATGAGTTGCCTTGAAACATAGTCTTGGATATTATTGGAATTATTATTTAATGTGGTGCAGCTGTTAAAGGCTTGAGAGCCCTGCTAGGGAAAAGGTAGCAACCGTCTCAGGCAGATTCAACCTGTCCCTAACCTTGGTTAACAGGTGGGACTTGGAGAGTTGAGGGGGGGCTCTTCTTAAGGAGCCCCCTCCTGCCCTGTGACTGTGACTTAGGGGATGAAACCAGCCTCTGGCATGGGGACCAGATGATTCGAGGCATATGTGGGGCAGGAATTTATGTTTGATTTCTGCCGGAGCCTGGAGACAATGAAGCAGGTGAAGTCCAAAGAGTTGGCAGCTTTCCGCCCTCACACAGGAATCTTTGGGAGGCTCCTTGTCCCATTTTGGGGGTGGAGGTGTCACCCAGCCAAAGCTGGTTGCTGGGATTCCCTTTGCTGTCCTTGTGGACCTTGCTGGGCTCTTAAGCTCGAGAGCAGATGCAGGAATCCTTAGCAGCAGGGCTGGACCAAGACATTTTATGGCCCCTGAGGCGAACCGCAAAATGACGCCCCCCCCCCCACCAGAGAAGAAAGGGGGAGTAAAGTTCTACGTCATGAACCATGGAGGAGTGGTTGCTAAAATTACTGGATTTAGCTGAGATGGCAAAGACTAGAATTTTTAATCAGAGAAAAGTCCTTGTCAACATTTACTAAAGACTCAAAACGTCTTACAGACTTTTTGCATGAAAAAGAGCTCATGATATTTGGTTTTGAAGATTGACTATGTAATGTTGGTTTGTAGAAAGTGGGTTTGTTGGGTGTAATCTTGGAGTGGATATGTTGGATATTTTTCATATATAGATGACAGATGAAGATTCAAAAGTTCTCTTTTTTTCTTTTCCCCAGGCCTTTCCCTCCCCTTTCCCTTTTCCCTTTCTCCTTTCTCTGTCTTCCTGTCTGTTTCTCTCTCTCCTTTTCTGGTCTGTGTTTTTATTTAGATTACCGTATTTTTCGCTCTATAAGATGCACCAGACCATAAAATGCACCTAGTTTTTGGAAGAGGAAAACAAGAAGAAGAAAATTCTGAATCCCATAAGCCAGGACAGCAAGCGGGACCGCTGCGCAGCGATCCCACTGGCTGCCCTGGCTGCCCTGGCTTATGGGATAGCCGCGCGCAGCCTCTTCCGGACAAGGGGAGCCTTCATCCCCTGCCTGGGAGAGGCTGCGTGCGGCTAAGGCTCTCCCAAGAGCCGCGCTCCCTTTAAAGAGCACACGGAGCGTGTGTGCGGCTCTTGGGGGCTTTTCCCCGAGGGGGGAAAACCCCCAAGAGCCGCACAAACGCTCCACGCGACTCTTTAAATGGAGCGCTGAGCAGAGCCTCCCGCCTGCATTCGCCCCATAAGACGCACACACATTTCCCCTTACTTCTTAGGAGGGGAAAAGTGCGTCTTATAGAGCAAAAAATACAGTAGCTTTTTGGTACAAAGATATTTGATATTAATTTTTAAAAATGTGCTGCCCCTGTGGATCTTGCCGCCTGAGGTGGCCGCCCCACCTTGCCTCATGAGTGTGCCGGCCCTTAGCAGTGAACAAAGGCAGGGCTTATCTTCTTCTGTATGTTTGAAATGCGTCAGTGAACCACCGGCAGGCTTACGAAAAGGAAAGAAGTTCCTGCAGCCCATTGTCTCTGCATAACCACAGCCTTTGTGGCCTATGACTCCCTTGTGGGAAGTTTTGTTTTCGGGGAGCTCTGCCCTGACTCTCTCCATGGGAAAGTCTGTCTGGCTTGACATGCAGACATTTCCCAGGCCCCATCTCCAATGGCACCTCCAGTTTAAAAGTGGGGTGTCAGAAAGCAGGTGGTTGGGAAAGACCCAGTCCAAAGAGAAGACCTGGTACAGCTCAGTCAGTAGAGCATGAGACAGTTAATCTCAGGGTTGTGGGTTCGAGTCCCACATTGGGCCAAAGATTACTACATTGCATGGGGTTGGACTAGATGACCTGCTTGGTCCCTTAAAGGTAAAGGGACCCCTGACCATTAGGTCCAGTCGTGACCGACTCTGGGGTTGCGGCGCTCATCTCGCTTTATTGGCTGAGGGAGCCAGCGTTTGTCTGCAGACAGCTTCCAGGTCATGTGGCCAGCATGACTAAGCCGCTTCTGGAGAACCAGAGCAGCACACGGAAATGCCGTATACCTTCCCACCTATTTATCTACTTGTACTTTGGTGTGCTTTCGAACTGCTAGGTTGGCAGGAGCAGGGACCGAGCAACGGGAGCTCACCGCATCATGGGGATTCGAACCGCCAACCTTCTGATCGGCAAGTCCTAGGCTCTGTGGTTTAACCCACAGCGCCACCCGCATCCCTTGCTTGGTCCCTTACAACACTACAATTCTATGATTGATGATGATGGGAACTGTAATGCTGCTCCCCACACGGGGCTTGGGTGGGCTGGTGTCCCAACCTTGGGTCGTGCAGCTTCCCATTTCACCTTGTCCTCCTTTCTCAGACTGTGGCCAGCAGTGCCCGGGAGGTCCTGATCCAGCGCCTGAACGTTGTGAGGACTGTGTGTGAGAGCGAGGAGCAGCGGCTGCTGGATGTGGCCCACTCAGAGGAGGAGCGTGCCCACCAGAACATCCTCACCCAGCAGGTCCACTGGAACGAATCACTACGGAAACTGGACGCCCTCCGGACTTACATGGTGACCATGATCACCAGCACAGATGATGGTGGCCTGGTGGTAAGCATTGGCGATTGGTCCCAAGTGAGGCTCACCCTCGCCTCGCAGTTTGCATGTGCTCGGTTTATGGGTTTATCTCTCACTTATGGTGAGCTGTGAAATGGACAGAGATATAAATGTTTATTCTCCATTCTTTGGCTCATAGTCGACAGGCATAAGCAACTCGTGAATTTTGGGAAGCTCCAACAAAATGACAATTACACAAGCATGCCCTTAAAAATGCAGTATCAAAGCAGAAATCAGTTTTAAAGCCTTTTCTTTATTTTAAAGATTGTGTTGAATTATAAAAGGTGAAAGAGCTTAACAAATGCATACCTCCATAAATAATTTTTTCCCCAGAGACGATTTCAACCGCAATAGAATTAAACCTTGGATGCCCATCAAAAAGTTCCTTCCCGCTTTTTTGTTTATTTGGTTTATGTCGTAAATAAAATGATTGAAAAAACAACCTCAAAGCAGTTTACAAAAAGATAAAGCATGAAAATTGAGGGGGGGGGGGGAGACCAAAATAGTTTCTGACAGTGATTTCAGGCTATGGGAGTAGGATGAAACTGCAGGGTGACACACACGTACCCTGGGTCGGTTGTATGTGATTTCCCCTTCAGTTGGCTACACTTAGCCCACCTACCATATCCACATGAACCAAGGTTGGCTGTGAACTGCTTTTCAAATCTGGTTCTAGACCTTGGTTAAGAGCAAGCCCTGCTTCACCTTATCCATGGTTAGCACGGCATGATGGCCAACCATAGCTACGGCCAGTGGTGGCTGATGCCTAACAGAAATGGAAGGGCAGAAAGCAGGGAGCCACACAGTGGGCGGAGCCAGAGCCAGAAGGAGGAGGAGCCAGCTTGCTCTAGTTTTGCCCCCTCCTCTCCATACTTCTGTTCCCTGCTGAGGTCCAAAGAATCAGCACAAAGGCAGAGAAGGGAGCTGGTAGGCAGGGGCCCCTGCCACCCACTGCTAGACTGGATGGGAGAAAGAAGACAGGCAGGCAGGCAGGGGCTGGCGGACAGGCTGAGGTTGGCAGGGCAGCCCCCCAGTCTGGCTATGGGAAAAGTGGGTGGGGTGGGTGGAAGAAGTGAAGTCATCTGTGGTTAAGGAAAGGGCAATCATAATCAGTCTCTGGCTTCCTGCCTGCTTATATTGAAACTCGTCTTGAGATTGTGGTCAAATTGCAAGAGCTAAAAATAAAACAAAAATGTCATCATGTTGGGCTTTTCTTAAAAAATTAAAAAGCTGCCATGCTTCAGGTTTTTTTAAAAAAACATTTTTATTGAGTTTTACATCATTTTTAACATAATCACAACTAACAATATAATCACAAAATAAATTTATTTTGTGATATGCTTCAATTTATAGGAAGCTACTTTGTACAGTCAAACCTCGGCTCCCAATCGCCTCCATTTGGAACGTTTCGACTCCCAAATGCCAAAAACTCAGAAGTAAACGCTTCACTTTTTGAACGTTTTTTGGAAGCTGAGCGTCCGACACGGCTTCCACTTGAGTGCAGGAAGCTCCTGCAACCAATCAGAAGCCGCGCCTTGGTTGTCGAACATTTCGGAAGCCAAACAGGCTTCCAGAATGGATTATGTTCGACAACCGAGGTTTGACTGTACCAGGCCAGGCTTTGTGTCTGTTGAACCCAGTCAGGTGGGCTCTGTCTGGTAGCCCTTCTCTAGGGTCTCTCAGACCAAGGAGGGTCTTTCCCCTGCCCACCCTCAACTTGAGCCCCCCCCCTTTTCACTGCAGGGACCCTGGAGCTGAGCCAGGGCCCCTTTCCACTCTTTCCCTGGGGTTCCCATCCATGGCGTCAAATGGACCTCCATCTATTTAGCAGTGGTAATTTTCTGTTTTCAAAGAGGTCTTTTTAGTAACTTTCTCTCTCTCTCTCTCTTTCTCTGTGTGTCTAGCAGGCAGAGGAGGAAATCTTTGAGAGGTGAGTGAAGACATCTTTGATTCCTACTTCTACCTCCCCCCACCTCAAAAAAAGCAATAAGTAGGAGCATAGGAACATGGCAACAGGCCTGAGGAGCCTGACCAAAGGGGCTTCATCCAGTCTCAACAAAATATTAAAATCACAATAAAACATCAACCTTTAAAAACTTCCCTGTACAGGAGTACCTTCTGATGCCTTCTAAAATTCATTTAGTTATTTATCTTATTGACATCTGACGGGAAGGCATTCTGCTGGGCAGACACCACTACCGAGAAGGCCCTTTGCCTGGTTTCCTGTAACTGGCCTTTTATTTCTACTCTCTGCTTCTTGTTCCTTAACTAACTGCCGAGATGTAAGATCTGTCCTCCTGTTTCAGGACAGCTGTTTGCTCAGGCACCCCTGGTGGTTTTGATACCGCTGTCTAGATTCCCACCAACACTCTGAAATAACTCTAAAGGGGAGTCAGACAGGACTTACTTGTGCAGAAGCCATGCTGATTTACCTTCAGCAAGACCTGTTCTTCCCTATGTTTCCTAATGTTGCTGCTGATAATGCTTCCAGAACTGGTATCAACTGGCCTGCACTTTTTTTGGATCTCTTTAAAAGAAATGTTTTATATTGTTAGGCTCAACAGCAGTTTCACACTCTGAGTTGTTTAAGAACTCTTCAGATGGAATCTGTCTAGATTGAATGATTTATTTGTTTTTAATTTGTCTAGGATGTCCTCTCTTGCATCTCTTTGCCTTTCTGCTCTCTCAATATCCTCCTCTGTCAGCCCTTTAATTCCCTTCCTACCCAGTGGGTCAAGTGCCTCCCTAGTGGGCTTTCTGCTTCTGATGTGTTTTTCTAAAATGCTGTAAATGTATTTTGTGCTATTAAAAGCACTTTCCTCATTGCCTCCTTCCAGTGTGTGTGTGTGTGCAAGTTTGTGTTTCTTTCTGTTCTACTCCTTTGGGCAAGCTTTTGTCCACAGGCCTGGTGGGAAAGCTATTGTTTCCCTCCTTTCTGTTCTTATTTTTATCATGTGTTTTGTGTTTTTTATATTGTAATTATATGTTGTGAACTGCCCTGAGATCTACGGGTAGAAGGCGGTCTACAAATTTAATGAATAAAATAAAAATAAATACAGTGGTACCTTGGGTTAAGTACTTAATTCGTTCCGAAGGCCCGTTCTTAGCCTGAAACTGTTCTTAACCTGAAGCACCACTTTAGCTAATGGGGCCTCCTGCTGCTGCTGCGCCGCCAGAGCACAATTTCTGTTCTCATCCTGAAGCAAAGTTCTTAACCCGAGGTACCATTTCTGGGTTAGCGGAGCCTGTAACCTGAAGCGTATGTAACCCAAGGTACCACTGTACCCTAAAGAGCTAAGGATACTGATATATATTGTACGTAATATTGTATTTTACTGGGAATGAATTGAAAAGTGGTACGTTAAAACTAACCCCAGTTGCTTCTGTTGTGTTGGTTTAGGACAGAGGAAGCTGAAGGAATCCTGAAGCCCCAGGAGTCAGAAAAGCTGGACTTTAACCCATGGTGCCTCCAGAGTCCATTAGTGAGCCGGCTATGGGCCTTAGCTGTTCTCCGTCGGGCCTCAGGTCAGTGTCTTTCCCTTGTGGGGTGGGGGTCGTTATCCAGGCCACCTCCACCTGCCTTCCAGGTTTGCTTTTGCTGCCTTTCAGTTGGCTACGTTCCCAACACCTTTCTGCCGAGTTTGTGGTGACCAGTTTCTTTCTCCACCCAGAACAGATGAAGTCCACGTGGATGAGAAAACAGTCAGCCCCCTCTTGCAGCTTTCGGAGGACAAGAGAACGCTGACCTTCAGCCCCAAGAAAAACAGCAGGCCCGACCCCGGTGGCCCGGCACGGTTTGACCACTGGCCCAACGCCTTGGCCGAGGAATCGTTCTGTTCGGGGGTCCATGCCTGGAGAGTCCGGGTGGCCAAAAGCGGTGCTTACAAGCTGGGCATCTCCTATGGCTCCCTGGAGCGCAAGGGGGCTGGGCCCGAAGCCCGCCTGGGTTGCAACGCTTCCTCCTGGGTTTTCTCCCGCTACGGCAGCGAGTTCCAGTTTTCCCACAACGGCCGACACCAGGCAGTGGAGATGCTCAAGTGCCCGGCTGAGATTGGAGTATTGGTGGACTTGGATGCTGGAGAGGTGCTGTTTTTTGACCCGGATTCTTGTGCCATTCTGCACATGCACCACGAAGCCTTTGCCGGCCCCATCTACCCAGCCTTGGCCGTGGCAGATCAGAGCCTCTCTCTGATGTGAGGAGAGCCAACACTGCAAGGTTGTTATTTCCTAAAGCTGAATGGGGCTGGATCACCTTATATTCTAGCAAGATGAGCACTGTGGTTCCGGCAGGACGATGCCAACTTGTGCCAGGAAGCGAGAGGGCTTTGCTCTGGGGCAACTCACGGGCTGTCTCTGGCTCTGCGTTCAGAGCAGATGGGAGCTGCAGTTTGCAGCTAAGTATCTTACCAGAGGAGGCCATGACGGAGTCAGTGACAGGGGCTGAAAGGCTTGGCTTGGGAGGGACATTCCACCTGCTCCAAGATGGTCATTCTCAGTCTTATTTAGCCTTAGCACTGTGCCACCACGAGTCCAGTCAGAAAAGACAATTGTACTGTACTAGTCCCTGAGGGGAAAGGGACAGAGCCAGCAATTAAAAAAAAAATCTGACTAGGAAAAGAGGATTCTGCAACCTGTGCAAATTACATAATGGATGGAGCATGTTGCTGCTTTTTTGTCATCACCGAATGTTATAATTATGAATGTAAAGCTACTGTTTAAATACTAGAATTGTGAATTTAAAGCTGCATAATTTAAAGCTACCGTTTTGCACATTCCCCCCCCCACCCCATTTTTGCTGGGAACCTCAGTCCAGTTTGCTGAGAATCTCATTCAGTCTTCCTCAAACCGACACCAGCACGTTCGGTGATTTTGGCAAGCCCGTTCTCTTCCCACATACTTTCTAGCATACCTTTCTGACCATGAGGGGTAGAAACTTGTTTTTCTTCTTAAAATGTGTTATTCTCAGGAAGCTGAACCATGCAGAATGTTGCATAGCATTCTTGTTTTTCTGTCAGACTGTGGCAAACACACAGCACGGGGCAATAAAATGGGAGATCCTAGAATACTGTAATAGAAGGGTAGAATTTGAAAGGGACCCAACGGTCATCTAGTCCAACCCCCAGCAATGCAAGAATCACAACTAATCACATCCATCAATCTTTCTCTGCTGCATCACATAACAGAAATAGGCTGCCTTTTAAAAAGCAGCCAGGCCTCCAGGTTCACATTTCATTGGTTCCCAAGGCTATATAACAGGGGCACAAGGATATGCATTCTAACAGCATTTTAATTTATTTTTAAAAGGCACATACAAACAAAAGTATATAAACAACCAAATACTTTAGGCATTTAAGCCAGGGATGTTTTATTATCTGTTTGTTATGAAATTGTGCTAAATAATTTAAGCTCAAGTTTTTAAACTTGGGAGAGGTCCTTTTTTGGGCCACAAACTGACTCAAAAGTAATTACATGCATAAATAACTCGTGGGTGTCAGGGGGCAGGCCCATTATTTTTCTCCCTGATCCTGCTACCTCCTTTATTTTTATTTATTTTAAAAATTAAATTAGATTATTAATTTAATTATTACTATTTTTAATGTAGAAGAACATAAAATGTTTCCTCTCTCTCTCTCTCACCTTCCACCTGCCAACTGAAGTGATACAGTCTAGGAGGGACACCAGGTGTGATTTAGCTGAACCCTGACAAAACTCCCCTTCTTAGCCCTTCTCTATAAGGGACGGGAGGTGCATCAGTGATGGTAGGATGTGGACATTGGGCACTTCTGCATCCTTCTCTAGAGGCTGGCAACCTGATTTATACAGAAAACTGTGCATCCCTGCCTCCCTCGCTGCCTTGTAGTCATTCACGTAGTCGTCCCCCACGTGGGCTGCCAGCTGAGGAGACACCCCTGCGATGCGGAGTGCCTCCAGGAAAATCCGCTTGTCCGGCTTGGCAAACCCCACTTCTTCCGAGGTCAGGACAAAGTCGAAGTGCTGGCGGAGGCCGCAGCGGGTCAGCACTTCCTGCAGCCTCTGGTCAAAGTTGGAGATGACTGCCATGGGGACCCCCATCCTCTGGCATTGCTGCAGAGTGTCCCTGGCGCCCGGGAGCAACTCCCAGTTGTGGGCACTGCTGTAATCCCGGTAGAGTTTCTCCGCAATGGGCCGGACGGCCTCCTTGCCGTGGACACCGGAGAGCCGGAACGTCTCCATGACAACATCCATCCACCACTGCTTGGAGCTGAGGCCTCTGTCTGAGCCATAGTTGGGGAAATGCAGGCTTTGGGCCCTGTAGGCTTGGCGGAAAGACTGGGTGAGGGCTTCGGCCTGTACCTGGACGCCACAGGCCCGGGCCTCAGCAGAGTAGCTCTCGCCCACGGGGACACGGAGGCGAAGGAGGGTGTCCTTCACGTCCCACGTCAAGAGCCGAAGCTTCAGCATGGTGTCAGCACTAGCCTAGAAAGAGAGGGGAACGAGAGAGGGGAACTAGGTGTCAACACATCTTATCACGGGCAAAATCTTGACTGGCGCAGTTTGGTTCATGGCCCCCCAATGCAAGCAAGGTCTCGAAAGGAAAATCACAGCCTCCAGCCAGCATGACTTTGTAAGCTCTGTACTGGCAGGTCTGCAAACTGGTTTCTGTCTCCAAGCTCTGGCAGAGGAGGCCCTTTCTCTGGCAGGAAAATCTTGTCATCTGCCAATCCGGCTGCCCTGCAAGGGGGACTTTCACTTGGAGGGGTGGACTTGCTGCTCGGACGTCCAAGGCCAGAGAATGAAAATGAGAGCAGCCACCTTTGACCAGTGTGCTTTCAGGAGGCAGAATTAGCAACAGGTTAATGACTAATCCTGGACGGCCGCAGACGACGTACTGCAAAGCAGCGGCTGAAGGAGGGAGACTTTTGAGTGCTTTCAACTGTTTTCATTCTGCTTTTCTGCAAAGGCTTCCAACATGGCCCACACTTAAAAAAGAAATAAATCACCAACTGATGAAACACTTAATGAAGTTACAAAACCTTGAAACAATGAAAGCAGAGAGGGCAGGAACATAACTTTGGCTACGTACTCTGATCAGACCTTTACGAAGAGCATCCGAAAGACACGCTTCAAGAAATGGGCAGGCAGGGTGAGGTGGGGAGTGGGAGAGACCCACCTAAAATTCAGCATGTTCTCAGCCTGGGAATTTGCCAGAATCAAGCTCACAAGCCTTTCAGACAAAAATGCAGTCCTAGATATGGCCAGCAGCTGGACGGGGTGGGGGAAGAATACTTGATATTTGCAAGGTTAAAAAAATGAGTTCAGGTGTGTGTCCAGAAACCCACAATTGCAGATGCCAAACAAAAACTCTACCAGCAGATCCCTTTTTCTTTTCTGCAGCCCATTTCCCCTGCTTTAAGAGACTCCCACACACAACCTGTGTCGTCGTCCCCCCCCCCCGGCCTGGTGCCTGACTGCCCCTCTTCCTGCTTGTGAGGCAGCAGGAGTAGAAAAAGGCAGCTGAACCAGTTGGGCAGGAAGGTGAGAGGCACACGGGGCACAGCAGAGGTGGAACTGGGTGTGGGCATGGCTTGGCTGGCCTTCCAACAGGAACACAAAGGGTGGTGTTGCACAAGGAACCACCCAGGCCAGCTCCCCTCACCCTCTGGGCACTGCCACAATCCCTTTCAGGTTGTGCCCTTCCTGTGGCGGGGGTGGGGGTGGGTGCAGGATAAGAAGTCATTGGCCACCCTGGCTGGGGGCAGGTGGGCAGTTGGTCTCGTGCTTGCCACCCTTCACTGGAGACCTCAAAGCAGAAGGCACTGGCTGGGGTCATTTAGCTCTCTTTTGGAGTGGATAATTCTCTCTCCACCCTTATCTAGGATTAAAGGGCATTATCTGGAATGCTTGTTATATTCTGCTTCAGAGCCCCAAGAGGCTCTCAAAGCGGCTTACAAAGCTTCTCAGCATGTAACGTGCTCTCAGCACCTCATCCATCCATCCATCTTGATGGGCAGGATGAGTTAGTGGCTAGGCAAGAGGGACATTCCTGCTCTTACCTCTCCTGGGTATCACACCAGGAAACAACCTCCCTTGGAGGGGATGGGGTGGGCAGGTGGGGGGAGGATGAGGGAGGCACTGCTGGGGTGGGGAGAGGAGGGGGATGTTGACAGGATCCCCTTCCTGGCAGTGGGTACCAGGGAGTGGGACTGGGAATCGCCTGCGCTCCCTGCTGCCCGTTGTGCCACCTGCCTGGTGTTTGCTGTGGGAAAGTCTGAGTGCAGTGGTGAGTTGGTAGGTGAGCAAGACCCACGCCCAGGTAGGAGGTGTGTTGCCTGCTCCAAACAGGGTTGCATTCCTCCCTCCAAAGGCACAGGTGCGTAGCCTGGGGGGTGTTCCTGGGTCCACCCTTTGCCACTAGAGGCCCAGGTGGCTATGAGCGCCTTTGGGCCAGCTGTGGTTGACAAGGCAGCTGCAGCTGTTCCTGGACCAGGAAGGAGACCTTGGCCTATGTCATGCCATCCTGACACTCTGGAGAGGATTAATGCAATGAGCTCTGTGTGTGTGGACTGGGGGGGGGGGGGGCTTCCCTCGAACTTAACCCAGAAGGTGCAGCTGGTGAACACCATGTAACTTCTCTGTCAGGCAAGCTGCACTGGGCTGCCCATACTAATTTTGCTTTTAGCATTTAGAGCCCTAAACAACTTGGGACCCAGTTACCCCCCTCCCCAAATATATCCGAGAGTAACATCACTCCTCAAGGGGCCATTGCTAAGAGGGAGCATTTGGGACTGCCAGTTGCTGGGAACCACAGCCTTGCTCTTGTGCTGAGGTCCTGCTTGCTCGTTTCCCATCTGGTTGGCCGCTGTGAAAGTAGGGTACAGGACTAATGGGCCATCGGCCTGATCCAGTAATATCCTGTTTTGGAGATCGGAGACATTAAAAACAGTCTTCTCCAAAACTGTGATCCAGCTAGTTTTCAAAATAATAACTACAGTTGTCCTCATTGTCTTTGGTTTTACAGAGCTTGTAAATTTTTGGATTTTATATTTCGTCTTATTTTACTGCACGCTACTTTGGATATTTATTTCCAGGCTTTGAAGCTGCTTTGCAATTAAAAAAACAGAGAGGGGAGGGGCCATGGCCCGACGTAGCCCTAACTGCTCCCCGCACCCAACTTCCTTGCATGGGGCTCTGGTCGCGCGTGTTGGTGGCCGGAGAGGAGCTCCTGGAGTCGTGCAGAGCTCAGGCTGGGCGGGGGGGGCGGGGGCGGGGGCGGGAGGAATGGAAGACAGCGGCCACCTTACCTCGTCTCCGTAGCTTCACCTCGACTGAGTGCGCAAGCGCAACTCAGGGGGAATGCGCGTGCTCAGTAAATGCCCACGCCCTCACTTAGCCCGCTTTCTGGGCGCTGCACTGATTGCAGCAGCAGCAGCAGCAGCAGAACAGGCGGTGACGGTCTTTTGCAGCAGCACCCCCCATCACCGCTTTGTGAATGAAGACTTGGCTCCGGAAAAGTGCTTTTGAACGATCAGCCTGAGGCTGGAGCAGAGCTTTGTTAAAGTCCAGTAGTGAGGCAGCCAGAAATTCAACAGGTGCAGCTCCTCCCCAACACACACTTTGGAGTGCCTTATGTCACCCAGCTGCCAAAACCATATTTCATTTTATTTAAAAAGTTCAGTTTCCAGAGAAAGTAAACAAAGTAACTTGAATACTTATTTCATGTCCAGAACATGTCAAGTAATTGAGACTGTGGGTTCCTCAGAGTTGCATTTCCCCCTTCTGCAGGATACAGTGCCTGTGCAGCAGCAGAGGATGGCAAGTGTGGCAGGAAGATTCAAGAACAATCAAGGAAACATTTCAGTGTAGTGTACTATCAAAATGCTTTATTTGCAGAATACTGTTTGGATTTTTTTTCCAAAATCAAGCACAGCTAAGCGTTCTTTCTGTTTTCCAATGTATGTCTTATTAATACAAAATTGAGTATGGGGCAAGCAAATTTTTATTCTGAAAGTGTGGCCCAGATAAAGTTTGAGAACAACTGCTTTAAGGACTGTCATGTCACGTGCATTATGCCCCTGGCTTAGCCTCTTTTGCCATTCAAAATAGATTTTTTTAACATTAAAAACCCTCCTCCTACAAATTTGCTAAGTTCTAATGTAGAGCACTGGTGGGTGTGGGGAGTGGCAGGATTCCACAATGATATGTTTTTACCCCCACCCCCCACCCCAATGGCAACAGGGTCCTCCTGCCTTCATATCCTCTCTCTGCTTGCTCAGCACTTGAAAGCTGGCAGGGCACAAACTTGTGTTCATCATCCAAGGTGGCCTTCTTAGAAACTGCTGCTGGGTTCGTCCTGCCTGAACATCCTTCTAGTTTCCCCCGTGCCATAACTACCTTGCTTTATATCAAACCAATTTCATGCCAGCCGCCTTGCACACACTCTCTACAACACAGACCATAGAGAGAGCAAGGCAAGCACTAACATGGCTGAAACACATTCAACACATACTTGCACACTGAAGAGGACATTCGTTTTAAAAACACCAACTTGGCAGCACACCCTGCCTGTCCCCCCTCAACCCCCTTTCTTCTGTAGCCTATGTATTTCGTTCTAATATTTCCCCCTCCTCCACCACCACCAGGAAACACCAGAAAGTTTATTTATGCTCCAAGAGGTGTACTGATGATTACTTCCCAGCTTCACGGGCCAAAATCAGGAGGGTTTGCCATGCATGTCAGCAGGTCTGGCTCCTGTGCTGATAAAAGCAGCAAGACGTGGGCGATGGAGAGGAGAAGCATTCAGTCGGGAAGTGGCACAGCCTCCTGTTATGCCAAGGCACAGGAGGAGGCCAGGGGTCTTCCCGAGCAGCTAGGGACCGTCACTTGTGCAAATCAGGAGAGGGCAGAGACTGCAAACCAGGCTCCCTTCTTGTTTTGATTTTTTTCCTGGTGGGGCTCCTGCACCCTAAAGAGCTCCACAAGGTATAGGCACGTTGCTATTTCCAGAATGGGAAGGAAGCACACAGGTAAAGATCTGCCTGTGAATTTCACCTGCCCTGCATCAGGTTAAAGAAGATGCCATCTTGGTTGAGCGTCCCAGAGGATCTGCGCTCTCTGTTGCCTTGCTGCCTGTCTCCATCTGGCTCAGGAGGGTGGGGGTCCTGACTGACTCCAGCTGCAAAAGCTGAGGCTGCTGGGAAGGTGTAGGGTATGCATCATGGCTTTTGGGAGAGGCTTGGGGAGTAGTGGCTGGTTCCCGCCCCCACCTACAGCTGCGGGATGGCATGACAACACCCCCACCCCGCAGCATTAATGTGGAGAAGCAGCTGGGACATCGTCCCGTCCCGGGGTCCTTGCAGCACCAACAAGCATTCCCCTCTGCCCCATTGCCTCACAGAGCTCTAGGGCACCTCTTTGGGGGCTCTTTCACCAAAGCGTTCTTTCCCAAGCCGTAAATCACTTTACTGAATATCTAACTTGATTTATGTTCAACTATTCCTTTCTTGCAACTTTTTTTTTTTAAAAACGCATATATTTAAAAAGGCATCTTGGTTGACAATTAAAAGAAATCCTAGCTCCAGGCCTGGAATGCTAAGGGACCATGGAGTCAGTTGAATCAGCTCTTGTAGATGGGCACCCTTAGAGTAAAAGCATGTGAGGGGGGTTGATACTATAGTTGCCCCCTCCCCAACCATCTGCTTGGTCCGTTCCACAAGTTTCAAGACACTTCCGGGATTCTTATTCCGGCCATCTTTGTTCCCAGGAAAGCGATGGCTCAGGCCTGTTCTTCCTTCAGCCACTGGAGCAGCTGAGGCACGTAGTAGGTGATGATGATATCAGCCCCTGGAAAGAGAAGAGTTTCCTTCCTTAAAAAAAGGACCCACAGTTTATTTGCAAATGCCTTCCCTCAGTTTATTCTGCTTGCCTCCCAAAGGTCTGAGGGCAGCCCCTCTTAATTCATCTGCTTTTAGTCTCTTTCATCGCTTCTCTCCATCCTCCTCATGCTGCTTGTGGAAATCCAATGAAGCTGAAAGTTGGAAGATTGGGGACAGATAAGAGAAAGCGCTTCATAGCGCAAGGCAGGGCTAAACTCTGGAACGCGCTCCCCCAGGAGCCAAATTGGGTGGCTTTAAGAGAGGATCAAAAAAGTTGTGGAGGAGAAGGCGATCTATCAGTGGCTAGTAGCCACAATGGCTATGCTCTGCGAGAAACCACAGGAGGAGAGAGTGGCTGCTGTGCTTGGGTCCTGCTCGCGGGTTTTTGCAGTATTTGCAGAATACTGTATGAATCTCCCCCCCTCAAGCTTATAAATTCAGAGCATTTGTGGATGATGCGGTTTTGCTTTCGGAAAATCCGATGGGGAGCCCATTTTCTCCACTTGCTCCTGAAGGGGCTCTGTGGCACCAGGGAGCACCAAGTGACTGGAGGTGGCTGTGCGTCGCCCCAGGATCGGGGCAGCATGTCTATGAGTCCCACCTGCTGCAGGGACAGGGGCAGTCCCACGAGGGGCAAAATTGCTGCTGCAGAGGCCGTGTTGTGCTTGTGGGCGTCTCACCGAGCAGGTATGTGGTTGGATCAAGGATGAACCTTTGGCCTGATCCAGCTGCAGAGCCCTTCCTATTGTCAGTATGCATTTTGTGGTACAGAAAGTATTGGTTTACAGTGTAGAGATCTTTCCTATTCCAATTGATTCAAGAGGGTTCTGCAAGCTTCTCTGTGTGATACAAGCTGGAAGTTTCTAGCTAACAAGCAAGCTTCTATTCTGCCTACAAACAGGAAGAAGGTTCCTGATGTTTGGGTTATTCCTTCAGAGAAGCTGAGCAGCTGGTTTAAACTGGTTCTGTTAACTCTTTCACTCAAGGTCATGCTGACTATAATAATAAGGCCAGAAGGAGCCTGGGTTTCATTATCTGTCTCTCTTTCCTTCTGGTATGGTGTTCTGTATATGGTATGCTAAATATTAAGGTCTTTTGTAAGTTTAAGTTAAGTCTGCTGCAACTGGATTTCTTATGGACCGTGCCGAAGATGTATGGATTTGTGACTGTTATGCTCATTTGCCTTCAGTAGCAAACTCTGCTGGAAGAAGTTCTTTGCCTCTGAGTTATTTGGAATCCTGCAATATGTTTTAAGTTTTCACTCTGCTTACTGTACATTGCGGTCTGCTCTGGATCAATATGGAGCAGAAACAATGGAACCCATCTGCCCAGCATTCCTGATTTCAGTACGTACTGTAACCCCATCTGATGGAAAGCACTTAAGGGCATCCCATGGAAGGTTTCAAGACCTGGGAGGGAGGCCAGGGAAAGTACCCCTTTTGCCACAGGGGATGTCTTTCCCTGTGACACGGCAGCCCCCTCCACCCCCACCTACTCCCCTTCCTCTCTCACCTGCTCTTCTGAATGCAGCCATGGCCTCCATCACCACAGCCTTCAGGTCAAAAGCCCCAGCTTGCGCTCCGTGCCACAACATGGCAAACTCTCCAGAGACGTGGTAGACGGCCAGCGGGTGGCTGGGATGCTGTAAAGACACAGGTGCACATCAGCCGAGACAGATGCCTTTCCCCTTTTCTCAGCCAAGATGCTGCTGAGGCCCACCCAGTGGGGGCGGGGGTCTCCCCTCCCACCCATTCTGGGGAGCAGGGAGCTTACCTTTTCCTTCACCTCCCGCACGAGATCAAGGTAAGGCATTCCGGGCTTGACCATCAGCATGTCTGCTCCCTCCCGCACGTCTCGGTCCTGGCAGGGGATGGCCACGTACAGAGAAAAAGCACACAGCAGAGGGAGTTGGGAAAGGGAAACCGAAATGATCGAGGGGTCGAGCAATCAACAGGTTGCAGTGTTGGGGACTTCCGAGTTTCGAGCAAAGGCAAGGAAGATGCAACATGACAGAATTTTACAAAACTGTACCTGGCATGGGAAAAGCTCCTTTTGCGTTTCCAAATAAGGCAGTTTCTTCCCCATCCCCCATGCTTCATATTACGTTTAGGATTAGAATTTGTTGAATTGGAAAGTAAGCTTATTTGGCTACATTTCAAGGATGCCGATCTAGCTCATTCCTGTATGTTCACAGTTCATTCCAGCCCTGCATACAAGCTATACATTTAAATCACATGACTTAAAAGCACATGGCTTTAAGGAGGATAGACAAGCTGGAGCATGTGAAGAGGAGGGCAACCAAAATGAACAAGGGTCTGGAAACCAAGCCTACTGAGGGGTGGTGGTGGGAGCTGGCGATGTTTAGCCTGGTAAAGAGGAGTCTGAGAAGAGATACGAGAGCCACCTTCAAATATCTGAAGGGCCGTCACATGGAAAACGGAGCTAGCTTGTTTTCTGCTGCCCCAGAAGGTAGGGCCTGAACCAATGGGTTCAAATAACAAGAAAGGAGCTTCTTATGGAGAAAAAACAGAGCTGTTTAACAGCTGAATGGACAGCCTTGGAAGGTGATGGACTCTCCTTCACAGGTAGTTTTTAACCAGAGGTTGGATGGCCATCTGCATTGCAGGGGGTTAGATGAGATGGTACCAGTTCCTGGAAACCACAGTGAGGGGAGAGGGCTCTTGTGCTCGGATCCTGCTTGCAGGTTTTCGCACAGGTACCTGGTTGGCCCCTGTGAGAACAGGGTGCTGGGGTACAGGGCCCACTGGCCTCATCCAGCAGGCTCTTCTTATGCTATGGCAGACAGACATAAGGAGGGAGAATGGAGGCCAACTGCTTCAAACCAGGCCAGACCCTGGAGCCATCCGTGCTGGGGCTCTGACCCAGGCCAGCTTCGGGGACTACAGTCCAACAAGCTTTTTATTTGCTACCGTTTGATCACAGGGGTGGGAAAGAGGCCACAGGAGAAGAAAGCCAAGCCGCTGCCCTCCAAAGCGGATTCTGCACGCAGATCAAGCTGCCCAAGGGTGGCTCGCTCTGGCTGCCTTCCAGGCGCTCTCTGGGGGAACTTCGGTCGAACCTGGGACTTCATAACAGGTCAAGAGTGCAGCCCACCACCGAGGCAGGAGCCAGGGACAGGCCATTTTGGAGCCCAGCGAGTCTGGTTTTGCCGCAGCACCTCGAGGCGGGGTGGGGGTGGCCTGTTCCTGAGGAACTGGGGCAGAGCAAGGAGGAACGAAGGACGCGCAGAGAGGCCTGGAGGTCGCTGGAGCCAAGGTAGAGCCCCCTAAGCAGCAGGCTCAGCCTTAATCCCTGTTTCTCAGACGCACTAAATCCACTAAGAGGATCGCTGTGTTGAGTTGAAGGGAAGTCTGGGTTCATCCCACCAGCAGCCTCCTTCTCCTCTTCCACCCCCAGTAGTGCCTTCCCCCCGGTGTTCACAGCTGGAAGCTAGGACGGTAAGAATCACAAAGCTGTAGAGTCTTTAGGGCCCCCCCCCCGAGGTTCATCTAGTCCAACCCCCTGAAATAAAGGAATCACATCTAGTGGTTTTGCACAGAATTGCACAATGGGAAGTGGAAAGGTCCCCAAAGGGTCACCAAGTCAAACCCTGTGCAACGGCCACCCAACCTCTGCTTAAAAACTTCCAAGGAAAGAAAAGAGTTTGGATTTGATATCCCGCTTTATCACTACCCGAAGGAGTCTCAAAGCGGCTAACTATCTCCTTTCCCTTCCTCCCCCACAACAAACACTCTGTGAGGTGAGTGAGGCTGAGAGACTTCAGAGAAGTGTGACTAGCCCATGGTCACCCAGCAGCTGCATGTGGAGGAGCGGAGACGCGAACCCGGTTCCCCAGATTATGAGTCTATCGCTCTTAACCACTACACCACGCTGGCTCTCGAAGGAAGAAGCATCCGGCTCCTCCTGAGGGGGTCTGTTCCATCTTTCAGGGAATGGAGGGGGGGTGACTCACCACAGCCCGTAAGGCCAAGCCCCGCGACCCCGGAGGGAGCTGGTAACATCGCCGGTCTCCAAAAGCAGGCTTGGACTGGGCTGCATCTCTGCGTGGAACCAGAAAGGACAAAAAAGGATCGAGCCTGTGAAATCACCCATGAGACCTCCAAGTAGTGATTGTGGGCAGCCCTTGGTCTACCAGATGTACACTGAAACACACCTCCCATTAGCCCCAGAAAGAACAGCCTAGGCCAGGGCAGGTGGGACTTGCAGCCCAGCAACACCTGCTGGGCCACAAACCCCTGCAATTCGCCCTCCCCTCCCCTCCCAAGGGCTGATACAGCGTATGTCGCCTCGCCTCAAAATGGATATTGCAGATCTGGAGAAGGCTTGAGAAAAGGGTCGGCCAAAACAATCAAGGGGATGAAGCGCCTCCGCTAAGAGGAAAGGCCGCAGCCTTTGGGACTTTTTAGTTCAGAGAAAAAACAGGAAAGAGGTGACATGGCAGAACTTTGCAATTCCAGGCCTGGTGTGGACAGAGGGAGGTTATTTCTCCCTCTCTCCTTGAGCTGGAACGGGTGGACATCCAGCGAAGCTGAACACTGGAAGATTCAGGATGGAAAAAGGAAAGTTCCGTTGTTAATCTATGGAACTCCCTCCTGCAGGAGGCAGCCAGGGCCACCAACACGGATAGCTTTAAAAGAGGATTAGACAAATTCATGGAGGAGGAGGCTGCTAATGGCTACTAGCTCGGGCTCCGTAGCTGGAGGCAGTCATGCTTCTGAATCCAAGTTTCTGGAGACCATGGGTAGGGAGTATGCCCTGGTGTTCAAATCCTGTCTGTGAGTTTCAGTCACTGTGAGAACAGGATGCTGGACTAGATGGGCCATTGGCCTGACCCAGCCTCACGGCTCTTCTCATTTTCTCACCTGAAGGGGCCGTAGAAGCAGGAAGCAAACTTAGCACTGTAGCTCAGGACGGAAACCTGCAGCCGACAAGGAGGAAAGGTGAGGGAGGTTTGCTCTCTAAAGGGCTTTTTAAAAAAACCCACACAGGATCTCCTGCCCCCTGCCTGCCAGGCCCCTCACAATCTCTCCTGAGGAGGCACAGGGAGGGAATCGCATCCATTCCCCTCCACCCCTAATCTGTGGCCCTGCAGGCCCATCGAGGTAAGTCGTTGCCATGGCAACCTCAGAGGGCCTCCGGTCGGCCTAGTAAAGGCACCACGACCCTTGAGGGCTCTGTGAGAAGGTCTGCCAAGGGAGGGTGTGGGCTCGTTCCTGGCTCACCTTGTTGCCCAAGTCGTTGGAGACCAAGGCCTGCTTGATGGCGCCAATGCGCCCGTCCATCATGTCCGAGGGGGCCACGATATGGCATCCTGGAGGAGGAAGATGGGTGGTGGCTCAGGGGACCTGAGGGTGGACCACTGCCAGGGACGGGCTGGCAAAGAGGAGTGGTGGGAGGCACCAGCCAGGGAACCCCCCAAGGGAACCCCCAGAGGAGGAAGGCTCAGAGCCGGAGGATTGGTGGTGGGACACAGAGGAGAGGTTGGAAGGAGAAGATTTGTGGGAGAAGGAGACAGATGCTGAGGGGGAAACAGGGTTTGGTGAGCAGGGAGACATGGTGACACGGAGCAGTTCAGACTCTGAGGCTGAAGCAGAGGAGGGGGGGTCAACAGGTTGCTGAAGAACCCGGGTAGTCTCCCTCTCCTGCTACAACAAGCTCCCCTCCCGCTGGTCTCCAATAGCATGCAGAAGGGCAGAACAGAGGCCAGAGGTGTGCAAACACAGTCTGAGATGCTTGAGAGATTTCTGGGAGAGGAGGAGCTTAAGGTTGGTAGAAGGCAGGGCCCTTCAGTCCTGACACCTGCTCTATAGGGGCAAGACCTGCTGGGAAAGGGTTGCTGTATGCCGTTTCCTAGAATAAAGAGTTAACTTCAATGGCATCAGAAATTCACATCCTTTCTTGCTGACTTGCATCTGACTCCAGCCCTGATAGACGGACTCCCTTGGCCGCCAGGTTCCCCAGGAGCCCACCCACCACACAAAAGGAGCCATGCTCAATCAGGGCAAAGGCCTCTCTCCTCACCTAGCAACAGCCCCCAAACAGCTGCCATTCCGAGGTAGGCTGCCTCTGAACCTGGAGGTTCTGCTTAATGTCATAACCAAGAGTTGCCTCCCCTCAGAGTTTTGCCCTAACCCAACTTTTACACTCCCTCAGCTAAGCAGCCGCTGCCACTTCCTGCAGCAGAGAGACCTGTCTTCCAGTCTCATGTCCGTCTGGAGTGTCATTCCTGTGGCACCTGCGCAGTGCCTTTGATGGGACTCGGCAGCCAACTGTGCTCTCACCTGCCTTGGCATAGGCCAGAGCTACCTCAGCCAGCCTCTGGCAGCTGGTCTCGTTCTGGAGGGTGCCATCTTCCCGAAGAATGCCTGAAAGGGCAAGGGCAGCAGTCAAGATTCTGGGGGTCCAATTTCTCCCTATTCCACCCCCTCAACACACACACAAACACACTGCCCCCCAAATTCCACTGGCGTTCCTGAGGACACTTGGAAGCAAACACCAGAAGCAAACCAGGAAAACCATTTTTCACCCATGCGTTGTTTAAAAAGTGTGCTGTAGTGACGTAATAGCAGCCATATTTCAAGAGAGATAAAAAGTGTGTGAGAGGAGGGGGGAGCCTTAGGAGATGCAGGCCTTACATCCCTTGCTTCCCTTACATCCCACAAAAAAAAACCTGGAGACCCAGATTTGCAAAACCCTGATTTAATGCAATACACATGGCAGAATTTGAGGGGCAATCCCTCTCTCCTAGGCCCTGGGACAAGAAGTGGGGATCCTGCTCCTGCTCCCCTCCAGCAGCACTTACCACAGTGCCCGTGGGAGGTGTAAGGGCACAGGCAGACGTCGCAGGCAATCAGCAGCTCAGGGAACAAGGCACGGATCGTGGCAATGGCCTGGATCACAGGGGTGTCCTTGGCATCGGCCGCAGATCCACGCTCGTCCTGTGGCGGGGGGGGGGTGGAGGGGCAGGCAGGAGGAAGGTGGTGAAACTGCAGCCGGCAAAATGTTAACTGGGGCTGGATCTCAGCAGCCAGGTGCAGGATTTGTGGATGGAAGCTAATCTAATTGAACATATGACTGAAACTGCCAGGGTGCCTCCACCCCCTTTACCCACCTTGACGGCTCGGCTTGGGACCCCAAAAATCAGAATGCACTTCAGGCCATCAGCCACAAGGGGACGCAGCATCTCTTCCAGCCTGTTGACCCCATAACTGGGGGGTGGGGGGCGGGGGCAGAGAGAGAGAGAGAGACCAAAAGGAGATTGATGAGCAAAGCAAAGTCCTCTGTCTGGTTCTCCCGTGGAGGCCAGGCAGCTGCCCAAACCCCATGCCCAAAAGAAGAGATTGAGGGCAGAAGCCTCCTCCACCCCAGTTATTTGCCTCCACCACCTGGCAGTTTTAAGGTATGCTGCCTCGGGACATGGATGTTCCACTTAGTTTTTTATCAGGCATGTCAGGTCAACAGGTAAGAGCGCCCACTGCACCAGGGGGGCAACCAGATGGGAAGCCTGGCAAGCAGGATAGGATGGCATCCCTGGGCCCCTGTTCATTGCTCCCCGCTCCTCAGCCAGTGGCATCACTGGAACACAGCTCCTGAAGCTGCAAGATGTGTCACGGAGTGATTGAAAGCCCCATGCATTCTCTCTTCTTCTTCTTCTTGAAAATAGTTTGTATTAGGTTTTCAAAAAGATGAAACCGCAGAAGCAGAGAGGTTGTCTGTTGGCTTAAGCAGGCCGATTCCATTGCATTACACTGCTGTGCTTCTTCCCCCACTCAAGGCACACAGAACCACTAGAGCAAATATCCCTTCCTCCTCAGGCCAGTGTCAGGTTTAGGGCAGTTCTCCCCATAAGCCAAGGGGGCGCAAAACCACACCATCAAAATAACAGTAATACCTATGTTTATAAGGGGACTTACAGAGGAGAAACGCAACTCTACCAAAAGGAATTATTGTATGAAAATAAGAAAGGGAAGGCACCATATTTTGTCCTCCCTCAGGGCACCAGATTACAAAAGTCCACCCCTGGTCAGACCAGCTACTTCCCTCGGAGAAACTTTCTCAGGTCAAAGCCACGGCCTCACAGAGCAGCAAAGGCTCCCAAGCCATGAGAAGGGCGGGCCAGGCACAGCACTCTGTCCCCCCAGCCCAATGAGTGGGCCGGGGCCTTGGGGTGGACCTTGTTATCTCTCATCTCCAAGCTGCAACTGCAACAAAAGAGGTTTTATCTCAGGAAGGCACAGTGGGGTGGAGGCAAGCATCAGCTTCTGGCTCTGCCCATTGGGAGCCCTTATCTCGTGGGGGCCAGAGAAGTCTGGGGCAAAGGCAGCTGGAAACATAAGCACATTGCTGCCCTTCCTCTGGAGTCTGAGCTGCATTGACTCAGGCAGGCAATACGGGGAAGAAAAAATGAACGGAGGTTTGTATACAGAAAGTGCCAACTTCAGCACCCCACCCACAGCACCTCCGCAATGGGGCTCTCGGGTAGGACTGGGGAGCTGCCTCCCCACCCGCATCTCCCCAAGACCCTCTCAAGAATCGACAATGCTGGCCCAGGCAGATCCAGGGTTGGCTCAGCGTAAGGCAGTTCCCTACATTGCGACGTGTTCACTCACCGGGCTTGACCAGGCAGGCTGGCAATGGGCTCCACAGCATCTGGGCTGTCCCTGAAAAAGTTAAATAGAGGAAGTGGGAGCTGGAGAGGATCCTGGCAGCAAGGTCGGGAGACCCAGCGCAGCCAGAGACAGGCTCAGCGCCAAGGGACATTCCTTTGCCGTCACCTGACAGTGCCATCGTTGTGGGAAGCCTGTAGCCCCCAGGAAAACAGAGGGCTGCCAACCTCCCCCCAAACCAGGAACAGGAGGTTTTCTAGGTTGGGAGGCTTTGTGCCCCAAGAGAAGGTGGGAATGCAGTTTGCTGAAAGGCAGAATAGAAGAGAACCCCAGGGATCAGTCAGAACTGTGGCTAATAGCCAGGGATCAGGAAGGGCCAAATTAAGCTGCTCCCCCTACCCCACCCTCCCGTCACAAGCTCACAAGGTGGCTGTAGGCAAGCCGTGGTCCCTCAGCCCCTGACCACCCTACAAATATAGAGTTAAGGATACTGCCCTGTGGGATGACCAAATGCTAAAATTAATAGTTATTATTATTATTACTTATTAAATTTCTATTGCCCGCAGATCTCAGGGCGGTTCACAACACCAAATTGCAACACGAAAACACAAACTGCACGATAAAAATAAGGACAAAAGCAAACCAATAACCCCCTTCCACACAACAGATTTAAAAGGGCATCGGATGCCCGTCAGCCAAAGGCCTGGTTAAAGAGGAACATTTTTGCCTGGCGCCTAAAGGTGTACCATGAAGGTGCCAGGCGGGAGTCGAGGACGTCAGAAAAGACCCAACTGGCTCAGACCCAGCAGGGCCCACCCCAGTTAGGAAACAGCCGAGAGACTCACGTCACAAAGATGGGGTAGATGAGGTTGGCTGCGCGGAAGCTAGCGGCCGTCGCCTGCCACAAGCGGAGGGTGGGGTGAAAATAGCCACTGTGCAAAAGGGACTCGGTCTGCATCTCGAGGTCTCGCCAGCCGCTGGGCCACGGGAGGAAAGTGTTCTGGAAAGCAGAGAGGCAGCGGCAGTTTTAGAGGGGTGACTGCTGCCGGGGGTGCCACTGCCCAGGCACCGCAGAGGACTCTGGGAGATGCCCCCTATGCATGCCCAACTCCTGGTGCAAGTGAAGGCCATGCAAAGAAATGAGAGTAATGTCAAGCAAGTGCAGAGCGCAACCCCACCCCACTGATCAGCCACAATTGATCTGAGTATGCCTGGTACTGGGTGCAAGGAAGGACAACTTAACTTAGAGGGAAATCTGAGGCCTGGCAGGGCAACTCTTTGTGTTGTAGGAGTCTACGCATCTGAATCCCAGCAGCTGGAAACTGCAGGAAGGGAGAGTGCAGCCCTTACACTCAGATCCCGCTTGTGGGTTTCCCATATGGCCTGCCAACTGTGAGAACAGGAGGCTGGACGAGTTGAGTCCCTCTGGGCCAGGCTCTTCTTATGGAACCTCCAGGTTCAGAGGCAGTCTATCTGGATTTATAAGGTTCTCAGGGCCCCCTGGTAGAACTGGATGCTGGGCTAGGTGGGGTCCTCTTCAGTCTGATCCAAAGAACCTCCGGGATCTTCCTGTGTTCTCATGAAAGAGCATGCTTTAGGGATTAAAAACCTGCTCCTTTCACTTTGAAGGGGTATTTGGATTTTTGTCGGCGGTTCTGAAAACGAGGAAGACAATCTCTCTCCTGGCACCCTGAAGCCTGGAAAAAGAGGCCGCTTAATAATCTCTCATCTGAGGGTGGCAAATTCCTCCGCAGCAAGATGAAACGGGTTGGGTGGTGCAATTGGCCCACGCATGATATGAGGAGAGGCAGGTTGCCAGAGGCAAGAGCAAAAAGGCAGCCAGGGCTCTAATCCCGGTGGAGGAGGGCTGTTTTGGGCTTCAGTTCAAGAGGCAGTTAAAGCCCAGCAGGTTTATCAGGCCAAAAGTCCACACAGCCCACCGGCCTCCTTTCCACACATCCACCAACCAGGGGCTTCCAGGGAGCCCTAAGCAGGCCATAAAGGTAAAAAGTACTCAGAGATAGACTGTCCCTGAGCATGTAAGTCTCACTGAGCGTGTAGGTAACGGCAGATCTCCCCTCCTCTGTGCATTTCAAAGCCTCCTAAGGCAGTGGCCGTCACCAGGTATTGTGGCAAGGAGTTCTGTAAGCCACTATTGTGTTACATAAAAAAAAAGTCCTTTCTTTGGGTGCCTGGAACCAAGTCGGATCTGCTCAACCCTGAGTTTGAGCATCACAAGAGAGCTGATCTCACGTTCACCAGCTCTCTGCAGAAAAAGTTATAAAGGGAACCAGCCCAGGGGATTCAAACCCCCGTCCCATCCTGCCTGCTGACAACCTTGGGGGTCCAGTCGCCTTCTCTGAGCCTAACCTAACTCACAATTTAATGAGGACTAGGACTTGGGAGTGACCCGAGTTCAGATCCCGCTCCCTCTCCGAAAAGCCAGTCCTTAAGCTCCCTAGGTGACCTTGTTGTGTGGGGGAGTAGTTGCCTCTCTCAGCCTAACCCACCTCACAGGCTGTTGTGAGAAGGCAATCCATAAGGGGAGGTGCGGAGGGAGGTTGAGCAAGCCTTGGGCCGTGTGTATGAAACAATAAGGAAACAGAAGTGTTTGGTTATAGAAGCTGACCTCCCTTCCCAGGTAAAGTGGCAGGAGCAGATCTTTTATAAAACGAATGGAGCTTGAGCTGCAGGGCCCAGAATCCCAAAGGAGCCCCAGAAGCGACTTGAGTCCACATTGCTTTTAAAAACTGGGTCCAGCTGACCCGATTTGAGTCACATAACTCAAATACATTCATTTCGGGTGGTATCTATTTCGACAATCCCAAAGTTTGGGAGTCAGTAGCACAGATGTCGTAAAGGCGGTAAGTTGGCCATTCTGCCGAAGAGCGCTTAAATTCTTTCTGCATATTGTCTCCAGAAAATAACTTTGCAACTATCAGGATGCGAAAAAGTAGAAAAAAGAATGGTAGAATCTTAGAATGGTCAAGTTGGAAGGGATCCGAGGGTCATCCAGCCCAACCCCCACAAGGCAGGAACTTTTTGCCCAACGTGGGGCCTGAAAACTATAAGGCACTGGGCATTTTCATTCACCCCAGTGACTTGGGCGAGTGAGATAACCCAGAAGAGCCATTTTAATCAAAATCTAAGATGTAGTAGTTAATTTAAAAAAAATAAAAATGCAGCGATCCGCCGTGGAACAACCCCATTGAAGAAGGTCACAGCGGAGACCTCATTGCTTAAGGGCTCCCCCAGCCCAGTTCGAGCTTCAGGGCTCACCCTAGGTCCGCCACGGCCCAGCGGGGGCCACGGGCCATTGCAGCCCGCAGCCACTTCCTTCCGCTTTCTGGAGCCCGAGGATCTGCCGGAGCAAAACTCAGATCCAGCCCCCTCCCCCTGCCCGGAAGGCGATCCTCACCTGCTTCTTCTGCCGCGGCTCGCTCACGCGGGAGCAGTGTCAGCTGTTTTCCCGGCAGCCCTCGCGGGAATCCACTTCGTTTGCATAGCCCCGCCCCCCAGAAAAACCTCAGCGCGTCCGCGAGCGAAGCAATACGCTCCTCCCCCGCTTGGGCAGCCACGTCTCCTGCTCGCAAATGCCAGGACTGGGTGGGTTCAATGGCGCACCTGCGTTTTGGGGGGCACTGACTCCATCTGGCAACAAAGGTGTCAAATCCTTGGGGCCCTGGGTGCCCGATCACCCACAGATTTCGGTGACAGGGCCATGCACGCTGCATGGTTGAGCGCAGTGAAGGTGTCTTTCTGGTGCTGTAGATTATTAATTCTGCGGTAAAGCTGTGAGAGACCCTCCTGTCATTCAACCCGCCTTTGCATCCCTGCCAGTCAGCGGATGAATGAAGGACAGAGCTAATGCCCAGTCTTTTGCCACCTGTTTGCCAGCCCAGCCAGCCTGGGATTCTGCAAGAGTTTTTAATTGCTGGTTTGTGACAAGTAGCAGCAGCAGCAGCACGGTCATTCAGCACATCCGACTCTGGTATTTGTTATTAACCTTCATGTTATGCCTCAAGCAAAGCAGAAAGCAGTGAAATTAGAATGCTGATCAAGAATGAACACACACATATATATCGAACAAAGCAACATAATAAAAATAATAGATCTACAAGTACAGTGGTACCTTGGTTTACAACCATAATCTGTTCCGGAGGTCCGGTTGTAAACCAAAACAGGTTGTAACCCAAGGTGCACTTTCGCCAATGGGGCCACCTACCCCAAATTGGTTGTAATCCCAAAAAAACGGGTTGTGATCCAAAAAAAGGGACACGCACTTCTGGGTTTGACGTGGTTGTAATCCAAAACGGTTGTAATCCACAGCGGTTGCAAACAAGGTAAGGTAAAGGTAAAGGGACCCCTGACCATTAGGTCCAGTCATGACCGACTCTGGGGTTGCGGCGCTCATCTCGCTTTATTGGCCGAGGGAGCTGGTGTACAGCTTCTGGGTCATGTGGCCAGCATGACTAAGCCGCTTCTGGCAAACCAGAGCAGCGCACGGAAATGCTGTTTACCTTCCCGCCGGAGCAGTACCTATTTATCTACTAGCACTTTGATGTGCTTTTGAACTGCTAGGCTGGCAGGAGCTGGGACCGAACAACGGGAGCTCACCCCGTCACGGGGATTCAAACCGCTGACCTTCTGATTGGCAAGTCCTAGGCGCTGTGGTACCACTGTACAAAAGCAGTATATCTGAAAGGAGAGGGGGGAGAGGGAAAAACAAACATGGTATTTGGGAGCAGTTACTGTGCTCCTAACAATGTGTTAAAACTTACTTCTTAATCTTCCCATCTCAAGGGAAGGATAAGGGGTGCGGGGGGGGGGGGAGAGAAAGAAGTGGACCAATTCATGGAGGAGAAGGCTTTCAATGGCTGCTCGCCACGATGGCTCTGCTCTGCTCTGCTCTGCTGGAAAATGCAGGAGGGGAGAAGTGCTCCTGTGCTCAGGTCCTGCATCTGGTTGGCCACTGTGAGAACAGGATGCTGGACTTCATGTACCCCCTTGGACCTGATCCAGCAGCCAGGTTCATATTATGTTCCTATCAACTCACAAATTGGTTACTGTCAGAATAGGATGCTGGATTGGATAGGCCTTCGGACGGATCCTGCAGGGTTCACCGCCACTACCTGCAAGCCTATCCAGTAGTACCTTGGTTGTCAAACTTAATCCGTTCCAGGAGTTTGTCTGACTCCCAGAACAGTTCAAAAACCAAGGCACAGCTTCCAATTGGCTGCAGGAGCTTCCTGCACTCAGTTGGAAGCCACAGAAGCCACATTGGACATTCGACTTATGAAAAACGTTCACAAACCGGAACACTCACTTCTGGGTTTGCGGCGTTTGGGAGTACCAAGGCATTTTACAACCGAGGTACGACTGTAGTGGGAGCATCCAGAATTCTGTTGGCTTGGTTTTCATAATGTGTAAACTGGCTCTTATCTCTGAGGCAGCACCCGAAATACAGTGGTACCTTGGGTTACAGATGCTTCAGGTTACAGACTCCGCTAACCCAGAAATATTACCTTGGGTTAAGAACTTTGCTTCAGGATGAGAACAGAAATCGTGTGGCGGCAGCGCAGCAGCAGCGGGAAGCCCCATTAGCTAAAGTGGTACCTCAGGTTAAGAACAGTTTCAGGTTAAGAACGGACCTCCAGAATGAATTAAGTTCTTAACCCGAGGTATCACTGTATTTATCTGTACAAGAGGTGTGGGGGGTGGTGGGATATACATAGATAATAAGTTTTGGTTGTAGCCAGCTAGCTGGAGATGATATTGTTTTCTTGATATTCTCCCGTGGTTAGTGGAATAAGCTGCTACACCAAGCAAAGATGGCCAAACCTACAAATCACTTGGTGATGAGCAGATTTGCAGCAGGATCTCCTTAAAAAGATCCCCATTGCCAGAGAGATGGTCGGAGGTCTCTTTGCAGAAAGAGGGTGTTTCTGTGCCATAGGAAATGTGCTAGAGCCCAGGCTTCGCTGCCATCTGTCCCTGCCCTTGGTTTGGCAAAGCAGAGAAGGGGTGGAGGGGAATCAGCTGTTTTCCTGGCACTGACCCCCCACCAAGCTCTGCTGCTCAACAACTTGCAACTAAAAAACCCCCCTCAAAGCAGCCTCCAGGTTTCCTGGGTAACCTGCTGCCAGAGGCTGATAAAGTTGTCATCAATTGACTGCCATGGATTACACCCAGCTGGGGTATCAGACAACAGTCACCCCACTCCAGGAAAACACAAAGGATCACTGGGATGCAATTCAGCCCACTTCTGGCACCATTATTCAGCAGCTGAAGGATGTCCACAACTCTGCCCTGCCCAATTTGCATATATTTCACATGTGCTGATTAAATTTTTGCAGAGACAGCAAGAGTCTTCGCAGCATCAGTTCTGCGACACCACAGACTATAGGACTATAGGGCATTATTTCCGAAACTTGGGTCTGCAGCTGTTTGACTACAGTTCACATCATCCCTGACCACTGGTCTTGCTAGCTAGGGATGATGGGAGCTGTAGTCCAAAAACAGCTGGAGACCCAAGTTAGGGAACAAAAAATAAGACCCAGTTGCCAAGACCCCTGAAGAAGCAACAAGGTTTAGGCAAGGTCTGTTGTCAACAGTTGCCAGCCACTGACTCTGTGTGTCAACAGGAGGGTTTGTGGCATGAAACTTTGACTTCAGTCACTTCCAGACCATCAACTTCTAGAGCAGCTCCCAACATCCTCAGCCTCAAATGACCATGCTGGCCTAGGGTGTGTTGTTTGTTTATGATTGGCTGTGGTGATCTTTGTTTTCATGTGTGAGTGGGGTGGGTGGGTGTTTTGGATCAGGTTAGCCATATTGATTTGTATGCCGTTGGTGGATTTTTGTCATTGTCTTGTTGGACTGTGTACAGTGGTACCTCAGCTTAAGTACTTAATTCGTTCCGGAGGTCCGTTCTTAACCTGAAACTGTTCTTAACCTGAAACAGCACTTTAGCTAATGGGGCCTCCTGCTGCTGCTGCGCCGCCGGAGCACGATTTCTGTTCTCATCCTGAAGCAAAGTTCTTAACCTGAGGTACTATTTCTGGGTTAGCGGAGTCTGTAACCTGAAGCATCTGTAACCTGAAGCGTATGTAATCTGAGGTACCACTGTATGTGATATACATCCATGCTTACTCCTGACAGGTCTCTCCAGTGTCTGGTTATGGTGTTTCAGGCTGCTGAAAGTAGGTGGGTTATGAGTTCTTTGAAGTCAATAGCAGAGCACCTGCATAAGCGACGCTGACACAAAACCCCACATATATTAAGTATAATAGAAACATTGCCACCTGACCCCACCCCCACTCACCTTTCCCCCCCCCCCACCTCTTTCCCCCTCTTCTTCCTAATGTCTCAACAACTGAAACTGATCTGTAAAAAAATGTTACTTGGAAAAGAGAGAGAGAGACATTGCACGTACTTTTGCAAGCCAAGAAAATCTTTAATAAAAATACATATTTTTTTTTTAAAAAGACCATGTTGGCTGAGGCTGGTGGGAGTTCTAGTGGAGGTTCCCAGGTTGGGGGAAGGCAGAAATAAACTTTTTCTCAAAAGATTGTCCGACACTGCTCAGTGAAGACCCCGTGTCCTTGAGCAACTGAAACCACTGAAGAGGAAAGCAAGGGAACGTCGCTAAGAAGCTGATTCGCAGGAGTTGGCAAGCAGGACTGGCACTGAGCACACCCAGGAAGCAGGAGAGATGCCAGCTGAAGGGAATGACAGGCTCCCCTTTCTCTCCATGTTGCAGGAGTTTTGCTTCCAGGCAACTGACCCCTAAAGAGGCAATTCTGTGTCTGCGTCCCATGGAAGGTGGCTCCTGGCTGTCCCAGCCAAAGAGGGAAATGGGGAGGCAACAGCTGCTGAATGAGGGATGACAATTCATTTCCAAACCAATGAATATCCCGGAGACTGGCTCTTGTTCTGCTGGAGGCCCCCAGAGGAAGCCATCTTGCCCAGCACAATGCCAAGAGTTGCGTGGCAGATAATGCTTCCTCCTCCTTGGAGGGTCTGAAAGGGAAATCTGCGTTTTGAAAGTTCAGTGCGTTTTGTAGCTGCCGGAGGGAGGGAATGCAGAGACGCCCCCCTCTGCAGTCAGCTCCGGAGCAGAGGCCTGCTTGGAGCCAAGCCCAGTCCTGTTGGGTTCTCCCGGCTGGCACCGCACACTTCAGACTTGCTAATTGATTCTGCTGCCATAAAGAGCCTCTGCCTCTCCATTGATTGGCCTGGAAAAAAAATCTGACTTTCAAGGCCAAGCAATAAAAGGAATAATAGAGCAGTTAATATTTTATTCCGGCAATAAACACAGAAATACCATGCCGAATCCCCTTTTGCCCTCCCGGGCTGGACTGCAAAGGCAGAACATAATAAATGGCGACATGTTGCATGCTGGCTGTGCCAGGGGCAGGCACTGAAGAAGAGACTTCCGTTTGTCATGCCATGCCCGGTCAAGAGCCCATGAAAATAGGGACATCCTATTCATTATTATTAGTATTATCATTATTATTACTTTATTATCTGATTCGGTTGCCCCAGTCACTCTAGGTGGCTTCCAACACACACACACACACACACACACACACACACACAATGCATTTTAAAACTTCCCTTTAGAGGGCTGCCTTTGGATGTCTTCTTTT